GTCATCTCAGACAACACTGGCCAATTTCCCCTCTGTAAGAGTCCACAAGAAGAAAACATGTTCAGCCAGGCAGCTCTGAGACAGATAGAGAGATAGTATGTAGGGTGTGTGTATGTGTCTACATGTTTGCCCGGATGCCTTTGTGCATGTGCCTGTTTGTTTGTGAATAGACAGGGAACACAGAGTCTCCGAGCGTGTGTTAAAGAAGGTATAGCATGTTATGCAACCCTTTAAACTGACCTCATGCTGTTCCATGTAGAACAGCAGATCACATGATGAATCAATTGTCTTTCACTGAGGTTCCCACTGGGTTTTTTTTTCCCAGTGACACCAAGGATGCAGCCTTATGACTCTAATATTGCAAAAATGAAGTCATCATTACCCCTACTCATACATCCTACACAGGCACATCCTACAGAGTTCTCGATTTGAGTGGGGATGTAAGCGGATGCCACCACTGGTTAAAAAAGGACAATCCCCCCCCACCCCCCCACCCCCCACCCCTTCAAAGCTGTCTGTCCATTTCCTTTGGATTAAAATTATGTGATCTTTCTACTCTCAATATTTTAATTCCACCCATATTTGAGATTTACACACCAAGTTGCATTGGATGTACAACATGTACAATACCATGCAAACTGGTCAGAGACCAACCCTTTGTTTTTTAATTTCCAGTGAAAAGACATTAAATACGGATTCCGCATCATAAAATAGCAGAAAACATATTTAACAGAAAATTACACAGAAGCCTCCGACGAACAAATCTATCAGTATTTCATTTGCTTTTTTCTTTTGTGCACCAACTGCCATTTTAAGTCTATCTTCCTTCCAATCTTAAAACCAAACAGTTACAGCTGTGTCCTCCCAACAAGAGCTGCTCCCACAGAGGCCACTGACACTATATTCGCCTTCACTATCATTCACACAATCAACTACACAGATACACCTCAGCTGCCCTCAGATTTCTTTCTTTAGTCATCTAAAATGACGAAAGTAGATCTGAAGAGATTAAATATATTAATTTGCATAAAATAGAAAGTCTAAGCAAAATAAGTGAAAAAATTGAGGTTTCCAAAACTGGAGTTCAAAAAATCATATAAATGCAGCGACACTGGAACTTCTAACAACCATGCAAGACCATGGGCACATTCACTCTCAAAACACTGTGTACCATTTTGCTACGGTTCCGGGTTGAACAACGTTTCGTCAAAACAGTGCAAAACAGTGTGCAGTGGGTGTTTTCTCTTGTTTGACAGGTGTGTCAGAAATGTTACCCAATCATGTGTGACTTGTATATAAACTCCACTGTATTAAAAAGGCAGTGCACATGGATTCTAATAAAGTCCTCTACAAATGCAGCCTCTGCAGCTTAGTGTATGCAAAAACTGAAGATGTTAGAAGACTAGTATTAAACACGCATTTGAACCCATCAGGCTCTAAAAATTCTTCAAAAAGAATGGCAGGAATGGCCCTCTCAGCAACCATAGTTGCAATGCTTGTGTGACACAACAGAAAGTTCAGTGCGCCACCGTTTCCGTTTAAATAAACATTTTGCTATGTCTTGTAACATAGAGAGAGGAGAAAATCAAGCTCTATTTTTGCTTCAAATCCACAGGTGTTTCTGTCCATCCTTCCACTGTGAGAAAACAACTCAACTCTATGAGTCTGAAAGGAGGTGTAGCTGTCAAGAAGCTGTTACTGAGAAAAGAAAATAGACCAAAAAGTAGTACATTTGCACCAGAACACAGAAACTAGACATCTGAGATGTGGTGTAAGGATTTATAGACTAATGAGTCTTGTAGACTGATGCAATCAACTTCTAAGACTGAACTTTGAAGGTGTAGACTAATATCCCTACAGATTTCTTAGAAAATTACATACAGAAAACTACATACAGAAAAAAAATGTAGTTAATAGTTGCTGTAAAGGGTGGAAGGGTGGTCTCTGACTTTTGCACAGAACTGTACTAAAAAAACAGTTATTGTAAGTTTGTCAGAGGTTTGTTGTTTAACATTTGTAGTTGGCTTAGATTATTGCTGTCTAGGTAATCTGAGCCTTTTAAATCCACCATTCAACATGACCAATTTGTTTATTTTGACCGCCGTGTTCACTGTGCAATCAAAGCAGATTAAAAAAGAAAGAGCAGCATGGAAAAAAACGAAACCAGAGAGGTATATTCAGAAGGTTGGCTGAAATTGTTTAAGAATAATAACGGTCTCATTATGCTTTCCCTAGAAGTTCATTATATGTTGGTCAATTACATGTCCCTAACTCAGGATTAGATTGTGACATTTAGTTCTCTTTGAGATTTTCCCAGTTCCCCTATGATCTCATGCTTTCGCCTGATAAGATGTTGTAAGTTGGATAGGAGAACCATGCTGAACTAGTGGGTGGCTGCCCTGATTGTACCATGATTCTGATGCAGGGGAAAGAAAGCACAAAAGCTTTTTACGGGCTATTTTTAATATCCGTCAGTTCACAATCTTGGGAAACATAGCAGAACAAATAGTTCAGCAGTGGCCCAAACAAGTCATATAACCAATAGAAATAGATAATCATCTGTAAATGTAATGTATAGAGCTTGAGAAGATTAATCGCAAGTCTTGATTTCAGTGCACCAAATTGATCTATTTTAAATTATAAATGTATTTACATTTGAATTCTGTACTTTTTAGCACTCAAGTTGTCATTGTGTTATAGGTCACATTATCAAGTCACCAGAATCATGTTCCTATGCCATGAACAGGGGAAATGATGGAGAGGAAACAGGTAATTAGTTTGAAGGGAATTGGGAGGGGTGCCACAAAGGGACTGCCTGTAAATAAGGCGTTAAGTGTATTACATAAGTGCATTTACTTTGATATTACCTTGTCCTACTTTTTGGCAATAAAACATTTTCCTGACTTCATCTGAACTCTGGATCTGAATGTTCATTTGTTACAGTGCATTTTCTTTTCTTTTTCCCTTTTGTTAAACCCAGATGAAAACTTTATTGCTCGAATCTTGGCTCAGGAGATGTAATGGTGAGTTTCCTAAAATTTCTTAGAAGAAATAACATTGGACAAAAAGAAGACATGAGATTCTTCCACCCCAGACACAAAAATATATTAGCCTATCATCAGAACTGAGCAAGCTCTTAGTCAGAGATGAGAAAAGTTGGTCTTTAATTTAGTTGCAGATGAACATGAGTGTTATTATCTTGACGAACCTGAGCACAAAGTTTAACTTTATTGAGATCTCAACTAAAAATCAAGAGGAGACACCAGGGGTCTCCAGCAAAAGCCTCATTTGTCTGTTTATCTGATCTCATTGTTATTTAGGAGAAACTACAGAGATACTAAGGAGGTCTGTCTTTTGATTTTTCTATCCTATGGGAAAGGCCATTGCAGTATACACGTATGTGCTTTCCCAATAAAGCCAAGCACCAAGGACAGGTACCCACAATATAACAAAATATAGTGTAACAGTGAGAAACTGCTATTTTCAGTCCCGCCCTTACCGGGAGCAGACTCGTTCTTGTTTTTACGTCAAGTGCTGTACATCTAACAAGCATTCAGTCATCCTGAGTCTGGGTCCTGGACGTCAAACTCCTGGAAAATCATGCTTTTATGTGGTGTGGCGAGTGTGTGCCTTTATTTCTGTGTGTATTTGTGTGTGTATTAGTGGGGGCAGGGGGTGTAAGTGGCGTCACTGGTACCTCAATAATGGCAGTGCTGTGCTGCTAAAAGTAGGGAGGGTGGGTGTGCCGCCCAGGCCTAAGTGCTGATTACACAGAAGCTCTGTGTTCTCTCCTCTCTCTGCACACATGGTACCTATTTAGCCTGTTCTGCCTCATTGCCCTTTCAGAAAGCCCAGAAAAAAAACCATTACCCAAAATATTAAATTCATCATACCTCATCAGAAGCATCACCTAATCTAGTGGTCACTTACATAGGACGCCATGTGCTTTTCATGTCTAGTGCAGTTGTTTTGGGGGAGACATTTAGTTACCAAGACAGAGGTCAGTAAATTGCTTTCAAATATAGCCTTTTGCCCAGGTGCATGTTTCTGCACCATGCTCTTCATTTTTTTGTGCAGCCTCAGACTTTCTTGTCTGCAGGTCTTGCTATAACGTGCTCTGCTGATAAAGCGCCCTGGATGCTAACTGTATCTGCTCATTTACATACTGGCTTAGCAACTAATGCCACTCTCTCCCTCCACATACATAATAGTAACATTTCCTCTGAGTGAACTCTCACGTACACCGCAGCCGCTCAGCCTCTCCGGAGCTGAAAATAAGACACAACACTCACTCGTCTACCTCACACTGCTTCTGTTTGCTCTTACGTCGTGGTTTGTACTCAGGAGGTGTGCCCACGTTACTTTTGCACACCCGTATTCCGAAACATCCAGACCAAACCCCGCCCCCTGCGCAAGGATTGGTCAGAAGTTCAAAGCTGTGGTCTTATAATTTCATTGGCTATGCTCTTCGCTGCAAATTAATGAGGTAAAAAAAGAAATAAAAAATAACGAATGTTCGAAAAATTGACAAAATAATAATTTTACCATTATTTTAGCATTATGCTAAATGAAGTTCCTTACATCCAATATAAAGTTCAAGTTTATTACACTTTCATTTTCAATATTTTTTTTAATATATAGCTCGTGTTATTTTATATGACTCTTATTTCTCTGTCGGAATATACGGATCATGAATTGTAGTGCTTTTTAGCAATACAGTAATACACATACTACAATATATCTCAACAAGATGGAAGAATAAATGTCCAGAGTTTGTAAATAAAAGAAAGAAAATGAAATGTAAAATATTAAATAGAAAAGAAATACCTTACAACAGATGCAATAAGCTTCAGCTTGTATCTCATCCCTTTCAAAGGTCTGTCAGTAAAAATAGAGCACGCGTCTGCGGGGCGCAGTGGGCGTGGCCTGGCGGAATACGGGTGGAGGGGAGGCTGTGCTCATATAGGGCTCCTCCGCCGCGCGTCTGACTCACACGCAGAGCTAAGAGCAGACAGAGCTTGACTCGGAGGAGTGAGCACGCCTTTTTCACCACATCATCAGCTTCAGCTCTGGAAAAGGACGATTCTCCAATTTCACACTGTTTGGCTGAGCTGAACCGGCCTGGAGATGCTCGATACACGCTGAGCTCTCTAAGTTGCTAACTAGAGGTGTTCGGTTTCGGAGGCAGCATTTTTAGAGAGTGAATTCAGTGAGGAGGTGCTCAGAGGGGTCTGCTACTAACGTTAGTGTGAAAAATCCGACCACAGACGAGAACGAATGGTTTTCCTTCATACGGACTCAGAAACGCATGAGCTTTGTATGAGAGGTGAGTAGAGCTCTCTTTCATACCAACGAAGCAAATGTTTGAGGTTCTTTACTCCGGTTGAACTTGAGTTTCTGTGAGAGGAGCTCATTCATTTAGCATTACGCTAACCCTTGTCCAGCTGATCTGATTTTTTTCACCCTCTAGAATGTTCCGTCTATTTTCGCCTATTTTTATTAAATTTTAAGTCATTAAAAATACCTTTTCTACATTTATTTTTTCGATGATTCACACTGGCGACACTGGCGCGTCTCGCTGGTGAAGTTTAGTTTTGCTGCTGAAGCCTCTGAGGGCAGCAGCACTGATGGAGGGGCTTCATGGGCTTTCATGGAGTTAGAAGGACTGTACAGGAGGTGACTGTATGTGTAGAGTAAAACTCGTCGCAAGAGTGAGCTGAGGATAATTTAACAGCCTTTCCAAAACCTACTTAACAGCTTTTGCTTTTGAATGATTTTTGAACTGGTGCCGCATTTAGGGAGCATTTCCCAGCCAGTCTGATGTGCTACGCCTGGTAACACGGCTCAGTACGTCCCTGATTTCTCGTGTGATTGAACGATGAAGCATCATGGAGCGTATCATGGCATAAGTATTTGCTGATAAAGTGTTTTTTCTCCCCTCCTGACGAGTCACTGGACTGTAATACTTCCTCCATGTGGAATACTGCTGGTCTGAGATGGTGTAAGTCATTCAGTCATGGGAAGATCTCCTCTTTGTGAAAGGACACGTGGCCGTATATTATCTGCAGTTCTTTTTGTCTGTCATCTGGGGTCAAATTACTGTCCAGTTTGTTTGTCTTCCTCAAACATGACATACTTGGTCAAGCATGCCATTGTCTTTTGGACAAGAAATATTTTCGGGGGGTGTTGGGGATGTGGACCAAAGCTGTTTCCTGTGGCTCAACAATGGCCATCACTGCTCAAGCAGTTGGTGGTCCAGTTCCTGGCCAACATCAGAAGCAGACAGGGATGTTGAAATAATAGGCCAGAAAAGAGAAAGGGGGAAAAAATAAAATGCTTTACAATAGTTCGGACTGCAGGGTGAACACAATGTACTGAAAAAAAGTGAGATGTTTTCAGGAACTGAAGACAAAGGGGTAGCTGCAACCTTTACATAACCGATATCCGTTAGTATAGCCCACTCTTACTGTTGTTGGAATTGACCCCCAGGTGCCCCCAGGATTGGTTAATACATTTGTGTCAAGTGCCTGTTTGAGATGGCAAGTCTGCTTGTTTGGCTAGTCAAGGTACATTGTTACTGTAGCCTGTCTAGAAAGTGTGAAGAGCTGTAGTCCTTAAGGTTAAAAGTAGACTTTTTTTATAGTCCACTTATTTTAGTTAATGGACATTTGTTCATGAGTTTGCAGGTCTTGATCTAAAATTGTTGTAGTGACCATAGTGCCTTTTTCATAAGTGTGCGAAGCCTATACTGTTTTTAAGTAAAACATGGCTCAAAGAAAACTCAAAGATCTTGTATGGAAAACTACCCTGAACAGTCACTGTGTGAGATACTGCATGTTCTTTTTCCATCCTGGACAAATGCTCTCATGTAACACTGGTTACAGTGGCAGTTTTCACTTGCAGACACAGATATAGCCTGTTTAATATTTGATGCACTTTGAATGAATGTTCCGAGTTAATGCGTCACAAGTGCAACTGATCCTGCGCTGTGGTTTAAGGGTCTGGAATCTCTCTGTAAAGGGCAGCACAGTACCCATGGTAGAGTTGGTTGTCAGTAGACTAAGAGTGCTTCCAGCAAATGATCACGTTATAACACAGTCAAGAATACTCTTAAAAATACAGCCATATACAGATTCCTAATTGGCCGTTGGCTTGAACGTATGGTTCAAGGAAAAATCTATTAACTGTTACAGAAAATTTATATTAAATGGAGGTTCTTATACTTTTAAAAACACAGCTCGTATACGAAGAATCAAACATTCTTTAGGGAACCAAAATGATTCATCTATGACACAAAGACCCCTTTTTGGCAGCTTTTGTATTTTTAATATTGTAGGAATTTGCCAGCATGATGTAATGTCCTCCCAACTCTCTGATATGTAATGTAATGATGCTGTGGATGTCTAGCTTATATCTTTTCCATATTTTTTTTCCTGTTCAGATCTTCGGGGTGAATCCCACCACTTCACATCAGGGATATCGGTGGAAAAAGGAAAGAAGGGTCCCTCTTATTCGAAAGGCATCCATCTCTTCCAGAACTCCACCATGTCTCTGGCCTCCTTCCACTTGATGCAGACCCTAAAGAACTCCCCCGCAGCCCTCCGCAGGCACTTCCGGCGGGACCGCACTGAGAGCCTTTCTCACGGAGACCCCATCTTCAAGGTGCACTATTTGGGTACCAAGAAAATCTTCTCCTTGGACCTGGAGCAGGCAGAGGATGCCATAGACCGGCTTCTAGACGGTGCACCTGGGAAGTTATCCAAGGACCATGCCCTGGTGGTGCGGCCACGCTATGTGGAAGTTAAAGAGTTAAGCACGGGGAGGCAGCTCACCAAGACCTACCTGCACGACATTGCGTACTGTGCTTCGCACACAGCCCGGCCCAACGTGTTTCTCTATATCTGCAGGCAGCCAGGTCAGCAGCTGCAGTGCAGGGTGTTCTGGTGTAGTCGGGTGGAAAGGGCTAAGGACATGACTGCGTGCCTGGCAAAATCATTTCAGAGGGCATTAAGCGATTGGCAGGATGGGTGTGCCACGTTGGCACAGGCAGAAGGCGTCGCTAAGGAGGACGAGGTGCTCAGCAACTCTGCTGTGCCCAAAGTGTCAACGTTGCCAGCCAGTCTGGGAAAAGGTGAGCGCTGCAGAAGTGATGATCAAACATCCCCTTAGAACCCTAATGTAAGCCTAGTGTATGTAAATGACAAATGACAGGTCCAATATGAAATGAGCAAAATATTGCAAGTGCATTGTGATGCGGCGTGCAATAAATTAAACAGATGAGTCTGCATTGTTTTGACCAAAATAACTGGTTTGCATTTGTTGGATTGCATAAATACCTTCACCACAGAAATACTCAGTTAGAGCTAAGATTTTTGCAGTACGCGATGAAAATACAATGACTGGTTAGAGGGCCAGTATTGTGATAATGGTTAACAAATAATACATATTTCAGCCATAGTTTGTTATATAACAATACAGCTTATTGAATCATAATGCACTGTATTATATTGTATTATTGTAATGTAACTAGCATGTTAACTCGTGCTTAATTTATTGGTTTAGGGCTAACATATTATTATCTTGTGGCTAGAACATTAGATGAGGACACTACGGCTTTTGTTTCAAATATTGTACTTTTATAATGTTGAATGCTTTAATAAGCTGAATATGGGAACGTTAACATGTTACCGTAAGGTATGTTTTAGCCACTCCTTTCACTCGTTTTTATGTAATGAAAACTGTATTGAATCACCACTGTATCATATCAAATCAAATGATTAATTTTGTGAATTGTCACACCCCTTCCTGTTATGATTCCCATATGAATATTTAATACGCATGGTTATGTGTATTTTGTTCTATTTACACTATTGTTGTGCTAGAATGTAATATTGTCTTTTTCTCATGCTCACAGTCCGTTGGAAGAAGAAAGGCTCTGTGTCTCGCAGTCCTCTGAGATCAATCACCAGACGGGGATCAGGAAGTGACAGCTGGCACTGAATTGCCCAGGTTCAACCCTTCTGCTTGATCTTTTGACCCCTATGGGATCTTACCAACAAGAAGGCACTTTCGCGTGTTTGGGGAGGTGGGAGCAAGGAGACAGGAGGTGGGAGGGGAGAGAAAGGCAACAACAGCTGGACTGGACAGAACAGATTCCACCAAACCTTTCCTCCCAGGAAAGTAGTCTTGAGACTGTAGCCAGTGTTTGAAGTGATGCCAAATTTGCTGTTATTGCTCCTTCAGGACAGAGATACTGATAACTGACGACGGGGATGAGCCAATGGTTATATGCTGGCCATTTTTATTTTATTCTATTGTTCATCTTATTGATGGCAGTGTTGTGTACCAGTGTCGGTACCTTGGGACCATTGAGCCTAGAATGCAATGTCATGCAGACAAAGTATATCACCAAAGTCAACTAAAACCAACCTAACCAGTTGCTAACAGTAAGACAAGTGTTTTAACCGGGTTTATTTATTAACAGTTTGCCCTGTTCTAAGTACATAGAGATGTTTGGGAAAGGGGTGAGCGTGACTCATGAAAAGTGAAACAGGAAACGTGTCTGTGTTTGTACTGGACATGTCATGTTGGAGATTTGTGTGGGAACAGGGAGGATGCTGGGACAAGAATGGCAGAGCAAGACAATTCCAATAATAATTCTAATTCAAGCATAATAGTGGATTACCTTGTTAAAATACAGTGGCAAAAATTAGACGTTTCACATATACCTTTGGCCCCAGTACAGTCGTTTAAGACTTTTTATTACAGGTCAAACTAGTTAATTCACATTAATTCCCCTTACATTGCTTAATCTTTATAGTCTTTTACCATGAGAGCAAATAGGTTCTGCTATGTAAGGGCCAAATTCATTTCTCTGCAGAAAAAACATTCACATTAGATTTGATCTTCCGAAGATTTTCACCGTTTCATTTGCCTCCCAGCAAACTGTCAGCGAGGCAGTAAGCCATGACTTTAAGTACTTTCCCAAAGAGAAAACAAAGTGACTGAGTAGGTATTCTGCATTCTTGTGCGCACTTGGTAAGAGAACACAGTGCGCTCTAAGCAGTTTGGAATTCCTGCCGTGCACCTGCATTCCAGTAGGGCCATGTCCCTGCCCCTCCTCCTTCCCCTGTCTGCCCTCATGACTCTGCAAGTTTTGAAGCAAAACATCAATTCAAGTGTTTTTCTTTTCCACATTTTGCAGATTCATGCTAGTGACTTTTTTGAGACCAAGAGATCGAAATGCTGATTATGCTAACAAATGCACAGAGAACCTAAGCAGAGTTTTAACAGTGCCAAGCACTTGTCACGTATCCTCTTGCTTTATTGGCATAAACCATGTACTCTAAACTGTCTGAATGGTCCAGATTTACTGTTTGAGTCCTAGCCCCATGATGCTTTTGTCGGAAGAAAACCCTGTATCTCCAAAATGGTAACTTTACAGGAGAAGGAAAAACCTACTTTGCTTTTAATCAATGGAACCAGAATTTTTCCAAGGCATTTTGGTTAATTTCTTTTAGTCCTTTCATCATGAAATTTACAAATAATATAAAGGGTAACAGATATGTTCAAATTATGTCAAAAATGGAGATACGAGGTTTTCTTCTGACAACAGCGATAAATATCCATCTCATACAGGCAGCATATCCTTGCTGTTACATATTCTGACTGGACGTAGCTGCATGTTTCAGTAGCTTATTGTGCCTGGCCCAATTATTACAGCATCCAGGCAAGTAGATCATTCATTTTCTGAATATTTTAATCCTTGCTGGTTTTAATTTAAAGCATATTAAAGTGTAACCCGTGTTACAAAGATGCCAGACCTGCTTTCAGGATCTGTATGTCTGCTTGAGGGTTTTTGTCTAATAAATGTGCATGGTTTTGTTTTATATATTCTGTGTACATATTTAAATATATATGTATCTTATTAAAATTGAAACTTTTATACAGTATTACTTTGTGTCATTGTCTTGTATAATTGCCCATCTCTCTCTGTCACTGAAAAATGTCATCACAAACCACAGAAGGGAAACTTTTTAATTTTGTCTTCAAAGGCAGATTATTGCCTTGGGTTCCACTAAAATGAATTCCTTTGAAGATTTAAAACCAAGTGGCCCCCTGAAATGTCATGTGACACTAAGCCTAGGATTTATGCAATAGGATATGCCATAAAACCTTATGTGTTATAAACACTACTGTACGCTTAATGCCAACACCCTTGTATACAATGCAGGCCTTCTACAAGTAAAATCTGTAAGGCTTTACTTCCGTTCTGACAAGCATAGTCACTATCAGTTTTTTTCTATACCAATCAGCACTTTCAGATGAACAATGTAATATTTTGTTAATGGCACAGAGCATAAATTATAGGAACTGAAGTTGAAAACAACAAATCTGTTTTTGTTTAATATCCAAGTCTCGTGTCCAGACAGCAGCAGACCGGACTCAAACTGAGAAAAATGTCCTGCTGTTTTATGATTTTTAGGTTAACTGCAATGTCTGGCCAACTAAGATATTCAAATTCTAAACAATTATATAGTGAGATAAATAGCACTTGAATGATTCAGCACCAAAAGTATTTTATGAAGACTACATCCACACATCGTAGAATATCTTAGTGGTACAGGTATTTCTTCAAACGCCCATAATTTCCAAGACAAATGGACCCTCAGGAACCTCTGTGTGTTCAGTTGGGTCTAAATGTCATCTCAATTCCTTCATCTGAATGATTGCTACAGTTCCTTTTTGTGCAAACAGCTTGTTGTGATCTCCAGACTGGACCCAGTGGTCATCATGGCAGTGTGATGCCTTTTACTGGTCGTCTGAGGACTCTGGCAGTGAGGGGCTCCTGCTCTTCACCCCACGGAGCCTGTGAAGCTCAACAAGACTCTGGAAATGGAGTCGCCTCAAGGGTTTCATCTCCTTCACAACTAGAAGGAAGAGATGTGAATGAAGATTAGTATTCATGGCTACTGTATCCTGGCAGGACCTTCCTATGCTTTCTAGTTAAAAAGAGGAAATTTTCAATGCAGTTCAAATTAACAATGGATGTTAGATTAAGCATATTGTTGCTGTAGCATTAAAAAAATGTTTTCATATTGTTTGAAAATGCTAGGTGTATAGTGTGTAAAATTTGCATAACAAATGAATCAACAGAAATTTTCTTATGCCAACATATATTAAAATGAGATTTTTCTTTCTCCTATATAGTTTTCATTTCAAAGAAAAGTTTTATAACTGCAGTGATAATGGGGTTAACATGTCCAGAAATCCAGCATATGCTTTTGTTCACAGCTCCCATTACAGTAGAACCAGGGTCAGCTCTCAGATTGAGTGTGCTCTGAACTGCCTGTCTTGCACCCACCCATATCATAGAAGGGTTCCTCTCGACTTCCCTGAACGACAATCATCTCCAGGAAGTTAAGGAGGGCCCCAGTGACCAGGAAGCGCTCTGGGAGCGGTAGGGTTTGGAGGTAACGCATGTCCAGAGCGAAAGGATTATCTGGAGGGGGCATTGTGCACAGACCCACCAGCTCATTCACTACATCCCACACCTGTGTTCCTGTCAGGGGAAAAGCACAAAAGAACATGAGGATTTTGTCATTATACAGGGTTACTGCCAAATTCTAGTGTCCAGTAGGAAGCTGATGAGTAAAAGAGGCTGTATATGAATCAAGTCTGTTGTATTTGATACTAATGGGCAATACCCTAACATTTTCTTGTATTGTACCTTCTTCTGAGGTCCACTTATGATACTGGGTTTATGTACCAAAAACAACATAAATCATTTTTACACTTAAAGGTACATCTCATTACCTTTAGTCGGGGAGCATAACTGTACTAGAATTCATTGAAATTACATTTTCTAAGTTGTATTGACTCCATACACTTCATCTCATCTACAAGCTTTTTGTTTTATTGTTCTGTTTCAAAACATTAGGTTATGAAAAGGTACAAATATGTACTTTTCACCAGGGAAAAACTTATTTAAGGTACGAATTTGGACCTTAAAACCACTGTGGGACCATTTACATTGTTTATACCTTGATTAATGAAAAATGTACCTGCACAGTACCTTTATTTCTAACAGTGTACATGACCAGTCTCCAATTTCTTATAGAATTAAGCTGGACGTTTCTGTTACTGTGCCTTTACAGCTGGTTATGAGAACCTCAAACACTGGTCATATGGTCGTCCTGTATTGTGCCTCGTTCAAAAAGAAGTCCAGGCTGAAACACTCCTTATAATTTCAGCGCGAATGAACAGAGCTAAACTGCTGTCGGCTGAATTCAAAATGAAATTCAAAACGAATTTAAAATAAGCTGTTTATGCCATATAGTTTCCATACAGACCATAAAGACTAGGAATGTCATATTTTGACACTTTAACAGTGTTTACATACTAACTCACTCTTTATTTCGAAAAATGTAAAGAAATTTGCCTTTGCATGAGATGGGCTCTGTAATATGGAATCAAATCTACCAACCTTGAGAAGTTAAAACCCAGTCTGTGATGGACTTGAGCTTCATGGGCGTGTCTTTGACCAGCGAATCAGTGCCTCCGATGTTAACTAAGCGCTCATGATTGGATCGTATCCAGGCATATGGCCGGCCATATTTAGCATAGCCAGCCAACAGGAAAAGAGTGCAGTTCATTTCCTGTATTTAAACACATACATCTTTTTTTTTAACATACACAGTAAAAATGATTAATTGTCACTATTAATACGTGAAGTAAAGAAAAGGTAATGAAGAAAAAAATGTACATTAACAGTCACTTACAGGCACAGCAATCTCCTCCTCACTGGGCGAAGCTGGGACAAGATGGGAATCATTACTCCTGTACAGAACAACACAGAGCTGTGATGAGTCTATAGAGCTGTGCTGAGTATATTACCACATATGTAGTAGCTTTCAAACAATCTCTCTACTTGTTGGCCTGTTGTCGAGGGGCCTGTGGAGGCTGAGGTCTGGGCCTGGGTTGAGGCCCTTCCCCAGGTAAAGGGGAGCTGTCATAGTCACTATCCAGACTGTAGCTGCTACTACACGTCGAACTGGTGAAGGAGGAGGCAACAGAGACAGGAAAGCCAGGAGAACGCCATCCCTAGAGGTGTAGAATAAACCTTAGGAGATGGGACAAAAAGTGAAGGCTGTACAAGAGTTTGTTTTTTTTTAAAAGCCAAACAACAAAAAACTTAACAATAACAGACCTTAAGAATACAGAGCATTTTAAAGATGCTTAAATAAACAAGGAAGCCTTTGAAAACCTTCCTTTAAAAAATAATGAGGCCATGTGTTTCTTACTGTAAGACATAAACTCTACATTTCAATCAAGTATTTTTAACTGAGTAATTTAGTTTAATTACCGCCCTAATCAATATGCTACATTAGCCTAACAAACAAAATATGGTATAACTAAACTATACGCCCATTTTCAGAGTCTATGAAACTGTTCAGCAACTGTAGTGCAGAATTCGGATCTATGATGATGATTTAATGTCAATAGAGAGAAACAGAAAAATCCCACCAAATCTTCATTGACAACAGTCAGCAGCAGTTCCTCTTTCCCCCTTAGCCAGGGCTGAAAATAACGAAAACCCTGCGAACAGAAGGGGGGGTTGAAGGACAAGCTGCAGGTTGAGATGATCAGCATAGCCCACTGACACAAATCAACAGTTATTACAGTGTGATTTTTCTATCGTATTGATAGTTCACTGTTCAAATCAGTTCAGCCCCCATCCAACCTGTAATGATCCCAGAATTGCCAGGTCAGCCAGGAAATGCTGCAGCCTTCTCTTCTGCTCTCTCTCTCTGTTCTGTTTCCAACAGAAGACAGTAAAGACATACATTTAATCTGCCTCCTCGTCTTTTCATGGATGCAGTTTCTAAAAAACGGCATTAAGAAATTAATGTAAAAATAAACATAGGCCTGAACTGCCTTCCCCCCACACCCACGCCCTGTCTCCTAGCAACGCCACCCAAGCCACAGCACCCCGCGGAGCTGGAAATCAAACCTCGACGTTTTCTCTCCTGAACGACACTGACTGTAACAGTAATGTCTGATTAAGATTATCTGTGCTTTCAACTCGAAAATCATCCTCTTTTACACATTATTAACACTAACAGCACAAACTGTAACACATAATCTCAGACAAACAAACGAGCGTCTCGTTCTCTCCTACTTTACTCACACTCACACTCATGTCGACTCCCTGAACATCCACGATGTAGGAAAGCTTTATTTCTGCTCAATACCGATTTAGCTCGCTGCCGTTAGTGCGAGCGCACTGTCGCCGTCACAGACACGCCTTAACGCGGGACACCAGCGGCGCATCTCTCCTCTTAGATGTCTGAGAACATTAACGGACGTCAACTTTTCTTTTTTCATGACATAATATATAATTTCTTCCTGCATTCATTCACTTTATCCACTGAAAAACCGCCACTGCTCTACATGATTCGTGTCTGATCTGGACTCCCGCTGATCATCCTGCAGATAGAGGCTGCTGTCGCACGTAAGGGAGTGTCTGAATGTGTAGCTCTTCATAAAAAGCGCAAAATGAGGAAAGCAGGATACCTGTTGCTCGCAAATAAGACCTGTGTAGCTACCCATAATATAAGCCTGTGCAGCATGTACTATGCTGAAAAACGACCCATAATTTCCTGCAGGACACCTTGCATTTGGAAATGGAAGGCATCTGGAATCAGAGCACATGTTAAACCATTGGGATCCTTACAGTGTGATATCAACCCATCAGAAAAACATAGAGTACCATTACTAACAACTGGACACCACCAGAAACCAACAGAAACTTTTGGTTTCTATGATTTTTAAGTTATTTTTATTCATTATTGGAACTGGCTTAATGATGACCACTAGAGGCCACTAGTGTCCTGTTGATTATATTAGAAAAACACCAAATGCGTCCGTCACTGGTCACCTATTAGTTTGTATTTACTTTGTGACAAACCCATCAAGAAAAGCAAAAGCACGTTAAAAACCACCAGAAACATTTTTTTATTTCCTGTGTTGTTTTTTCCAGCAGGCATTTGAACACATTTGTTATCAATCTAATTTTAGAGTTTGATTATCAACTTAGGCACTTCGTTTTTCTTTGGTGTATTTGAGTAAATCAGTTTCCTTACGAATATGCGCAGTACCGCGGGCTCCCTGCTGCACGTGCACTTCACACATTCTGCACAAAGTGTGCGCCGCGTGAACGCGCTCTTTCCCACGTGCTCAAAAATGGCGTTAGCCTCAAAAACGGTTAGCTTTTGTAGCTAACATTACCTCAACGAATTACCAATACGTCGAGATTAATACTGTCATGTGTTTAACATTTCCTAATATGTATCTGAGGTAAGCAACAAAAGCAGTGTGTCGTTCAACTGTTTAAACTGGCTGAAAGTTTGTGTCCAGCTTCTGTAGATTAACGTCAAAAATTCGGCCTTAACTAACGTTTTCGTCTCCGCAGCCCTGTAGTTAAAATTCCTGAATGCTCGATCGGTGACTTGATTTTTAAAACTAAATTCAGAGGACGGGTAGATTCTGCCGACGACGCAGTGTACAGTAGATGGTCAGTTCAGCCACAGAACCTAATTAGCTCTCCTTAATCGCGTTACTGCCTGGACCATAAACACCAGCACTGCATCTCTCCAAAACACGGTCTGAGGGTAATTTGAGTAACTTAATCTTAACGAGTCAGACCTATTCTATGTTTATAAATGGTTTGTTTGGATAAAAATAAAGGTTTTAAAGTTCATAAGAAACTATACTTAGTTACTGAGATACTAACATATGAAAATGCTTAGATTCTCTGACATTTATGTCCAGCAATGTAATTCCACAGATAACAGGAGGATAGTGGGCCACTGTTGGCCCACTGAGGGCAAAGCTGGAGGCCCGCTGGCTTTTTGCTCAGCCTTTTCCAGGCAGCCCAATGGTGGTTAAGCAGAATGTGAGACAAAATGCTTATTTTCGCTGATTTTCCACTCACAGTCCAATTTACTTATTTTTTTCCCCGTACTTCCTTTCGTTATCCTTTATAAATTAGTTTAGCAATGCGTTTAAATTTCGCCCAGTGTGAGCAACATTTTCAGCTAAATCATTTTATATTAGGCTTAGTCATTCTTTTTTTCTCTCTCAGTATGGTGAAAGACTAGATAGACCTTAATCTGGGTGGTTCGATGGTGGATCAGCAGGGTGCCTACCTTATCAAGGTAGCGGACCGATATATGCTTGTTATCTGGGTCATTTTACTTGGACAGGCAGCCAGAATCCAGGGTGATCCAGGAATATCCTGGAGAGGTGGCAACCCTAGACTGTATGTAAGAAATAAGCATCAGACACGTGAATGGATTTCATATACTGTCATCTTCTTTAGAATACTGCTCATGAGCCTGCCTCTCAGCTACTCCATCACTGTACCTGCTGGTAAGTCGTGGGTGCTAAGTTGAATGGTTACTTTATTTTTATTCATTTTCTTAACAGTATAGACCTAGTGGAATATATAATTTCTCTTGCAGTGACAGTAACTCTGACATACAATGGCCCTCATTCACCAATATCTTTCTAAGATTTTTTAAATTTTGTTCTTGAGAAAGGTCCTAAGAAAAAGTTTACATCAGATTCGTGACGTGTTCTCAAACCGCAGAACTGTTCTCACCTTTGTGTTCTTGAGTGTGTGTGGATTCTGTTCTTACCTAAGAACAAATCGAAAACAAAAAACACTGGTGAATGTCAGAATCTTCATAAAAACTGTGAAAGTGGGATTTAAGAAGAAATTTCTTCTTAATAATGATTGTTGAATGAGGCCCAATGAAGCTGAAGGTATGTTAAGAAAGTTGAAGGGGAATTCCACTGACTTCAAAATTTCTGTGTATTTTATGCTTACATTGAGGCATAAGTAAAGCCAATCAGAATGGTTTGGTGTGAAATGGTTAATTTGAGAGACATATGGCTCTGATTCCTTTACAGTGAGGGTGATGAGGTGATTGAGTTGATGGCTGCAACACAAATATAGCATTTTATTTACTATACAAAATGATCAGGGATTCTACAGGTTTTGTATGTAATGTTGATAGTGATAAAATATGAAAAAATCAGTTTTTGGGGTACTATTTTGCCTTACAGCAGCCTGTATGTATCTCTCTGAAATGAATGGATTCTAGAAAAGAATCTCTCAGACGTCTGGCAAAAGCTTTGTGAGGTAGCTTTTTGGGGTGTTAAACCCTTCGAATCGTCCCTGTCACCACTGCTGTGAACATTTCTGACTCTCTAGGTTTCTCCAGAATGGCACATTTCACATCAAACCACTCTGAATGACTTTGATTACATCAAGGGGTGGGAAACTCTGGTCCTGGGGGGCCTGATTCCTGCACATTTTGGTGATAAACCTGCTCAAGCACACCTGATTCAACTCATCATAGTTGATGTGCTGTCCTCAGTTCCCCACCCTCCGTTTACATCTTACATCAGTTTCGTTAAGCAGAAATTTTGGCATTGATAAGCCAATCCATTGGCCACTACCTCTCAGTTTTAGTAATCCTTCCACTGAATTGGCATATCTCAGATATGTGGCAGCCAACAAAGTAGTCGCCTAATAAAAAAAACAGGAAATTGAATGATTAATTAAAGTCAAATGGTGGCCATAGTCACTTTTTATAGCACTCCAGGTCACTACTATTTCAGCCGAACATGACTCAGTCGAAATACTTAGAAAAGTGATGCTGTCCTTTGTGACCACAACAGGAAGTAAGCCTTTATAGGGGCAGTTTTACACAGCTGCCAAAACATTGACAGTATTATTGTTTTGTTTGTTTATTTACGAGAGTGCTTCTGCTGAAGAACTGCTGAAATTATAACCTGTGAAATGATAACATGTGTTTGATTTCCTGTAACGTGTGCAAGAAAGCTATAAGTGATTGATTGTCTTGTGATAATGGTGTCATTATGAAGGGACTTTTACAGCAAAGTGTCATGAGCGCCACTTCTGGTTGTCTGTCAAGGCCAGCTTTTTGGGGAGCATGGTGCAATTTAACATCGAAGGTAAACAGAAGTGTATTCAACGGTTATGGTACACTTTCTTAGAAGCATCTACCACACTGTTAGACAGCTGGGACATTTCATGTAGTATATCTCCCTCATATCCATCTGTGTTCAGGCACTCTGTGGCAGCTACCTGTGACCCTATTCATCATTGTTCAGTTTCTTTCCACAGGACCGCTGTGATCAAATATTAATTGGATAGTGGACCGTTCTCAATTTAATAGTGAAACTGATATAGTGGTGGTATGGTGGTATGTGGTGCTGGTATCGGTACATCAGCCAAAATCCAGCAAAGAGCAGCCTTGTGGTCAGAAACTGACCACTGAAAACAAATTATGCATCATAGCAGATGGGCTATAACTGTGCACCAGCGGGGTCTACCTACAGGGTAGATGATTCTAATAAGGTGGTCAGTGAATGTACCCTTTCCGGTGAGTAATAAATATATGACCTAATTTCCTGTATCAGACAGCACTGGTATCCACTTCCTGTCTAGTCAACGGGCTGCAGAATGTGGCTACACAGTGGTGTTGAATCACCATGGAGATCTTGTATTCCGGGCCTCTTACCTCGCCTGCTATGTAGAAAATAGGGTAAGTTATACAGCCTAATTTTCTCTCAATGCATTACTGTAATGCAGCTGATTAAGATGTAACAGAAGACCTTTTGCTCAAGAGGGGTCATGGGTTTTCATCTCCATGCCTTAAAGGTGCACTTCAGCCAAAATGGAAAATGTAACCATTGTTACATCTATTATAAATATGTCTGCTCAGGTGCCCCAATAGTCCCAAGAGTGAAAGACTAACCCCATTCTGATGATGTACCTTGACGGTGAGAGGGATTTTTGAAAAACTACAAGCGCTTTGAGGTGGATACATGAGGGTGGACTGTTTCAAATTTGTTTTTTTTTTCCCTGCATGCTGTCTAATGCAGAAGGAAGCCAGATAGCCGATGTTACTGCTAAGAAGCTAAATAATGTCTGCATTTAGTGGCCTCTTTGTGTCCGTCATGCATGCTGGATATTAATTGGATGAGAATGCCAAACGAATACAAAATCATGGACTGTCAAACAGTTGAAGCTGAGGCATGCTATGCTGTGGTAAAGAATGCTGCATAACACAGCGAATAATGTAGTAAATGCTTGGTTTAGGCTGGAATGCCCCTTTAAGACACTGTATTGTTTTCAGATAATCTGTTAAGTTCAGACTTGACTGCTTGATTATGCGGGTATGTTTAGTGCTCTGTGAGTTGACTGTATTCCAATCTCTCTATTGTGTGGCTGCAGAGAGACACTGAGTTCAGACTACAAGTGTGGTTTGTCAACAGACAATCAGATGGGAGCGTTGATGCTTACCCGTTTAAACTCCACTGCTCTGTGACTGAGCCCTGGAGCCCTAGAGAGATTGTCTGTGAGGAGAACTACATGGAGGTGGGACCACAGCGGCTTGCAGCATACTTGCATTGGGCATGAGACAGAAGTTGAATATATCTTTCTTTTAAGGTTTCCGTTCAATGGCACATCCCAGTTGAATCACAAGGAGTGAAACTGCTTGATTTGCAGTCTAAGGTATGTAAGGTTACTGCTTGTAAGTTATTAGCCATGGGTCCAAACAAATTTTAACCCGCTGGTTTGAAAGAATACTAGTGGTAAAGTTGAATGCATGATTGATTTTGAACTCATATGTCTTTGTTGAATGAATGAATCCAGACATCTGAAGACAGAGTAGAACAAATGCGCATGGAGCGTGTGATCTTCTACAGGCCAGGTGATGCTCACCATGCATCTCAGTCAATCAAAGAGGCTGAAGCGTTAGGGTACCACATTGTTGCCACCGATACCCGAATGCTACTGCGCGGTGCCTACTCATCACCATTCTCCTATATGCGCAAGGTTAGAATGTACACAGTCTATCTGACCAGTGATTATTAATATATTAGTGTAACTTTTCACTGCTTTTTCACTGATCATTTCTTTTGCCTCTGTGTGTACTAGGAACAAAACATCCAGATGGAAGCAGTTGATGCTATCATCATTGTTCAGCTTGAAGGGGCATCCATCCCAGTTGAGATTTCAGTGGCCTGCACAAGGAGTTTAGTTATTTTTTTCTTCATCTTTCTTCTGCTGCTTATAATAATAATAATAAAAAAAATAATAATAACAATAATAAATGTTACTACTACTCAGCCATCAGTGTACCGTAAGCCAGGAAAATGCCATAGAGCAAAAAAAAAAAACAACAAACATTAGTCTGTGTTTAATGTAGATTTGTTATAATGCTATTCAGTTGTTGTTGTTTGTTTTTTGTTTGTTTGTTTTTTTCTTTTTCATTTTTTGCAGTATATATCTTTTGCCCTTAATCTCTTTATCCACCTCTCTCACTCTCCTCAGCTGAGGCTGTGGTGGATGGTCTTCACCTGCTGTGGTCGTTCCCTCTGGCCGTTTCTTCTCTGGTGCATGGCTTCAGAAACGGCGGAATAAGAATGGAAGTAGGGGGAAGAATGCTGAGTGACTGTGAGATGCATGAAAGTGGTTACAAAGCCACCCTGAAAGACCATACCATGGAGATCAGGATTCCAAGTGAGGCAAATGGAGCACAAATAAAGGTAAACAAAAATGTAAAAAAAAATAAAAAGTAAGACTTTGATGATAGTAGTGTTAACCTTGCTGTAGTGCAATTAGATCATCTTTTTATAGTCTATCTGGGGGGGAAAAAAGCCCCTCATGCACATTATTGGCTCATAAATAATTTTATCATAGAATATACATGCATGCTTCAGTGCTGCATACTTTTTGCTGCATCTGTAGGATCACTATGGACAATAATTTTGACACATTTTCCATTCATTAGTGAAAGAATGAAAGGCATAACAGAAGCCAGTGGGCAGATGCTGAAACTCCTTCTCATTAACCTAAATGTATTTTGAGACAATGGATATTCTTTTATGATTACAGGGAAATTACTGTCCATGGTATTTAGTCATGTTTCCGGTGTGGCAGATAGAGATTAGGTTGAAAAATGATGGTGTATTCCTTTAAATGCTCTCATTCTCATCATTAGAGTGATGTCATTATGGGCCAGTATGTTCAGTCTCTGTCAGTGGAGCTCTTTTATATGCATCACTGGGAAGATTTGATCTGGCTTCACACTCAGCATCGCAGCTTCCGACTCCTCTGTACACCATATGTGCCTCAAACACCAACCCTCATCAATGGTGAGGATCCACCAGAAACCTGTACTCATCTTAAAACTACATGCTTAGATGTAGAGGTCTGCACGAGACTGTTTTTTCCCACCCGCTCCCACAAGATTTCATCCCTCTCCTGCAAAAACTCTGAATAATTTGTCCCACTGCCGCCAGCAACCAAAAAGTTTTGGCTCGCTCCCACCCGCTCAGTTCCAACAAGGCAAACTGACGTCCAGTGTTTGATGTAGTCTTTTCACAAATACGTTATTCTCTGCTAAAATAACACAGTAGTCTTTGTAATTGGGCTTCCTGTGAAGTAACTTTACCTTACGCCATTTATTCCCAGTAAACACAAAGCAAGAATTAAACGACAGAGTTGTTATTTTTGGTATTTTTCTGGGCTTGGCAACTGTGGCCGTCAGACTGAAGGCTCCGCCATCTCTGTAAGCTACAAGAATTTGCGTGTTGTTCACGTGATCGGTGGCTTTGCGACTCTTTAGAATGACTTCGTTTATTTTAGTCATTTAACTGTTATTGTGTACTGTTTATGTGTATGATTTAGTGATTTCTCTTCAGGCGTGCTTTGTCTGCTGTGGGCTTGTTACCCATCAGCTCCCGTGCACAAGACTGAAAATTAGTCATGCGCCACAAGATGTTGTGGTGGGTTCTGCGGGTGTGCAGACCTCTACTTAGATGCTTCAGGCAGCCGTCATCGGCATTTTAAAAATGAACTACTGTCCTGATATGCCCTATGTTTTTTGTTCTGTCTAAAGACACAGTTTCTTCAACCAGTATGTTCTCCATCACCCTGGGTGTGTTCCCAGCTGATGTGTCACTCCAAAATATCACTGTGGGGAATGATACAATGACCTGGACAAAGGCACAACACCAAGGACTTCATTTGACCCAGCTTCTCTTCACCAATGGCAGCCATGCCTACACACTTCACGTCCCCTTTTCCCACCCACTGGTCACCCAAAAGGTGGATATTTGCCTTTGCAGTTACATCTTACGTGTACATATTTTATAATAATACTTTTGGGTATGATTTTCTGCTGTTTACAGTTTGGATTTGCTAGATAAAAAGACATCACCACTATTTGTTTCCATTCAGGTTATCAGTAAACATTACAGGAGACACATCCTGGCCTTGACCTTTGACTTCTTCATCTTACCTGAAGAGGAGCATTTCAGCTATAGCACAGATGTAGTGTCTGATCTAAAAATACCAGGTAAAACTAGAGTTTTTTATTGTGAACGTGGCTTGCTATTCGCTGTTTTGGCTTACTAACTTGGTTTGTCTTGCAGTGCTTTTGTGTGTATATCCTCACTGTTATAACAAAAGCTTGTATTTTTGAAATAGTAACATTATTCCTGTCGCTGCCAGCTGTTTCCTCCAGGCTAGAGGGCAGATGTACAGAGAGAGGGATTGTGGTGCGCCTGCACTATGGCTCAGAAGATGTGCAGTGGGAGCTGTATGTGGGGCAACGCAGGCTGGACTGGGAGCTTGTACGGCTTGGAGGTTACAGACTGAAGAGTGAAGATGACCACTTGAGTGTGGAATTGCCCCTGTATAGCCCTGGCATGACTTATGAGGTGCTGGAAAAGCTGTAACAGTAGCAGTAATGCAGCAAGGCTTATGCTTAAACATGTGTGAAGCATAGTAAGTTTTAGGAATAGAGATTTTGTTCACCTCTGCTGCCATCTTGTGGTCTGTTCGGTTACACTCTAATCCTAGTCAACCAGGAGTGTCAAACACTGTTTAGTTGTGCTGAAGAAAGATTATCTCGTACACTGATAATGAAAAGTGGCTGAACATGAATGAACTCAAGCTGTTGGTATGTGTAGGACTTCAGTTTGAAGGACCTGGTTGCTAAGGTGGAGGTCAGTGCTTTGGATGTGTTGACGCTCAAGGTGGAGCACTCCCTGGTCCAGCGCTGCACATTTCCAGTCAGAGATTTGTTGGGTAATATGCATGCACACATGCGCACACACACACACACACACACACACACACTACCTTACCACATACAGTTCTGTCTCTACTGTGCAAAATTACAGACATTCAGTTTATTTTTAATTTCCAGCCAGTCAGAAGAAGCAAATAAACAAAGATTAATCATTTTCAGGATTAGAAAAAGGCAGAAGACATATATTTTACAGAATATTACACAGATGCCTCAACAACTAAATATAATGTATATATAATATAAATATAATATACATTTTTTCAGTTTTCAATTTTTGTCTCCTTTTTTTGCCTTTATTACAGCCTCCATTCTTTTTGAGAAATATGTGCTTTCAGTTGTTCTAAGATGTCCATGGGGATGTTTTTTTCCACACCTCCAGACTTGGAAGTTGTTGCTTGTTTTGGTTTTTCACAATCCAAGTGATCAAAAAAACATTGAATGATGAAGTACTTTGGGATGGACAATCCGTTGTTCTGAGAACTCCAGCAGCTTCTTTGTTTGATTTGCAAATTTTCTTCTTTTTTCTATTTCTTTGTTTCACTAACAGCTTCCTAAGAGCTGCACATCCTTTCAGACCCCCAATGTTGAGCTGTCTTGTCACAGTGGGAAGATACACTTTCTATCAGTGGGATAGAAACACTTGTGGGTTTTTTCAGTTTTGGAGCAGGAGTAAAGCTTGATTTTTTTTCTCTGTCAAAGAAGCATTTAGCAGATCTGTTTTAGTGTCTACTTGGCAAGACTTTTTTTTAAACTTATGCAAATCAGTTGTAGTTTGAAGACCCTTTGAAGCTAAGATGTTCCCAGAAACACGAGTCAGAACTAACTTGATTTGTCTCGCAGTACATAAATTCAAAAATACATAATACAAATAATTTAAAATGAGTGCATCATTTGAATTTCACAGTTCTCATATGACACACATTGACCTTTGCCTTTGTGTTCACAGCATGTCTGCCTGAGGGAAGGATGGTCGTGGTCGCAGACACGACTCGCTCTATCCCTCCAGTCAGACCCAATAGCACCACTCTTCTGGACCCTTCCTGCACACCTGTGGCAACAGACAGCACCAGAGCCCTGTTCAACTTCAGCCTGGACTCTTGTGGCACCACCGTGACTGTGAGCATACACATTGAAAGCAGACGTGATAGATGAAGTCGAATGCAAAAGTGTGAACACCTCTGGTTTTTGTTTATTTTCTAAGTTAACGATAAGTTAACACATCTTTTACAGAGAACAAACTTAATGCATTTTTTCTGCAAATTGTAGTTTCCATTTATTTGCTAGGTTTTACTCAGTAAAAAAAATCATAAAATATAGACATTATGTGCCATAACTGTTGCACAGGTCACATTTTTTCCCCAATGTGTCAAACTTAAATTGCATTAAATTGTGCTTTAAAGTGTGTTATCCGTGGAAGATGTGTACTTATTTTCACCTAAAAATAAAAAAACTAATTTTCACTTGTTACTGCATCAATCAGAGTTCAGTTATTTCAGAGCTATAAGACAGAAGTTTGAACAACGTTTTATAAATTATGCATAGGAATATTGCTTAAATATGGCAGTCCCAGCACCAGGCACTCTAAATTCTGCAAGGGCATCTGTTGATCGGAAATCTTAGCTTTGGAATTGAATAGACTGGGCCTGATTGGTTCAGATGGTTTCCTTCGCTTCCAGTTAACTTCTACTTTGAAGACTATATAACGCTCAAAGTCCTTCCCTCAAACAAGACTCGTTAAAGAGCACCATTAACTTTAACTGGTAATTTACTTAACAATTTTAACAGTTCAGCAAGATGCCAGAGAGTTGGGATGCTGAAAGCCTTAAAGATTTAATTGATGTCGTCATCCAGGTGGAGGACAATTTTCTGCTGTATGAGAATCAGATAAGATACAGGCAGAAGTTTCTACCAAAAGAAGACCCCTTTATACACGTTGACTCACCGTACAGGTAATATGCAACTCTAACCACTTCTCAATATTGACTGAGGAATAAGACTTTGGAAGCCATTACTACTTGAAATTCATGGAGTGCTCATGCTTGAATAATACTGGTTGAAATCCTGCTGATTTTTTCCTCCTACCTCCAACTTACTTGGTCTTGTGTGAAATGCTGTGAAAGATTGACATTGCAGTGTCGGTACCCGGTAAACAACACCAGAACATTGACACTCCATCCCCTTCGCAATGCAGCCGTCCAACGTCCATCATTGCCTTGGAAACAGACATGAAGGTCCAAAGGGATAAACCATTGCTATCAGCCTCTCATCAGAGGTATCATTATTTCGTTGTTCAGAATGTAAAATAATATTCCTCAGTATAGTAATGTGCTGCAGTAGCCATTGATATTATCAATTAAATTAATAATTTACTGTTTGTATGTGCTCATGCTTTGCCATTGTGATATGTTGAACAGGTCAGGATGGAAGGTATAACTGTTGTGCCTGCTGGACTTGTCAAACAAATACTTCATGAAGTTGCTTATGCATCAAATAGTTCATGCAGTGTACTCCCATTAGCGGTTTCATAAGCATTAACTGTTTCATGATCCTCTATCATTGTGTTTATAGATCCAACAAAGAATCCAGTACCTGCACCATGTGGTCTTGTGCTGCAACAAGCAAATGAGTGCATTTCTGCAATGTATGTGATATTCAGAGAACAATAAAATAATCATACATAACCATGTTTTCCATGTACTCATTTTTTGTTGTGTCTCCTACTAGAACTACTGAACCACAGAGAGGCAAAGCAAAGTCTCTTATTATTATTGTGCATAACTCCAATAATAGCTTGAGGATTAGAGACTTTTGGGATGTCAAAAAGGTTATTTTAGCAAAACACTTTGAGAGGTTCCAGAAGGTTGTAAGGTATTTGTTGATGAGAGTGACTTTCAGCCGATCTTAAATTGCATTTGCCCAGTTAGCCAATCAACACAGTTTACCCAATCAGTGCAGCTCAACAGTGTAATCAGCTAATCAGCTCAGCTGGCTTGAGACCAGTTAGTCAGTGTGAAAGAGATAAAACCACACAAAAGACCACGTCAGTGTACGCAAAGCTAGTTTGGCCAGGGTAGTTGTCTTCATGCCAGTGTAGTATAATGAAACTATAGACACTGCAAATCAGTGGCAATGGCTTTTGGATTTTATTCAGGGTATTTGGGTGTTTTGTTTTTCCTTTAATTTATTTGTCTGTGTAGACAAGCTGTTTATTTCTTGTTTCCCCTCAGATGGCTCCTTCTTTTGACAGTTGCTTGTGCACTGTGTGACCCAAAACATTTGCCACAATATGCTCTGGTGCCTGATGGTAATTAGGAAAATGTCTTTTGGCACAACAAGAATTCAGTTCTCTGTGTGTGAGTCTGTTTCAGATAATATGTCTACTTATATTGCTTCTGTCTGCAGTTGACTTTGAGACTGAATGCAGGGACAGATATTTCTTTGTCTCTGTCAAGATGCCTTCTCCTGGCAGTGAGCTTCAATTTCAAGCATTTGGTAAAATCACTATGCCTTGTGTTACACTTGAACCACTTTACTACCAGAAACTTAAAACGTTCAAGCTGTTAACCAGCCAAGTATTTTGCTTCTTAGATGCTGGTGGAGCATATCCCATCACTGCACAACATGGGGAATTTTGTGGCTATACAGTTCAGGCTGTTTTTGATCGTATTGTTCTTAGGGCCTCCTACTTCTCTTGCCACACAGACAATCAGGTACAACATGTGAATGCATCATTCCAACTCCAGGAAATGTTCTCAAATGCAGAATAAAGCTAGTTATTTGGAATAAAAATTGCTAGAAATTCCCTGTAGCAAAACAGCTTTTGTGTTTGTTTTGTTTTGAGAACGATGAGGTATTTAGTTTCAAGTTCAAGTTGATAATAGTGAACCCCAAAGGAAGAGAAACATCTGCTATTATCTCCAAGACTTGTTCACTGACATTACCATGGTCTCCAAGAGAGGTCTTGTGTGAGGAAAACTATATGGAGGTACATCTTTTAGTGCATCTTAACCAGTGTGATTCATTCTGGCAGCATTTTTTTATTTGTTTTTCTTTTTCCCTTTAGGTTTCAGTCAGTAGAGATCTCTCATGTCCATATGCTGGTAACCTTGAAGATGACCTAACTAAAACACTTTCTGTAGTGAGTGATTGTGTCCAATATAAAATGCTTTGATGATGAAACCTAAAAATAATTGTAATATGGTTTCTTGGCATCTGACCACTCACAGGGATCAGTGGTGTCTGGCTGGCAGATTATGTTTGAGAAGGAGGGACAGCACTCTGAGGTCATGTCTGCTGAGAAGGCAGCAGCTCTAGGCTATTTCCTAATGTCTACCACAGGGAGAATCGTCTTCCGCGCTGCCTTTGGCCGACCTTGCACAGCCATCAAAGTGGTAGGCCTTTGCCAAACCAGTCTTAACATGCATGACTGTCGCAACTCATAGTATTGATTTGCTTGTTTAATGCATTCCTGATGATTTCATTTGATTTCCTGATGTCTGAAATTCTAACACGCTTTGCTTCCAAAGGCCAATGGTGTTTCTATACATGAGCTCCACTCAGTTGTGCTCTTCAGGCAGAAGTCGACTGTTATGAAAACGGACTTGGATGTTGCCTGTGTCCTTAGTAAGGAACTGTTTTTTTTTGTTTTTTTTTGTTTGTTTTTTTTTGCCAGGTTTTATGGGAGCTTGTAACTTGCTTACTTTCCTCCTTTGCTTTCTGGTAAAGGCTCTTCCAGTGGTGCACAGATCCTGTGGGAGACTCCAATGAAGACCCCTCTGCTTATGAAATCTGACTTTGAGGACAAGCTGACTAGCTACAGGGTGACTGGCCAACTTCTGGAAAAGCAAACGATCATGAGTCGTGGTCACGCCATGCCAGGCAGTACAGGAACACTGGGGACTGGCATCCCATATGTTTCCAGTGAGGAATTCAGAAAGGTGAGACCACTAGCTGTTAAAGCCTTTAGTAAAGAGGGACCATCTATTGAAAAACACTAACCTATGATCTTTTATCATAGGCTCAGGCTTTTGTAAGGTATAAGAGAACTGCTGTAGTAGGGTATAGGAACTACTAGCCGTCATATTTCCGTGAATTGATGTTAATTTCAGTTCCTCTTATGTCAGTTGAACTTTAATTGGTTATTGACTCATGTAGATGGATCATTCACTTGTTGGTGACTTTTTAGAATCTTCTGGAGAATCAATACTACCACCAGAACTCTTTCATGGACACGGGTGTTAAAGTTGTGGCTCCCCATCCGTTACCTCTCAACCTGCTAACGGTCAACCGTGAGTTGATATTTTTTTTTAAATGTAAACACTGCTGATTTTTATGTATTTGTTTTATTTTTTTACAAGTATACTGTTAAGCCTTTACTTGTTTTGCATGCAATATTACAGCCAACTGAGGTAATATGGTTGCCAAAATGGCTTAAAAAATGATCAACTATGTTAGTTTGTATCTGATGCAGAGTTCCAGTAAAGGTGAGGTCTGTTTAAACAAACTTGCCTTTACAACTCCCTAATCTAGAGACTGTCCCCAAGGAACGTATCTTCACTGTCTATCTGGGTAATATTCCCCTGGATGTGGTGTTGGAAGCTGTTGAGCTCAATGGTAATTACTTCCCTGCATGGGCAGCGAGTCAGAGAGGATACATCAGTGAGATTACGTATTCTAACGGTACTCACGCCTACAGTGTTAAGGTCCAATTTGAAGACCCGGTTGTGGAAATGATCGTAAGTCCTTTGATGTGATCTTAACTGATAAGGTCTTAAACTAGTTTGCTCACTTTTACTCTGCGGGAGAATTAGCTCTTTCTTTAAAAACATCTTCACAACTGACAGTTGACATTGTGTTTGTTTCCTGCTTTTTAGTATATTACTGAGGGAGTATTCAAGTATTCCCTAAGCATTAAGTACATTCTGATCTTCATGCCGCAGGGGCAACTGTACCATCATTCTGTTTCTGTGGTGGCTTATGCCCATGATGTCCGTAAGTATTCAGTATACAGGACCAAAGCTACAAGTTAACTGTGATTTTTCTTTTTACTAAGACCTTCTGTTAGAACTGCAGACTTACCCCAAATGTTCTTCCCATTAGTTCCTCCTGCTTTTAGTAGCCAGTGTGACGTGAATGGCATCAGCTTTAAGCTGGACCACAAGAAGTTTAACTACATATGGGAGTTTACCATTGGGCCTTACCCTCTGACACAGCAGCTGGCTGACAGCCAAGGCTACATCATGATCAACGATAGTCGGAGTCTGGTCATGCATGCTCCCCTTTTTACAACTGGATACTTGTATGAGGTTTGGAACACTTATTTTGCATTAATGTGTAGCTGGTACTAGACCAGTTCTGGTGATCTTGCACTATGCACGTTCTTGTGCTTTGTCTCACCTGATTCAACTCACTAGCTAAACGTGCCTTCACGCTTAGAGGCTAGTAATGGACTGATCAAATAGGATGTTAATTTTCTTGTTTTTCCTTTTTGAAGAATATTACTCTGCAACAGTTCTTTGGCACATTTGAAATTCTCACAAGGAATGCAAAGACTCTGGAGGTCGCACAGTCTTCAGCCAGACGCTGCCTGTTCAAAACCACTGAGCTGTTAGGTAATGCCTGACAGTACCCATGGTGTAATTGAGATTAATTGCAAGTTGTGCTACTTGCCCTTCTAAACTGTGTTTAAAATGTTCAGTGTAAACAAATGGCGCAGTACTCCAGAGCTGATGTGGATTTCAAAGTCTTATGCAGAAATAGTGCCATGACCTTTCATGTCTCCCCCAGTGTGTTCCACTGATGGGGTAATGACTGTTGTGAGTGATGTCACCAAGGCTGTCCCGAGAGCAGATCCTGCAAGGGCTACCCTTCTGGATAGGAACTGCAAACCCAGAGACTTTGATGAGACCAAAGTCCTATTTTCATTTGGTCTAAATACCTGTGGGACCAGGGTCAAGGTTTGTTTTGTCTCACGTCTTAATTATGGATGCTAGCCAGCTCCTTGCTCACAATTGCTTTGTCTTTTACAGATTAACAAACAGTATATCATGTATGAAAATGAGATCCTATTCCCCATGGTATATTCCTCTGAGATCAAGCCAGTCATCACCAGGGATGCTGCATACAAGTAAGAATTTGTAGCATTGATGTATTGCATTGAGAAACTGAGTGAAGTTATTTTCTTGGAGACTCACAAAAACATCTCCAAACTACTCCTTTCTACAGGATAACCGTAAGGTGCATGTATTCAGTGCATGGCACCAGTAGGCTATTTATCAAGAGGAAATTCAAAGCTGAGGCTCCTGCAATGACTGTTCCAGTTGATCATAAAGCAAAAGCTCCAGTGAAAGGTTAAGTAGTTCTTGTTTTTTATTGCTTGGTCTTCATTGTATAAAGGACCTGGCTGGCTCTGTCTTCTGTGCAACATCTGACTTAACTAATCACAGTATCTATGCTGTTAATGTAATTCTCTAAAAAAGAAGGTGGAGAGAGGAGGAGGAAAACTTAGACCAGTGACACATTGGGTCGTGGTCCAAACAGAGCAAGGATTCTTGGTAGTGTACAAGGTCTAAATACTCCTCACCTACTAGCCCAGTGTCGCTTAATTGTGGAGTGACCATAAAACCATACCATTTTTAACTAAACTTCATGTTGGAAGTGATGGAGTGACGATGACTGTTACAGTACGAGAAGAGAACAGTGGAGTCAAGTCTGATTTTGAATGCGAGGTGGATTTACTTATTGCAGGTAGTTTTGCTGTGCTGAGAAACATTTAGTAGCGTCAAGTGAGCTTTCTTTTTAGTAGGTAAAGCAGTATTACCAACAGCATGCCTTATCTTCAGTTTTGTTTTTGTTGAGTGTCAACAGAAATAATGTTTGTCTGGATTTGATGCTGGTCAGAAAGCAAGCTTTACTTCCTCCTTGAAGTCTTCTGGCTTGTGAACTGTTTAGAACTTATGCAAATGGTTCTCAGAATAAGTTCAGGTTATTTATAGCAAGCCCGTACAGTGCAGATATAGCTGTACCCCCTCCAACTGACTTTAGGAGATGCCTTTCATATCTTTAGAATTACAACACAATGTTTTGAACATTTATTTTTTGGGCTGGAAAACTGATTAAATTATCAGCATGACTGGTCCCCTTTTAAGTTTAGAGAAAAGTCCAATGTCTTTTGTTTATAAGGAGTATCTAATGGAGCTGACGGTTAGATTCACTTGCATGTTTTTCTTTTTAGACAGCATCCCAGTACTGATTGACCTCTGCACTGGTTCTTAGTTCATAGGGTGAAGCCTGAACCCAGCAGGAGACTTTCACCTTACAAAACCCAGAGTTATTGAGGAAAGCCTGCTTCTGTCTTAATGGCTCCACTAATGTTTATGCCCACTTAAGGATGACCCAAAGTGTATTTTACTTTGTGGTGTTAGGTAAATAGCCACAATTTGCCATTGACTTAAGATGTTCCTGTAGAACTGCTTTGTGCAGTTTAACTAATGTATGCCTCTTAATGTTTTTTTCTTTCAGGAAGACCTGGGAATTGTTTCACTTTGAATATAATAAATTTCTTGTTTCTAACTTTATTCTGTGTCTAACCTTTTAATGCACTTAATACACAGGGTCGCCAACTTTGCAAGTATTTCAAGTGTACCTACCACTTGTTTTTCCAAGAATAGGGCAGTGAGGAAAGTCTTTCCTAAACTTAAATTTTTACTTTTATAGGGTAATAATTTGGAGTTCTAGTCAATACTCTGCACTGTGCCCTTTGATGGCTTCCATATTCCACAGAGCTGACTTAACAAATCTAGTCCAGGGCTAGAATTAAGGAAACACTAAGGCTGTATCTGAATAGTTGAATGAAACTTCATTTCCTGTGTGCGTTTCTTGTTCATGCCTGATCTGTAGCCCGTGACTTCACAAAATATTGGCAGAGCTGACTAACAAGTGGATCCTCCATTGCTACCAGTTTAGCAAAAATCAGATAGGAAAGGATGTCTCGTTTAACTATTAGGATGTATCCCAGACATGACGAGCACAATGCTCAGACAGGATTACCCAATGTAATATTAACTGATCCTAATGCATGTAGGTGTTCCCAGACGGTTTTACAGATGTGTTCCGTTATATGGCAAGACTCTCATCCCATATTAGGAACTAAAGCACTCTGGGAGTGTTAAGTTACATTCTGCAATCGATCCGACAACTTGTTAATGAGATGTGGAATAACATAAACGCAGAGGCAGAAAAACCAGGATCATTCGTAGATTTGAAAATAATGGAAATGGAGGAAACATCATTTAATTGGCATATTTAAAAAATTCACTTATTTACAAAGTTAAGCTGTACAGGTCAGTCCTACTCTGTTTGTATTATGCCTGAAAAGTTTCTTTCTCAATTCAAGTCTGTCAGTAATCCAATCATGGCTGTAGAAGTTTAACATAACCCCCACCAGCTCTTTTGTTAGTTATAATAGAGACTTTGCTCTAAATTACCATGCAAGGCACCCCAAGCCTGTTGGTGCCCAGTATAAAGTGGCAGTGTTGGGGCTTTGGGTGCTGTCTGTGGGCTTTGTGTGGGGCCCATGCTACTGATGGCAGTGGTGAAACATGCACTCTGTGTCTTGGAGTTCTGGAGGAATGCCAGCTGGGCCTGCGACTGCACCAGGTTCTGGATCAAACTCTGGGTTAAGAGCTGGGTTTGATGATTCTGTGTAACAAGCTGATTAGCATGGGTCAGGGTTCGGTTCTGGTTCTGCAGGGCCTGAGTTAAGTTGTGGTGGTTGTTGGGGTGGATTCTTTCCCTCCAGTCCTCCTGCTGCTGCCGATGGATCTTCATGTGGGCATTTCTGCTTTTGATCTTGTAGAACATTCTGATAATTGAGCAACAAAGGGGAAGAAGATCAATTTCTCCATATTTTGTCAGTTTCTCTAGAAGTCAGAGTTGGTTTCCTGGATAGATCAGATCTAGTCTGTTTTGATTTACCATTGAAGGAACTTTTTGGTCTGAGTCAGCAAAACTGACCGAGTGTACCAGATGCTGAAGTTCATTGGTAGACTTTGGTTTCCTGAGGTTCTAACTGCTAACACTGAGGGAAGTTGGTTTGTTTTTTTTTGTTGTTTTTTTTCCAATGATGGGGAAAATAAGCAATCAGTATAAGCATTTTTAACGTTAGGAACACAAAATGGAAGACAGAACTATTGAAACTTCAAAGCCTGAGAGAGCTTTCTAATTGGGTGAATCTTGCTCACACAGTGTACAAGTACAAAATATGCACAGTTAATGTGTCCAATAAATACCTAGTGTACATCAAAATTGCACTTCAGTGCTGTCATTTCCTAAATATGATTAAAGATTTTGTAAACTTTACCCTTACCAGTCAAAAAGATATGGCTGGCCCACTCAACTTTAACAAACTTGGGAATTCCCCCACAGTCTCGCTCTGAGTCTGAGCAATTTAGTGAGTGAAAGCTAACCTAGGAAGCATAAATGGGCTTGCAAAGATTCAGTCTGTCTGTCTGTCTGCTGCCTGCCTGTCTGTTTTTGTTCATTCTTCCATCCAACCAGCCATGCCAGCATTCTGTGCACTGCTATGCCAAGTTAAGCATGAGTGAACCAAGAGATGTCCAATGAGCTTGCACAGTAGAATATTATAGATGGGTCTGATTCTGATCCGTGAATAAAGTATGGTTAAAGTAGTTTCATCAGAATTTTACCTTGTTTAGTTTCTGGAACTTTATTGAATGTTTAGTGTCATTCAAACACAATGTTCCCTGGGATTTTAATCGAATGTCAGAAGTCAGGTATATACTTACTTTCCACATTGTTTACATGGGAAGCTTGTAGCCAGGGAAGGTGTATGAATTAGCCTTTCCATATTTATAGGATTCATCATTATCTTGGTTGGCATCACAACCTGTAAAGAAAAGTAACGTGGAGGTAGCATCATAATTGAGATGGCAGTCACAGGAATGCTTTCAATCTATTTTCATCACATCCTGATAATTACTATTAAAAGAAATATTTTATTACTAATCAAATCAAACATTTCCATTTATTTTAAAGTATTTTGTATAAATTTAGATGAAATTTGTTTAAGATGGTCAGTTTAGGCTATTGGACATACTTTAGTACACTCAGGTTTTGTAATGTAGGAAAGAGATTTACTTGGCTAGTGGAAGTAAAAGTAGTTTCAGCATCCATCTGCTGCTGCTGTTCTTTCTCTCTCTCCTTCTGCTTCCTCTGTTTTTCTTGTAGACGCTTGGAATGATAGTAGAATTCCACACACTGTGATATCTGCTTTGTCTTTACCTTAAAAACACATGCACACAAGCACACTTTGAATGGTTTTGTCCCACATGTGCTTTAAAAGGTGCTTTCAGGAGTTTCAGTATTAAAGAAAATTACCATTTTGTGAATGAATGAGAAATCTTTGCCATACATGGCAAAAGCCTTATGGAACAGCTTTTGTTCACTCAAACGCCACACGTCGCTGCCTGTGAGAGGGGGAAGAGGGTAACTTAATAATAAAGACTAATACAATGTACTTTTAGGGAATAGGAAAAACTGTGGATTAGCTAAATTGTTCACATTTATTTGTCTATGAAATAAATCTGAATTAGAATATAGCAAGACTGCCAATTGCACTGTTATGTACAGGGTAGGAGAGTTTTAATGTGGACATGTGATATAATTTTAAATGAAAGAATCTTTCCCTTGCTAAAAGGCAACCAAACGTGGGGCTCCCTCAAAGGAAGCTCAGCAGTTAGGGCACAGAGTAGTCGTGGGAAGACATGAGAGATTGAAACACATTCTGTGCATAGTGCATAAGAGTAATGAGTCAGAGGTAAAGCTGTCATTAGGTACCGGCATAATGGTAGTCTCTTGAAGGTGTAGAGTTGGAGAAAAACATCATCTCCAAAGCACCCTGTAACAGATGATGTAAATAAGAGATGAGATTTATTGTTACCTGGCATTTGCTGTCATTAAGTGACCTCAATAACTTGGTCTTGAATATATGGCTAAGAATAGTTCTTTCCTCACCATTATGTTGCCTTGGCACAAGGAGAGACTGTGAAGGGCAAACTCCAGATTAGCGCCACCTCCAGGTAAAGCAGTAGATGTGCTGAGATCTAGTAGATTTTCAACTAAGAAAAAAAAATGTGTTATGAAGATAAATAAATACATGAAGGTCATGCAGGGTTTGCATATTATTCTAGAGGTTTTGGGACAATGAGGTTAAACTTATTATAATTTTTACCTAATAAACAGTTTTGACTACAGATTGAAAGATGAATGTGATGTGCATAACAATCAAGTCAAGTACATTTTTTCCCCGTTTTTATTTTTCTACATCAGTCAAGCACAGGGACTGTCCTTTACACTGTGTGAAAAATCTAACCATGAACAGATCAGTAGAGTGCTCCAAAAATTGCTTAGAATAAAATCTATTTATCTTTCATTAAAAGTAAAGAAAGTTTTTGCCCTCTCCTGTAAAGTTGCCATTTTGGAGAGACCTGTTTTTCTTTGGACAGCAAAGATACCATGGTCAACATTTTGTAATTGTATTCCTCCTGTTCATTCTACCCGATTTTAGTGAGCATAAAAGGAATGAGAAGTAATACCAAAGTTATTGTTTGCATATACATGGGATACAATAACTACATACAGTCTGCAAACCCCATGTTGCCAGTCTTTTGCCTTTTTTGTGTGAAACGGAAGATATTTGTATACTATGTAAAAATGATGTGGAATTTCTTGAATAAAAGAACAGATTGACAGTGTACCATATGCTGAAGTCTTGTTTAAAATATAAACTCCACTAGGGTCAAAAACAGAAAGGCCAAGTATACAGTTGACCATGCAGAATTCACTAATTTTACAGAGAGACAATTTGTCATCTACTAAAATTTGAAAAGGTTAAAGTATGGAAAGTATGCATCGCCTGTGAAACATGGCAGAAGTACTGTCATAGCTTAGTTGTGCAAAGGAACCTCTAAAACTGGTGTGCTCTTGTTTATTGTCATTGTAAATGAAGATGGCAGTATGTTTAATGTGGCCAGGAACCTGCTTAAGACTGACATGCAGACTGATCAACCACAGACTGTGGCTACAGCAAAAATAGACATGGGAAAAAGCTACATGGTTGAAGATGGTTCTTCAAGGGTTCTTTAGTAAAGGCAGTGGTTCTAAATAGCACCATGCCATGATTAAATGGTCCTTTGCATGGTGAAATGATTCTTCAGATTGATGGAAAATGTGTTATATATGGTTCTATATAGAACCTTTTTGAAAATGGTTCTGTACAGCACCAAAAAGGTTCGTTTACAGTTACAATGTCAACCTTGCAACAATAGAAGTTTGTTTTTGGTGCTACATAGAACCATTTTCAAAAAGGGTCTGTATAGAACCATGTAGAACACATTCTCCATAAATCTGAAGGACCATTTCACCATGCAAAGGACCATTTAAGCCTGAAATGGTTCTACATAGAGCTTAGGGTTCTAAATAAAACCATTACCTTTACTAAAGAACCTTTGGAGAACCATTTTTTTTTAGTGTAGGTTGTATACGCATAGACAAACATGCAAATGAAAAATATTTCACTTAAGAAGAATTCTTAAAAGAATGCTCCGGATAACTTTTAAATATATGACAGTCTGAAGTTTTCATTTTGCCTTCAATCCAGCGTCTATATCTGACTCTAAAATGCTCATTCTTGTCACTGCATGCGTCCTGTCAGACTAATAGTGTTGTTCAAACATACACATGTATGTACAGTTAGCCACTCAGAATGAAACCAACAAAATCCCATGCTGTAGAGATCAGTTGGCCACTCACAGTAAAGCATATGGGACTTTTTTTTCCCCTCTTTTCTTTCTAATATGCCTAGGCCAGTATTCCTTGGCCACACAATCACCCCCCCACCCCCCCACAGGGACGTTAACTTTTCTTTTTTGTTTCATTATTAATGTCATAAAATTCACCGTTTATTCATAGTCATACAGATATAAGGTGATGTGGTATCACAAAAACCCAACCCCCCTCCACCCACTGCCCTTTCCCCTCCACCCATCCCTCCTATCTAAGTGAAAGAAAAGAGAGACAGAGCTGATACAGGCAGAAAAGGCAGGAAATAACATACAAACTGTCTGATGAAAAAGACGATGTACAAACTGCACAGAACAGAAAAACAAAAACATCTGACAAAACAATAAAAGTAATAATGCCCCCTTTCCCTTTTTTTTCTTTTTGCATGCTATAATTATGATATGGGTATTGTCAAATTCTATGTGTTTTTTAACCTTTACTTAAAAAGTGTTGAAAGAGAAGTTGGCTCTCAATATACTGAATGATTTTTCATTATTTCTAAGATTTACTGTAAGCCTTTCCACATCTGATCTGTAAGGAGGTTAAGTCAGTGCTTATTGAAATGTGGGTTCTGTCCTTCCAGTTCAGCAGTATAACTTTTTTTGGAATGGTGAGTGATATTAATATAAAGGATCTGATGTGATTGGGTGCTGCTGGGTAGGGGGACATATCTAGAAAGCATGATAGTAATTGTCTGTTAAAGCTGGGCAATGTAGGCATGCATCATTGTGGCTAAATCCCATACGGTGCAGTTTAGAGGCTGTAATATAGGTTCTGTGAAGGGTTTTGTATTGTATTAACTTAAGTATTGAACTGCTGATCATAGAGAAGATGTCACTGCATATCTTTTGCCAGCTGAGATTACGAGTTTCTGAGGTCCATTTTATATATTTGTGATAACATTTTCGAGATTGAAGGCAGTGTAGCTTTAGGTAAAGGGAGGGACCAAATTTATTATTAACATATTATAACAATTATTTTAAAATAAAATTTTCTCAATATCTGCATTCAGCCTACAAGGGTGGACTGAGCATAGAAACATAATTCCAAACCAGTAAAACACACATGCCTGTTAATACCTTAGTGTTTATCTTTAATTCAAACTGAGTATACAACAAAGAGCTTAGAAGGGCACTTTAAGTCAACTAAGATCAGCACGTCTTTTCTGGTGTTCTTACCGTGCTCTTGGATGACATCACTTTCTTCTAACTCTGCCCATGGTTTCCAAAGTAACTCTTCCCGCAATGGTTCTTCTGGCCACTCCTCAAGCTCCTCCCTCTCCAGCAGATCTGGTAAGTTGGCCTGAAACTCTGGCCCTATGTTTACGTACCTTGTTGTGTGTTTGAGGGGAAAGTGAGAACTTAATCAAAGCTACAGTACTTTTTCGTGTTTTAATCAGTCATTTTAATTTGTTTAATCTTTTTACAGTAAGGAAAAAATATATGAATATGTAAATCAGTACTACTTATCAACTGAGAGAGAATTATGCTCAAAGCAATAGTTCCCTAATTAGTTTGCTCTTATGCCAAAATGGTGTTAATCAACCAAAAGGTGTCTGAATTTTGTAGATATTGTGCAAACCACATGCATAAATCATTACATATTGTATACTTTTAGTCCATAAAATACATTTATAAGATAAAAATTATGTACAATTTTGCCAAACTATTGCTTTAAAAGTCTGACATTTTCTTACCTTTGTTGACCATTGTGCCTTGTTTCCTCTGACCACAATCCTCTACTGTCCAGCAGAGGCAGAAGGTTGCAGAAGAGACCTGTTCCATTCCGGTTGGGATTAAGCATTGGAGGGGGAGTATAACGGGGGTTGGCATGCCAATACTCATCCCCCAGTACTCCTGACTGGAGGACACTGTGGAAAGGAACTCCAGTGTAGATAACAGAGGGAGTGTTCTAATAATGAAAAGACAAAGTCCAACATGATTCACAATGGGTCTCACAATGGGACTCAGATTCTGCTAGTTGCTTCAGACCAGAACCTCACAAATGTACAAAATTCACCAAAAGTTGGGTACTGGTTTAAATGAAGTTACAAAAATGAAAGTGGTTCCGAAAGATTCTGTAAAAATGTATGGGAAATTCCTGGTGTCATGGTAGCTTGTGCCCTCATACCTGTGAGCTGGACAAACAAAAAAAATGCTTTCGCTGGAGTACAGAATTGGGCTTTGTATCCTCGTCCACCCTCGGCCCTTCTGCCTGTGTATGTGTTTGATGGAGTGGCGGACAAAAAGGTTGAGAAGACTGAACTGTCTGTGAAAAAGGAAAAAAGTACAGAAGTTAAACCAGTTTTCCTCTTTTTATGTGAGCTGTTGGATTGATGATTGGCTAACATTGCTATGAATGATGTAGAGGAAACAAGTCCATCCTTCCTGCCCAGAGAGTAACATACTGTATGATAGAGTGAGGGGAAGGCAGCAGAATCAGTTATGCTTTCTTGGACTCCCAGCCACATACGGCTGTGGTATTGTTGGGATTCAAACAAGCAACCTCCTGACGATAGGACGAAACCTTCAATAGCGAGCTTTAGTTAGAATTACACAACATGTGTTATGAAATAATGCAATAAAAAACTATGCAAAACACAGTTTATACAGTCCTGGATTTTTTAAATCTTTTTTAAGAATTGCCTCAATTGACCTATCCATACTCTGCCCACAAAGGCAGATCATCGTGATATGAACACTCATATCATCTTTGTAGGTGGGCGGGACACATACGGTTGTATGTGACCACATGACATTTGTAGCTAAAGCATCCCCAAATATCCCCAACAGCAATGGAGGACTATCTACTAAACACAGTAGAGATGAAAGCAGCTGCTTTGCTTTGCTCTTCTCCTGTTTGTTTTTAAGTTGCATTTGTACCAGCTTCTGCATGTACATGATCAAGGACTCATGGAACATGTTTGTATGAAAACAACAGGCTGGAATGTACAGTGATAGAATTAACCATCCCAAAGAACTCACCTGAGACCATGTCATGTGATCTTCAGAGGTTATAGGGTCATGCTCCACCAGCTTTGGAACAGACTGTGGTTGTGGATGCTGGCCCAGAGGTGAGCATGGAGACGTCTCAAGAGAACCATCTGAGAGAGGAGATCATTATTCATTGAGATTTCAACAACTGATAAGGGTCAGGGTTTCTAAGCAATGAGATTCTCACAAGAAGTCTCAAAAATGGCTTGCACAAACAGCAATGGAGAAACCTTCTTGAGAAATAATTCAGTTACCTGTGTCTCTGTGCGTAGTACTCAGCTGCCTTAGATGAAGCCCCACCCCTTCTGGATAGATTGAGGATGGGCTTGGATCCTGAGCAAGGTGCTGTGTTATGTCTCCACTTGCACCGGCATCAGTGGAAAGTGGGAGCCAGTGGGCCGGAGAGAAAGTTGAGAGCGAAGGGGGAGGCAGAGGTGTAGGAGGAGGACTGAGAACCAGAGGGAAGGAAAGAGAGGGGAGAGGAGGAGTCGAAGAGTTGTTGGGAGCAATACTGTATCCTCCCTGTTCACCACTGCTGTTGGTAATCCTGCAAACGCTTCGGCTGTAAAATGCCTCGGAAAAGGAGTCGAGTTTCTGATGGTTCCCAACCGTGGCACCATAATCCTCCATTGCATCCTGTTGCTGGGAATTAGAATTCCATTCCTCTTCATATGCTCCAGTGTGGGCTTTGGTTCTGTTCAGTGCAAGAGAGTGAGATGACACTGAAGACTCCATATCCCAGTATCCCGAGTTGATCTGTTCGTCGACTCCGTTCATGCTGGTTCCAGCGGTTGCACAGCTGTTGACGGGCTCACACAAGAGGTTACTGCTGTCCCCATACTGGCTTAATCTGCCCATAGAACTGTTCTGAAAAAGGCTGTGGCTTGACCTGTGACCTTGCGCCTGAAAGCGGTACGTAGCAGGGAAGGCTAGAGACTCAGAAGGATGGATGGAAGAGTGGTCTGCCATGATCTGTGGGCAAGTTTGTGGCGGAGAGAGCATCAGGCAGCTTAAAAGCTCTGTTGTTGCCAAGCTGGAGTATTCACAGGAGAGTCATCATAGAAGCTGAGAAGAATGTGAGACACATACAGTTGCAATTTTATGTTAAATTCTAAATCAGATGATAAAAGCCTGGCTTGAACCAGTAAGAGAGTTTCAGAATTCAAAGTGTTTACCTCAAATATTTCAGTTCTCTGTCTCTTCGGTGACTTCCCCACCTCTTAGACCAATCAACGCCTAAAGTCAAACAGAGAAAAGAAGAAAAAACTGAGAGCGTGACAGAAAGGAAGAGAAATATGGTGCTGCCATACTTATGACGCTTCAGTGTCTTTTACATCACTAGGTACTTTCGATTGGTTCACATTTCATCTTCATAGTTCCTTGTGTAGCACTTTGTCAAGGTTGTCCAATTTAGCCAATATTATCTAGCTTTAGTTTTGGCTGTTGCTTCACTCACCCGTCTTTCTCTCATGCTTCTTTCTTTCTCTTCAGTGTCGCATCTGTTTTTTTTTCTTCTGCTAGCTACATTAGACAACTTGCTTAGATGGTGTGATTGTGTGATCTCTTCTCTTCTCCTTCCAAATAAAAGTACGACACCTTGACACGTGCATTCTCTTTCTTTCTGTCCCCCTCCCCGCCCCCTGTCCTCATGCATGTTACATACACACAAACATTTCAAATAAACATGTTAAAGCACACCCACACTCAAACAGACAGGAACACACATGTGAACACGCACAAGCAGGTGCCGCCGATCAAAAGGTAACTCACAGAGAAACCCCACCCCTAAAACCCCAAAAAGAAAACCACATCCTGGGGAAAGAGTCACGGATCTCCCTCTGTCTCTGTTTCTCGTCCCATCCCTCATTCGTTCTCTCCCGCTCAATCTATTTATAGCCGACTCCCAGTGTTGCAAGTAATGCAGTAACTACTGACAATACTCACGGCGATGTGGAACGCTCAGTATCACATAATGTCCAATCATATCTTGACTATTTGAAAAGAGCATTAGCAAAAAGAAAGATTACTACATCCAGATTGTCTTTCTTTTGTGAGGTCTTGGTTGACGACCAAAATGACTTTCCAAAGGCAGTGTGGCCTGCTGTTCGAAATAAGGATTAAAAATCCTTTTAATGTTGACGTTGAATCGCTCACCATCTAAGTGTTATCTTAAAGTAACCACAAAACTGATCTCAGATCAGAGTAAAAGCACAACCCCTGCCAAAACCATTGTTCACATGGTGGAGTGTGTTATCTTGAGCATCTCGTGTGGTGAGTGAGTCACTGCGTCTTAGGTTTGAGAAGCGTATGAGTCGACATGTAGGCCTCATCAGGTAGAGCGTGGGCGTGTGTGTGAGTGTGTATACGATATGCGAGTGGCAAAGCTTCCTGTCAACACTGTTTCTGTGTTTCTGTGTGTGTGTGTCGGTCAGAGTGTACGCTTGTGAGCACTCGAGCAGTTTGTTTGAGTGTCTGCGTGAGTTTGTGTGTATTTGTGTGGGCGAGAAGAAGAGTTGTGTTAAAGCCAGAGAAGATCTTTGGTGTTTTGAAGTCATGTGACAGGAAGTTGACCATGAAACAACAACAGCGCAGGAAGTGGACAAGGGAAACCTCCGTACATCCCGCCTCCGCTCTTGTTTGCTCTCTCTCTATACATGCACCTCTCTCATACCCGCAAATCCACAACATAAGTATAGTTTCCATACACCGCTTGGTACTTCACACCTTTTACTCTTTACCCATCTTTCCACCTACACACCGTGGCTCCCCCGTGTAGCTCCCTTCTCCTTTACTTTATGTCTCCTTCTCCTCCTCTCTTTCCCTCTACGGATGCCTTTCCGGCATCGTTCTCTGCAGCACCATGCATTTTCTCAGTGCACATTTATTTAATGTAAAAAAGTAAGTAAAAACCTTACAATTTAGAGCTTATTGAACGTCTAATAGTAAACTAACCAAACAATTATTGGCATCTTACATTCTGGTAATTTAACATATGAAGTGAGATGAACTCAACATTTTAAGGCAGCCTGTTTACTGACTTTACATGCTTCCAGTCTAGCCATGCGTCTAGGCCAATATATGTTTACAAATGAACTCAATCTTAACCCAGTGTCTGACTCTAATATGTTTTCACTACGTATTCACTCCCTGGGTCCAGAATCCAAATTGGAAAAAATAAACAGTGACCGATGGATATTTAGGGAAAGTATGGAAATGTGCAGAGAAGATTATTGCTGGACTATAAGTCTGGAATGAGCATATCATCGCTGTCAATTTCTTGTATTTTTCCCCACTTGAGCACAATGGCTGCTCTTTACATTGTGTAAACAGTGCAAAATTACATGTAATAAAATACTGTTACATTAAAATTGAAAGTTAAGAATGATTTTGCCTTCTCCTTTAAAGTTACCTTCTTTAACGTTACGATGATAGGTCGGCCTTTGCTGGATGTCGAGAAGCGTGCCACGTTTTTGTAGTACGGCAAACGTATTCAAATCTAGACCTTAAGTACAAATCCACTCCTGGACCTGGTAATCACTGGAGGACAGTAACAAAGTGCATGTAATTTATTAATGTACTTGAGTATGTTTTTTCAAGTATCTGTCCTTCATGAAGTACTTTATTGCCCCAGTAAAATAGCCTTCTATTTAGTCCTCTGCTTTCTGTAGAATGTGTCGATACTCGTTACCCCGAAGCGGGAGAAAGTTGGATGGTCTAAAATATCCAAAAGCCCATGATGCACTTTCAATTTGAAACAAGCCAGTCATATTACAGCATGTGATCTGTTTTACCTGTTGCACATTTACATCTACTTGAGTCATTATTTAACTGAACCAACAAAACAGTATACAGTATACAGTATGACGCTTTAGGTTACTCTGCCTACATCTGTTCACCACACACAGCTGTTTCCCAGCAACACAAGTCATACACAACACATTGGAAAAACAGCAAAGAGATGGTACACATGTCCAGTCTTCACAGGCAAATCAGCATTATGCTTGTCTGACGTTGTGGGGCTTACATTTGTAGCTGTATAGCATTAGCAGACTTTCTAGCATGTGTACCACTTCTTTGTCTGCTTTCTCCCAATGTCTTGTGTCAGGCTTGTGTTGCTGGGGAACAGCTGTGTGTGGGGAACAGAGGTGGGTAGAGAAACCTAAACCCCCTCAAGTAAAAGTATTGTTACCTCAATTAAATAATGACTCAAGTAGAAATAAATGGAGATTAGCAAAAAGAACTGTATTAGGCAAATAAGCTACTCAACTTTTCAATTTCCTTTAGAACTGCAGTGTAAATTCCTAGTACATCCAGTACGTATCAGAATATAAGTTTATTAGACTAGAATAGAGACAATCTTCAGTTTTTGGGATTCTTTTGCTTTAAATAAAATGCTAAAGCTCAAAAGTGAGAGCAGCAACAGAGCAGTCAACGTGATTAACCAACAGAAGATTAAAGGAAAATTAAGTACAAGTATTATAATTTGAAAATACAAGTACATGGAACTGAGTAAATGTAACAGCTGCTACCCCGTTATTTTTTTTTCTTAATATGAAAATTTTAACTGTTTCTTATGTCTATAGTTATCCTTGAAATTGTTAATCAAAATAATATAGCACAATGACTACAATAACTCTCAGTGCTATTACTTTATAATATTAAAGTACATTTAAAAGCAAGTAGTTTTGTACTTCCCAAGTAGACGTAAAAATAGGGAGCGTGGTATTTCGCTTTCACTCAAATACAGGATTTATGTACTTCGCTCACCGGTGCTGGTAGTGAAATGAAGGTAAACGGAGGCCAGACGCAGTACTTAGTACTGTAGTACTGAGGATCTATATGGACCTCAAAGGCTGTGATTTGAATAGCTCTGTATAGTAACTTAAATCTATTCACACACATGGAGATATGCAGATCTAGTTGACCCACACATATTGTGGGTTCAGTTCAATAGCATGATGTGGGTGAATGCTAATAATGAGGTCTGTACAGTGTGAATGTACCTGTAACATTCACCTCCATTAACCTCAGCATTATCATAGTGTAGGCGAGAGACTGAAGGTGGAAGACATTGTGTCACAGACAGACACGTTTGGGCGAGCAAATGTATATGTTTTAAAAAGCTATAGCAGGTTTGTTCCTTATGTCTAAAGTTGAGAAAATACATTCTGCAAATACAGATGTTCTGATGATTTCTGCAGATAACTGTTTTTCAGAAATACGCCTGATGCTAGACGTGACAATATTTCACAATGATGCTCAGACACATCAATTGTGAAAGACTCTTACTCAGGCCCAACTATGCGCAGTTGCAAAACACTCAAAAGCCTCAGTACTCAAGCTTGTAGCGGAGACCAACAGATAAGGGGCTGAAAACAGAGGGTGAAAAAGAAGGGAAGATTGTGGAGGCTTTTAGTCTAGTTTTCTGTCAGATGTGTGAAAGAGTAAACAGAGGAGGGGGAAAATAACGGAGTGATTTGGACTTTTTTTTTTCTCTCCATTTCCATCACTCTGGGTCTCCATCAGTCTTCTGCTTCTTTGTAAATGTGAAAAGGTCAAGCGCGATAGAGTTAAACAGAAAAGAGAAAAGATAACAGGATGGGAAGGCCGAGCGACAGAACCTTTCTACACACTGAGTGCAGAAAATACAATCAGTGCAAGTCTATATGACATTAAAGACTCTGTGATTGTCATACAGATAACTTGATAAATTTCCTGTATATTAAGGAAAGTGTTTCCTAAATTTTACTAAAAGAAATAAAGGGAAACAGTTTTCTATGAGAACATGTGGTACAAATTCTCATCCACAAGAGCGTTTTTAAAAATAAAGGTTACTAAGCGGTTCTTGGATAGCAGAAGCCATTAATTGGTCTAGAACCGTTACATGGAGGTTCTTCAAACCTTAAGGTTCCTCACACTCACATCTCATTAACAAAAAGTGATCCATTAAATGGTTCAAACCTATTTTCGCATCTTTATTTTTAAGGATGTGGCTCTAAGGTTCTGTACACTCTTAGCAAAAATGACATAACAATAGCGGAACCCTTTTTGGTTCTATATAGCCGTATTAATAACTATATACAACCATATGTGTCATATAGAAGAACCATTTAGCTATGCAAAGAACGATTCATGGATTCAAAAGATTCTTTGAGTTGTCATGGTTCTCTATAAAACCAACCATAAAAGAACCCTTGAAGAACCACCTTTTTTAGGAGGGTATAATAATAAGATGCTTATTGACATGATATAAATTTGTTGGTGCCGTAATGAGACCAATTCAAGAGGGATTTTTTTAAAATATTTTTTTTCCAGATTCATATTTAGGGAGTAGCATTGAAATATGAATCTTGTTCCTTTATACAATTGGATTCATGATTATGAACAAAGGTACCGGCACAATAAATAATCTGTCACTTAAATCACAGAAACTGTGGAATAAACCAGAACTGAAGAGTCCAGGTCCTCTGTGACTTTTTAAACTTCAGAAAAGTCTGACAACATATTAATTATGCTCAATAATAAGATTATTAATAAGATATCAATAAGATTATACATCTTTTATGACATTTATAAGCCAGTATCAAGGTAAAGAATTTTTCAAGATAAAGAATTTTTTATAGTTTATATTGTACTTTCTTCATCTGCAGAATCTGTATCTCCTTAATTTCATAACTTCCAGACTTGCAAATGGGAAAATTCAGGAAAATAAGTTTTTGCGTTTAACACAGCCAATTGTTTAATCTGTGAGACTGTGAGAATATGTGTGACGATCATAAATCATGTGGTGTCATTACAGGAAAAAAATCAAATCCAGTAATTACTCCAATAAATGCTTGACTAATAGCGCGTAAACTCTCACACCCAAATAAATACAAGTTTTACGCCTGCATACTGACAAGCAAAAACCCAGTTGTTACTGTAATAAGGCATATTTTCCATTTAAGCTCTTAAAAGTGAACAAATATATGTATGTATTTTAAGATAAATATTCTAATCTTGCTGGACATCAACGTCAGTTCCTGACAGTGACCTATATTAAAATGAGTTGTTTTCATGACCAAAGTGTTTCATAATGGTGTACATATTCAGTAATTACTCTGATGAATCACATTTATGGAATAAGAGCAAATAACCCTATAGCAAGTATGTAAATATGAGATTTATATGTCTAAATATTATATTTGTGTGTTTTATGTTTTCTCCTCATCGGCCACTCTGAGACATCTGGGAAGACAAGAGCATATCTGGGCTGATCGAGTGCTTGCATGAAAATGAAATATTTAGGGTTGATCTTATGATCGTACGTATGATGCTGCAACTCGGATCACTGTGAAGATGCACAGTTCGAACAATTTACCACTAATAAACCCAGAGCAGCAGAACAGCAGTTTCTTTGGCACAGAGCAAAAAATTTTACATAATTGTAAAAGGATACATTTTTGTATAATAATATGGCTTAATCACTTGTATTTTGAATACAGCAGATTAAACACCAACCAAAACCAGAAATGTTTATTTAATGTGGCCTGTAAACATGTGAAGTGCATCTTCACTAGACTTCAGCCAGTGGCGGCTCTCCTACTGCAATGAAATCTCATCGCTGCACTTTTCTCAGCTTTGTAATTAAAGCAACGCAACATTCTTGCAAGGCAGAAAAAGTTCAGGAAATTGGTCTTTATCTAACATGAGAAAGTGCTCTCTGAATTTTTAAATGCATTCATTTAGCAGAGAAAACACACAATACTTACTCAGAAGTGGTGGACAAATATCCAGAGGAACTTCTGGTGCAAACTGGAAGTGAGTCTAACCAAAACAAATGGAAAAGTCTGTAAGCTCCTTGTTAACTGAATCTGAAGAAAAAAAAACATTTTAAATAACTACTCACTCGGTCATCGACAGACTGGTAGTGATAGAGGATTGCATACATGAAGGGCGTAAATAAACTAATACTTTAATTTTCAATCCTTATTCTCGGCAAAGAACAAGTCAGGCCTCAGAATCAGTGCAAAGAAATCCCCAGAACACTTCTTACAATATCTGATGTGTGAGTTTTTGAGTTTGAGACAACTACACTAAAGGAGAAACTCTTAGAGACTCTTACTGAGGCCTTGTAAACAACACCATGAAGAACCACACTAACACTTTTATGTTCCAGCACGGAGCATATAAAAACTGAAAACATCTCGAAGATGACTTCGGTGTAGACAGAGCCATCTCTGGTGTCTACACGTACTCATTTACCACATTTGCTTACATATATGAAATGTGTATTTCAGCACCTACCAGGATGTTCAGAAAAAGTTCAGTTTCAGAAGTTTATACTCGAGATTTTATTGCGTCCGTAATATCTTGCTCACCGCACAATTAGAACAGTATAAAATGCTATAATAGATGATGATAACAATGTTAAATAGATGACAACACATTTATTCAACTGCTCTTGCAAAATGTAGCTAAAAAGAACAAAACCTTATATCTCTGAAATGGCAACTTTCACAGGAGAAGGCAAAAATGTTCTTTACATTTCATGTAAGTTAATGTAATGAAACTGCAAACCATTTTCATTCATCATGAAATGTCCACACAATCTAAAGAGCAGCTCAAAAGATGTAGAAAAATAAAAATGGGAAAAAAAATGGAGATACATGGTTTTGATATGACAGCGACAATATGCAAACACATTATGAATGAATTGTGCAACATTAGAAGATGATGTAAATTACAAAAATAAGGACAGATATGTAATCAAAACTGATACCGAGTGCAGACATTGCAGTATTAAGCCGATTACATTTACATTGACAGGACAGAAGCTTACGCAAGGCATATTTAGTTGTCCCAGGAAAATGTAGGCCTTTCTAGATGGTGACAGTCAGATGTGCAAACTACTGAGTCTAAAAAGTGTCTCTAGGTAAAACTGCTCTGGTTTAGTCAACAGTTCTGACAGGTTTCAGTAGTTATCTCATTACGTTTGGAACTTTTAAGTATACTGGTAAAGCTATGACAGCGGTGTCTCGTTTGGCCTGACTTTGGATGCGTACAGTGCTCGCCAGGAGTATACACACATACAAAGCATGTCATTGTACTTAAACAGATTCAGAATAGGTTTAGAATGTTTGGGCTTACCTGTCAATTTAAACCTTCAGTCCAGGTCTTAAAGCGGTCGGAGTGCTGTCACATAGGACAAGAGATGCATGTTTGTGTGTGTATGCGAGTGTGTATGTCTGTGTGTACACATATGAGTAGAGAGCGAGAGAGAGCGAGAGAGAGAGAGACTGTGGAGGCGTTGGTAATGGTTAGCTCTTTGGTACGGCAGTCTCTCTTGGTTCCTCTGATCTCTTGAAGACTTCGTCACTGGGATCCTGGAAACAAAAAAGAAAAAAAAAACACCACAGAGAATAAAAAAACACGTATTGCTCCGAGCCAGCCTAGGCAGCTCTCAGTTTGACAAAGCACTTGTCCTTAAGCTTTTTTCTTTTTCCTTCTTCTACATTCGTCCTTTGTGTCATTTTATTTAACTTTATGTCTTTTATCTTTTTACCAAATTGTACACTTACATCTCATTTTTCCAAGGCTGTATGTATTTCTGCTGAATCTAGCTATCATTTTAAGTAGATCTTGAAAATGACAGTAGATTTGTCCTATTTGACCTAACCTCACAGATGAATTCTCACTGGTTTCGCATAGAAGACTCTTGTAATTGTCTTTATCATTTGGTTATACTGCTATGACCCAATTTCCTGTAGGTGTCAGAATTTAAATCTGACAGAGACGTATAGATTTCACAGTGACTGTAGCACAAGTGATAAGAGTGATAACATTAGCTGAGACTGCTATAGACAGTTGTAATGTAGGTCCATGAGTTAGTTGACTGAAAATACTGCATTTTACACCTGGATGTGAGCAAGCCATTAAATTTGCACTGATGTTATGTAGTCTGCTCATAATGATGAAGATAAAGTTGGCGATAACAAAGGTTAGCTGGAGTGTTGTGAATGTCAGTGGGCTGACCCAGTAAAACTGAGAGTCGGGCATGACTGTGCATCGCTCCGAGAGCAGTTTCACATTGTCAGGGCAAGAGGGGGCGTAAGAGAGAGCAAGGAAGAGAGGCAGAAAGAGAGAGAGAAGTTGAGCTTCAGATTATGCCCAAATTCAAATCAAATAGATCTAATTCTAAAAAATGTTTTAAATATGGTAAGCAGTTAAATAGGCAGTGTGTTAGGTATTCACTTCAAGATGTTCTCTGAATGCATAGCACGTTCCCCACATGTTCCACAAAACTATCACATATGTGTATAAAACCTTTAATCTTAGACAAAAAAGATTTGACTGTTAGATTAGTCTCTGGGTAAAGGGCCTCTTCTCGAACTCGCACAAAAAAAAAAACCCTATTCACTGCCGTCAAAAGCTGACCCGAGTCAAAGTGAAACACCCATCCCCACTGAAAACACACATATACACACGCACACACATACACACCTTGACATGTTATACACACAGTTCCGCAACCACACATTGTCATAACAAGAGAGCAACGTCGCTTTTTACCAGAAACTTGTCGCACTCTCTGGTGCGCTTTCAAATATCACCATGCCCCACTGAGAGTCGGAACATACATCACACACACACAAACTGCTAGTGTACTGTGGCTGCCGTACAGTAATGTTCCAAAATCAGTCCAAGTCATCATCTGCTCTGTCTCAGATTTGTCATAAGAACATAATGATTATTGTGGCTAACCTTCAGTCAAAGACAAAAAGATAAAACTATAAAACTTCCCATATGGTCTCACGTATCTTGCATACGGAGTCCCTCAAGTCTAAATATTAGGGCCATTATTAGTCTTATGTATATACCATTTAAATATCGATGTATGTTTGTATACGCATATCTGATATGTTTATATCTTGCACAATTGAATATATTGTGTCCTGACAGTGACAATACAAATATACAGCTGTATGCAAAATTTTGGGCACCCGGCCTAATGATGCATTTTGTTGATTTTCTAAGTGAAAATAAGTTAACACATCCTCTACAGAGAACATACTTTTGCACATTGTAATGTACAATTACTATTTATTTGCTGAATTGAACATATTGCCCAAAAAATAGAACATAAAATGTGGCCTGTGCAAAAATGATGGCACTTTTTAAATTTTATATATTATTTTCACAATATGTTAAACTCAGCAAATAAATAGAAATGCATGCATTGAAATGTGCAGAACAATGTGTGTGAATATATATGCTGTTGCTGTCAGGACAAAATCTTGTTTGTCCAGAATGGTAACTTTGCCGTTGGACTTAATTTCAAATCAAAGTAAAAAAAAAAATTCCAAGTCATTTTGCACCATTTCTATTGAACTACTGGTTCATGGTTTATCATGAAGTTTTAATACAATGTAAAGGACAACTGGCATTTTCAAATCATCTTTATGCAGGGGATAAATTAAAACTGTCCTTTTTAATCAGCCTTTAAGTCAATAAATATAAAAAAAGACATAAAATATCAATAAAACGACACAAAATTAAGTCAATGGAAGTAATTCAAGGACATACCTATATCTAAGAATCCATGAAGTTCTGTAATGTCACAGCTTGATCATTTACATCAAAGAAAATAAACATTTAAACAGATATTTTGATACAAAAATTTTAAATGAAGAATTTGATAAGGACACAAAAAGCTATGAATATGAATAGCAAAGAGAAGCAGAGCAGCTTTGCTGCACGTTCTGATGTCTGTGTAGGCAAGACACCAGGCAAATTCAGGTCTTACATAGTTCGCATTTAAAGAGAAGCTGAGTTATTCCTGTGTTAGTATACTCCAAAGAATTTTATCCCTTTTGGATGCTTTCAGAAGTTGTACAGAGTTTCAAAAGAGAAAAAAAAGGTTGATTTTTTTTTCCTTGAAATACAGGGAATCTATTTTACTACAAGGTGAGACAGCTGTTACAAGTAATTTATGCAAAAACATATATATAAATGCATAAATATTTTACTTTTGATTTGTCTCATAAAGATTAAGCCTAGTTCAGGAATAAGGGGGACCTTAATCTATTTATTCATATTAAGAAGGAAGTTTTATGAGGAATTTTATCATCATACAAATTGCCTCCACACACATTTTTGGCATTGTTTTAGTAGAAATAAAACTATTAAGTAGTAACAGTCCTTTTATACTAATTATAATAATGCTAAATGTAATCATAGTGATCTTGCCTTTATTTTTCCACATTTTATGTCTGTTGGAATGATTTGCTTTGCACTCTTTATTACACAAAGTCTCTAAGGGCCTGCAGTGCGCTTGAAAGTTAAATTTGGAATAAAAGTCAGTGGCCTGGTAGATTCACCGCAACTTCATTTAACACTTATTTGAATATGCCTGAATGTGTTTTCTGAAAAATTGTGAACCACAGACTTTTTCCTTTTTATCAGGGGGAGGAAGTGCAAACAAACATGCTACACAGTCACAGGTTCACACATACACACACACCTTAAATGCATGAGGGAGTTTCGTCAACAGACATGCCATAACGGAGTTAAAAGCAGGTGAAGTGAGGGATCTAAAAGAGCAGAAAATGGAAAGGAAACAGAAAAAGATAAAGTGGGCAGACAGGAACGGCATCTTATAAGAAGTCCCTGTCTCTCTAACATCTTGCTATTTAAAAGACTTGCACGGTTACGGCTGTTTGACTTTGCTATTCAGTAAATCAAGAAATCAACTGCTGGATTATGATAAAAAACAGCATAAAAAGACATTTTTTAAATTTTACATCTGCTTTAACTGAATGTCTGAAGAACCTTACCTTTACAAAGATAATAAAAATTCTGCAAACCCATGTTAAAAGAGCATTAATCGTTCATTATGAACTCTCAGGGAAAAATGGTACTAAACTGTTGCTGGGGTGGCACCCTCAAGGGTTCGTTTTCAGCATCTTTAGTTTGGGATCGTAATTGTACCATATTCAGTTGGAATTATATGCTTTAAATTGCATTGACTCTATAAACCCTGTTCTGACTCCAGGCCTATTTAAACCAGCTAGGTAATGAAAAGGTAAAAGTGTGCACCTTTTCCCTAGAAAGTGAATTTAGCACATCTGTAAAACTAATTAGTGACATTTTAAGGCAATATTTAAATCGTTTGGACTATTATGTACAGTTTCAGACAGCATTTATACATATTTCTAAACATAGCAAATCATAAGTACTAGGCAAACTGCAGACACTAAATTGTTAATTGTGCCAAAAACAAACAACAAAAGAACTACTGTCTTTCATCTTCCAACCTGCTTCAGTGCAGAGGAAGTAATTGAGTTTTATATAGTAGAGAACTGTAGTGCATTTGACATACTTACACACACCTGTAGTTTATAGTCTTCCTTTTCCTGCCCTGAGAAATAACGGTATGTGGCACAGAGCCAAAACACACACAAAAAGTTTTTGTGTTCAATATAGTCATAGTGACAAATAAAAACTTACTGTAACAGAGAAAGATGATTAGAAAGAGAGACAGACAGAGAGAGACAGAAATAGGGAGAATCAGAAGTAATTACAGACATGAGTCGTCTGCAGCTGTGCAACTGTTTATTTAATTTTACACTTTCCATCAATTCACACACAAAGTTGGAATGTCCAAAGACCCCCTAACTTACAAAAGACTGTTTCAGTGTTCCAGTTAGTGCCCCTACAACATATCTTAAAGTACTATAAAAGATATGCTGATGCATTTAGTAGGAAACTGACCTAATCTAAGACAGATTGCATTTTTCCATAATAATAATTATGAACTGATGAGAACAAACTAAATTGTCAAACATCTTTAACACTAAGGGAATTCTACAGCTTTTTAAAATGTCTGAATAATTAAATCATCAAGATGTTAAAGAAGCTATTCAGAGTGGTTTGACGTGAAGTACGCTGTTCTAGAGAAACTTACAGTCAGAACTGTTCACAGAGGTGGTGATAAAAGACATCTAAAGAGTTTAATAGGCTTACCTCTAAAAGATCCCTAACAGAAAGTTAATATTTGAAGTGGTTATGAATACGCTACCTGATGTCTGGTTGTCTTGGTTAGGGATTTGGCCCTAAAATTACTTTTTAAAATCCATTCAAGGCGGTGAGATACATGCAGGGTGTTGTAAGGCCAAACAGTCCCCAAAGAAAACTTATTTGTTTTAGATTTAACACTATTTTACCGTCGTCAACACTGAATATAAAAACGTAGAAAACTTGTGTAGGATCACTAGTCTTTTTAAATGGTAAATAAAAGGGCTATATTTGTGTTGTAGATGCCTGGTTCCTGTCACCACTACTGTAAAAGGAAATCTGAGTTGGTAAGTTTTATACCAAGCTCCATTTCACATCACTTTGTTTACATCTCTATGATTGTTTTTATGTAGACCTTTTGAAAAATCAATGGAATTCCACTTTAACCTTAGGAGGAAGTCCTGATGGTGATAAAACAACGCACAAAGGGTCTTTGTATGTGTATATGAGTATTTTTAATTATATGTCTATCCTGCATAAGGGTACGACAGTAACACAGCCTGTTTGGGCAATAGCTGCAGTTTCTCTAGGGATACCATGTCATCTACAGCTAGCTTCTCCACATCAGTGCTGAGACGGACGCGGGCCTCCGAGGGCAGGTCACTATTGGCCAGCGTCATGGTGACAGGGGCATCACCCCAGTTTAAGGCAGTGATGAAGCGCTCACTCTGATCCCACAGGCGGAGGAATGCAAACGAGGAGGCAGAGCTGTAGAGAGAGGCGAAGTCTCCATGGAGCAGAGATCGCTCTTTACCTCTCAGATCACTGAGAGCCTTGAAAAAGCTTCGCAGCTGACTGCGTTCCACTCGTACAGTCTGAGAGAGACAGGGAGAAATGAATAAGGCTGTTGGTTTCAGCAGAATGATGATAAAAGATAAAAGAGGTTCTAATGCACCTTTGCGCCTGTATTCATAAAACTTCTCAGAATTACTTAGGGAAATCACAGTATCGGCAAGTTGGGTGGAAGATACTCCTACAGAGCATGCACCGTGTGGCTTCTATAAAACTTTTCATAACAGTGAGAAAAGAGTGGGAACAGCTCCTAAGAGCAATTCTTTAATATATATTATATATTAATATACTATAGATATTAAATAAAAGTATGTAGTCAGTATCTATCAGCAGTTCACCACAAGTAACATGACAAATCATCACACTTTATGACTTCAAAACCATTGTATTACTTTCACTAACATGTCTTGCGCACAAACCTGAAAGCATCGCTCCACTGGTTGCACAGCAGATACTTTTATACTGACTGCAGTTGATTCTGTTTTATACTCTATATTACACTCTATATTACAGTATTAGAAGATAAATATAGTAGTTTTCAACCTTATCCCAAGTTATTAAGTTTTGTGAATGTTAACTTAAAGTTTTGTCCTTCTACAGTATTAATGAGGATTTTTAAGTAAACATCTTCAGAACTGACTTCACAGTTAGGGGTTACAAATTAATATATTTTATACAAAATTCTCATGCATTCATTGAGAAATGTGTAGTATACTCTTACTGTAAACATAGAAATACATTTATGTCCCTCTTATTTTTTTATCTTCCACTCTAAAACACCAGACCAGAGGTTAAATACAGTTACAAACTATTTCCATAACAATAACATAAAATAACAATAACATGTTTATAATCACCTTTGCTGTTTCATTTTTCTCCTCAGCTGAACTTTCCAAATCCCAGATTACATCAAGAGGTTCCTGGAAAGGGGCATATAAACATGGTCAGCAGAACTGCACAGTGAAAATATCTACATCCAAGAGGTGAATCTGTCTAACCATCAATCTACCCATCTATCCTAACTCACCCCCGCTTTCAGCCCGACTTCATCCCCACTGTTGAACACTGGAGTGCCAGGCAGGGTGAAGAGCAGCATGTGGTAGAGGCGTATGGGCACAGCTGAAGATCTGGAGGTGAGCGGACCTAACAAGCGTCCACTCAAGCTCCAGCCCAGGCTGGTCTGTGGATGGCTAGAATAAAGCTTATTGATGGTCTGAGCCTGGTCCACCCCAGACTGGGTTAGGTCTGGCAGACTAGTTAGCAACAGGTCAACTCCAGAGCGATTCAGAAGCAGAGAGGCATCATCCACAGACACACTGGTGACTGAGCCCATCAGAGCCCTAAGAAAAAGATGCATTAAGGAGTTTAGGGAGTTTCTCAATTCAGATAAGACTTAATCCTGGGCTTCAGAATAACTGCACCTTCTGTTAACATCTTGTATCTTATAGCTTATTTTTTAGTTATTAATCTTAACACTTGTCATTCAGTAACTATTATGATAACTATGTACATCCTTACTCAAAAGCCCGAACACCCCTTGGATAAATTTATTTTTTTTCTTGTTGATTTTCTAAGTGAAAATATGTCAACAGATCCTCTAAAAGGAAACATATGTCAAAGTTTTTTTAAATTTTATTGCAAAATTTCTATTTATTTGTGGACTTTAACATACTGGAAAAAAAAGAAACATAAAATACAAAACATGCCATAACTTTTGCACAGGTCACATTTTATGTTAGATTTTCTCCCCAATATGTTAAATTCAACAATTAGCAGTAACTGTGCATTAAAATGTGTAGAAGTCTATTCTATTTTTTGTAGAGGATGTGTGTTCCTTTTCGTTTAGAAAATCAACAGCACATAATTTGACCTTGGGTGCCAAAACTTTTGCATGCAACTGTAAGTTGTATAGTTATGAGATTGAAGAATTATAGTGTGGGCCATGTATGCACCCTTTTAGTTACTGGGTTTAAAAACAATTTAAAAAGTAACAAAATACAGGAGAATATAAATTAAAAACATGATTAAAACAATATATTTTAAAAGCGAGAATAATTGAAATTAAAAATCAAATTAAAAATGAAATTAGCATAAGTGCTGTTACAGGACAGAAGTGCAGTAGAGCTAACAGTGTTCTAAACTGAGCTGAAAGCCTTCCTCAAACAGGAACATTCTCAGCCCAGATTTAAAAGTGTCTAGGGTCAGGGATCTTCTAATGCTCTCTGTCAACTTGTTACAAGTGAGCAAAGTAAAATCTGTCCAGGGAAATATTTAAGTGGAAAGTGAAAAAATCAATAATTGTACATTTTTGTACCTCAAGTTTTGGCACTTCAGATTTTTTCAGGTGCAACATTAAAATTTAAATTGACAGCTTTAAATTTATCAAGCATTCAACTTAAGATAAAGACGTAGGTTCAGTTTCCCAGGTCCAAATTAATCCTAATAAGCCTATCCTAAATAGGATTTTAATGGTGAAACTATCTGAAGGTTTAATCCACATCCACGAAACTGGCCCTGAATGTACTGCTGGTCCAGAGGCTGAGTAAATTCTGAGAGTACAATGGCACTCAGCTACCAACAGAGGGACCTAGTGGAACCCCTCAAAAAGCTTTAGCGAATACTTCAGTTCAACCACAAGGTGGCTCACTGCATCTTTTTATCGACTCACGTTTTCTTGGTCCCTTCTGTGGCGTTGGTTTGGACAACAGCCTGAATGGATGGCCAGCTAGCAGTACTAGCAATCTGGCCCAGATCAGACACAAGGAAGCCGTCCACTCCCTTATGGAGCCAGTAGGCACATGCAGCCTGACAGAACAGAAGAGGGAAGTGGGGTTTTTTTTTCTTATTCTAGAAAAGAGGCTTCACTTGTTTGACTTTTTTCCCCACCCACTTTTCACAGACTCCACAGATTCCCCTCTTTTATCAGCCCTTACCTTGAATTGCTCAGCAACAGAAGCAGCACTGTGGAACCAAGCTGCAGCTCCCTCATAGTTGGGTGTCAGATCCAGCACTATGGAGATACCTGAGAGGCAAAGAGAGAAAGTAAATAAACCACAATACTGTTGAAGTAACACCACCATGAGTTCCATGTAGTTTAGCCTTACAAAACACAAATCAACAGACACAGGAACATAAGACACATGTCAATGAGAGATGTGAAAATAGAGGCACTGGTATTTGGCAGTGGAGATGTGAATAGAAGCATCTACTCTGCGGTGAGAGCAGTTCTAAAACAAGCCCTAAGGAGTCATTAGTGTTTGTGAAGACCCTCACCCTTTTTGTGGGCTCTTTCAAGCAGGCTGTTCAGGTCTTTCTCGTTGCCCACCACCGGGTTAATGGTCTTGAAATCCAGAGTACTCGGCTGGTCTGCCTGAACACTGTGTATAGGGCCAAGAACCAAACCTTTCACCTTCAGCTGGTTCAAACTGTCCAGCTTTTCCTCCACACCTTAAAAAAAAACAATGGCAAAATCAATTCAACCCATTTCACTATGCCACAGTCTCTGCCAAGCCTGTAATCATTAACCACATTTATTATTGACTATCAGCCTGTCTCATCAATACCAAAGGTTAGGAACATTTTGTGGTTGATAACTGATTAAACGCATTATAGAGACTACAGCTGGGAGAACTGCAAGACACTGCAGTAAGTGTGAGTGTGCAAGTGATACCCTAAATCTTCCACTACTCAACAGAAATATACTCAAATAAATTATGTAAAAATCTCCAGGCATTTTTTAGTAAAAAGGAAGGCAGACCCTGAAGGACTAGCTCAGCATGTGACCTCTAACATGAGAGTCACAAGACAGTCAGCAACCGCTGGCAAGCTTTAATTTAGGCATACAGCAACCAGACATTACCAATAACCACTGAACACAGAGCAATGGGGACTACTCCAACAAATTACTATAATATTAATGTTGACTTTAAATTTGTGTTTGATGTGCTATGTGAACTTTGTTAACATTTAAAAATGACCAACATGAAAAAACTACCAATTTTGAATGGTTGTGATGTGAAAATCATGAAACAAAATGTACATATAGTCACCTATCCAGTCTACAGCAGTTTACCTCTGCATGACACACTGAAGTTAGAAGAAGTGTTTCAGCCTGAACTGCTTTTTGAAGTAAGTGAAATACAGCCAATCAGAACAGAGGTCATTTACATATACCAGTCTTAAAGACACATTAACTCAAACAGCCTTGAATTAAATTAACTGTTTCTTGCTACATAAACAATCCATATATTAAAAGTGGACATCAGAGGAAAAAATAAAAAATGTAGAATAGGGGAGCTTTAAATGTTCTAATGTACTCATTACAGTCCAAATCTGTAGTTTATACTTTAGCATGTTTAGTAACTGTAGAACACTTAATGTTCTTCACACTAAAATGGCCACAGTGCCTAGAAATTTCACTCACTCTAACACACCAGAACCAACCCACAAAGGTTAAAATTAAAGGTTATAATTGGCTCACAGTATTACTTTGGACACTCTCACTACCACTCTCACTACTTAAATATACTATGTATAATTAAGCAAGTGTATCATAATGGTGATGAACGTTTAAAGTGATGTTCTTCACCCTGAACTCTGAAGGCCCACAAGTGATACCCTAAATCTTCACACTTTAAGGTTTCACACCTATCTCAACCCACGGGGGGTTTAAAAGGTGTTTGAGACGTTGAATCAAGAGTGACAGAGCACTGTGCCTGCAGGTTTCAGGACAAAAATGACAACCAGTGTAGCTACATCAATTAAATGACAGTGAACTGGTGATCACGCACATCTTTGAGTGAGAATACAACTTAATGTATTATGCATTGCACTGTCTTTCTTGATTTGAATGATTTTTAAAGGCTTTTTTGCAGAATGCATACCTAGTATTTATTTACCATTTCAGGGCTGACGTTAATTTAGGTTTAAAAAGTTATATCTAGAACATCACCCCAATACCTTTAAAGCCATTGTCTCCAGAGAAGGCGCTCACATCGGCTATCTGGTAGAGAGGACCCTCATTCCACCAGTGCATTTCGGGGATGGGTTTACACCGCGGAGCCTGAACAATGATCACCACTGCCCCGGCCAGCATGCCAACCCAGCCCAGCCAGAACAGAACCAGCAAGATCCAGCGAGTCCGCACCCATCTGTGGAACCACATGACAGTAACGGTCAAAGTCGGAGAGATAAAAAGCTAAAAAGAGTTTAAGACATTGTGACCTTTAACTTTTTGTGATAATTTTAATGTTAAATAAAATGCTAAACTGTCAACGTAACGTGCCCAATCCCAAAAGCAGTGTAGATGTCTCTTATGAAATGTACTGAAATTAAACTAAGTAACTACATGTAGATGACTACTATATAACTGAGGAAAATTAGATTATTGCAATAATAATAAAAAATAAATAAAGGTATATATACATATATATTTATATTATATATATATATATATATATATATATATATATACATATATATAAATAATTGAAGGTATTTATGTATTATAAACAATAGAATCTCTGAGCACTCTCAGAGATGGTGTTTTAGACCATATCACAACGTAAAGGATCCTAATGGCTTAACAGGTGACCAGTGGCTGATTCTAAATGCATTTGGTGGTTTCCTAATGGGATCTGAAGGTATTCTACAAGAAACTAGTGGTCTCTATAGGACACAATTAAGCCACTTCACATTAGAAAGCAAAACCATTAGGTTTTAATCCTAATAGTTTCTAATCGTCCCTTTTTTCAGCACGTGGAAATAAGTAAACATATGTTAATAACTCCAGTAGAAGTCAGAGTTGGCCATGTTGTCCCCTCAGTCCTGTCTGAGCTCTGAGCGTGTCTTATTTCTCACCCTGCAGTCCCCGCCACTCTCATCAGCTCCTCTTTGGACAGGCCGGTGAATTTGACTTCGGTGTCCTCCGGGACCTTCACCCTCACACAGCCGTTCTTCTCCGTTCCTGCCGGAGTCTCTCCGGTCATTGGCTGCTTCTCCTGGTCCAGCTCGTTCAGCTCGACCTCCTTCATTTCCACCTCTTTGCTCATGATTTTACGGCGGTGTTATAACCGAACTTCTGGCGAGAAAAGAGGGTAAGTTTATACACTAACGTGAGGTCGCTAAGTAACGTGAAGTTAACCAAACCCCACAGCATTTCTCAAGATAACACTAGCTACAAGCTAACTGTAGCATAAATGTTAAATTTAAACGTTATCTTTGTTAAAACAGCAAGACAGATAAAAGCTACTCATATAACGACTCAAAAAACATAGTCAAACCGTGTCTCGCTCAAACAGTTAACGTCGATGTGAATCTAGCAGTGAACATGAACGTTAACGTTCACCATTAGCATACAGATAGCTAAGAGTTTAATGTTAGAGTACCTGTAGAAAAGTCGGTGTTGTAATCCCGCTAACGTTACAGGTTCTTGACCCTGCAGTCCAGTGTAACTGTGAGCGGCTGTGTGAGTCGCTCAGAGAGTTTTATACGGGCTCCTCTCTCTGCTGCTCTGCTATTGGCTGTAAATGACTGTCCACACACACTGCAGCCTGCTGGACCTGCCAGCACTGCACGGTAAGAATAGGTGTTAAATCATGACTTTACTGTTCGTCCTGTGGGCAACACCAACACACATTTACTCAGTTACATGTACTTATGTGACATTGTGATGGATTTTTACTTCGCTGAGTAAATGATAATACTTTTACTTATTTGAGAAGAAAGTAATATTTCTATGAAGTAATTAACATTTCCTTACGTATTCCTTGGTTGTGTTTATTTTTATTATGTAAAATTGGGGACAGACTCTGTAGAAGTTCCAGGACAGTTCTATAAGTTGCTCAGTACTTAAGTAGAGTTTTGAGCTGCTACTTTTGTACTTCTATTTTTCCTTTTACTCGAAACATTATTCCACTGAAATTAATACAGTTTTACTTTGATAAGGGTTTAGGCTACTGTATCCACCTCTGCGATCACGTTAACACATGATTAAAATAATAAATCATGTATATCTAGATGTCTTTGTCCAGGTGGTAGCTTTATAACCTCCCCTTCTTGTGTTTTTTTTCTACATCACTGAGCTTGAGTTCGTGTGAATGGACTGGAATTTTTGGGGGTGGGTGAGCAGCTCACTTCACTGTGAAATTTCTGGAGACTGGGTGGACATTCATCAGTTGAGGCCAGTGGTGTAACTAGGATCTAATGGGCCCCCCTTATGGAAATTACTTTTAATGAATGAAAAAAATGACAGTATCATTTGCGTGTTTATTCTGAGTATAAACTACAAATGTTGGGTTCTGATTGTAATCAGTTGTAAGAACCTGGGCCATTTTCAGATGTGAAGCACCTCATGGACCTCACTTACTCACTCACTCACTCACTCACTCACTCACTCACATTTATCAAGACTCTCAAAAAGGGGGAGCTAGTGGCACTCTAGTAACTAGAGTGAAAACAAACTTATGTTAGCTGAAATGAGTTTATTAAGCTTTGTGGACATGTGAGAAGTGTATTCTCTCTAGGACTTTTGGGATATTACCTGCTGGTGCTTCACATCACTGATACTTTGTGCCAACAATAATGAAATTGGTTAACTAGAGTCTGAAAATCAATAACAGAGATAATCTCAGTCAGTGGTGGATTAATTTGATTTGTCCTGACAGAGAGAAATGGCCTACTGCAGTAGCTGGCTAGCTAGAGTGGTCAGGTCAGAAGAGGAGGTTGAAGACTGACCTGTTGCTTTCTTGCTCTATTTGTTAATCTGAGTGCAATTTTCCTCTCAAGTCCACCATTCTCGCCTCTTTTTATCCATTTTGCAAAATGAACACAAACCCGGATGCTGTAGGCTAGTCAACTAAGCTAGCTACTTCTACTACACGTCTCTGACCTAATAACAATAATATCATATATTATTGTATACCATGTATGTAGGAAAACCAATCATGTGAGAGATCAGGTGGCAGAGGGGAGGGGGAGGGGTTTGTTCATATAATAATGGATGTGGCTGTGCTGTTCTCTAGTTTAGCATGTCTTTAGCGAAGCTGGCCTAGACCCTCCAACTCACAGGTCAAGCACTCGCTGGAAAATCTCCTTGAATTTCCGATGGGCAGTCCAAGCTTGGGGCCAGTCACCACAGTTACGCCACTGATTGAGGCCCATGTATCTAGGCAGTTTAATATGTGTTCAGAAAGTGTTCATATCCTATAATATTCATTTATCCTAGCAAATAATTGGAATTGGAGCACTTCCTTGTAGCCTACTGTGCCAGGCACCCAACCCCTGGGCACCAACGACAGCCATGAGAGATGGCGGGAAGGCAAAGCTCAATTCCAGCGTGGGTTGGGCCCCTGGCACACCTACTACTTCATGTTAGCCTGTCATATATTACAGAACTGATTATGACTGAAGTTCAAAGTACTGATGCTGAGTCAGCCCGAGTCTTTTCATGATAATATTAGTTGATAAAGAGCCATGTATGTAGGCCTACATGTAACCAATAGACTCCTGTACATGAAAGAGTATGTCCACTGTTTTCCAATCCACATCTTATTAAAAATAGCTGTTTCCCATCATTTATAATCACAGCAACAGTGCTGATAGCTTTAGTAGTAAGAAATATGCAGTTTCACACTAGGCTTAAGCACAGTCTATGGGGCAAACATTGAAAAGGGAATTCCAGCCATTTTTCAGGACTTCTGTATAACGTTGCTGTCCAAAGAAAACCATGTATCTCCATTTTTGTCAGTTGTTGTTTTTCTACATAATTTCAACACACCAGCTCTCCTTTATGGTGTGTGAAAATTTTATGATGATTTGACAAATAGAAATGCTTCAGAATCACTTGGAATAAAATCCTTTTTACATTAACTCACATTAAAAGGTAAGAGCGTTTTTGCCCTCTCCTGTAAACTGATTATTTTGGAGATACTTGTTTTTCTTTGGACAGCGATGATAATTAAATGAAATGGCTATATTAGAGTTGCAGACATAATGAGCTCTGTTTCCTATCACCACTACCGTAAAGAAATCTAAGTAGCTAGATTTCTCTAAAATGAATCATTTCAACATATACCCATCTCAACAACCGAACTGTGCAGAATTTTGAGAAATGTAAGCTTACAATATTTCTTTTTTATAACAAGGCACTAGTTGCCATCCTTGTCTATCCAGTTTGATTCTACTCAATTTGCATGAAACTGTCAAGCCTATAATACTTTAAAAGTACTGTAGTCCTGTAGTGTTTGTAACTGATTATTTGCAATGAGCAGAGCCCTGTACACTGTAGTCACTTCATGTGCAAGCACACACACATACACACACACACACTCACACTTCTCCTTCACCACCAACCTTTGCCCTAATTTTCCTCTTTATTCCAGGAAGCTGCCGTGACTCGAAAGCATTCTCCTTCAAACAGAGCCATATGTACTACACCCACCCATATTCTCTCTGTCTCCTTGGAGAGAGGAAGATTGCAGGGAGAGTAGTTTATTTTCTCATGGCTCAGCTGGGCTTCACAGAGATCATCAGCAGGGGGTTGGGGGGACCAGCTCTAGCCTGTCTGATCCTGCTCTCTAAACCCTGCTTCCGCTGCTTTAAAAATAAATGATTAAAACTGGAGGGGACTAGTTTTGGCCTGGGCCTTCTAGAAGGGTGTTGGTTCCCCCTTTGTGTTTCGTGGAGAACTCTGAAATGCAAAACTACAGTGTTCCTACAGCTGTGTGCAAAGGTTTGGGCACCCCTGGTCAAATTACATGTTTTGTTGGTTTTCTAGGTGAAAATAAAGTAACACATCCTGTACAGAGAACATATTTCTGCACAATTTAATGCACAATAACTGTTTAATTTCTCAATTTGATATACTGAGGGGGAAAAAATAAAAACGTGACATGCAAAAGTTATGTCACATTTTAAATGTTATGTTTTATTTTTTCTAATATGTTACACTCAGCAAACAAACCTAAATTGTGCACTAAAAAGGTCACGTTTAATTTAGAGGATGTGTAAGCTTATTGTCACTTAGAAAATCAACAAAACAAGTAATTTGACCTGGGGTGTCCAAACTTCTGTATATGCTTCTATAAAATGTTTCTAGAAATGTTTGCTGCTTTAAGGAGCAGTGATGCTGCAAGACATTTTCAGTGCATGAATATTTAAGATCACAGAAGTTGTCTGCCCTTGCTACAGGTTATTCCTGAAGCTAATGATAAAGCAGCCAGATGACAAAGTAAGGTGACATGACTGAACAGTGTTTGGCTGACTGACAAGCTGACCTCCGTTTAGCAAGAACGTCCACTGAGCACTGGATTCAGCTCAGATGAATTTAGCCTAAACACACGTACACGGCTGTTAAAGGGAGTTAGTTAATATGACTAAATGATTATAGCTGAGTAATTCTGGACAGTAAACACGTCTTACCTTAGCCTACTTCATACACTGTAGCTCACAGGGCAGCACTGCTGAGGGGATACAGCACAGTGGAAACAAGTGTACTAGGCAAACAATTAATGTGGTCATGATTCTGTGTACCCTGCTAGACAAACCAGCATAGACCAGCCTAGCTGGTCACTAGCAAAACCAGCATTTGCTGTGTTTTGGATGCTGGTATGCTGGTCAACCATCATGAACATGCTGGGTGACTAGCTTAAACAGCGTCAGATCAGCATAAACCAGCTTAGATCAGCATGCATTGCATTCCATTAAGATGTTTTTTTTTTCAGCAGTGTAGAAAATAATGTATAAAATTATAATGTAACCACATAATTAAATGTAGTTTTTGCTTTGGAAAAGCAGAAAGTGATTTTGTGTCAGTATTTGATGCGGTTCTGTAAAATTTCTTGTGTTATTTTTACTGCTGATCAGTGTCTGTTATATTGATTAAAATCTTCATGCAATACATAAAGCACAGGACAACAAAACAAAAGCGCTATACTGTGATACCGGCATAGAACAAGATGTGGGAGAGGCCATCATTTCCTTCCTACGAGATTTTCCCTGTTATTAACACAAGCAGAAAAGGCCCATAATACAGCTAGACCAGGGGGAGGTCGCCATGAGCCCTACGCTTCTTCTCTATGCAGTACACACTAAACCCACAACCCCATGTAGGTATACGGATACACAATAAATACATAAACACATCTTAAACTGATTAAACTACATATCAATGTAGATGTTAACTGTGTTTTTTTATGTATAAAACAATGTTTGCTGTCTCATTGAGCATAAACAAGATCAACGTTAAATTTATGCCATGCGTTCTTGCCTGTCTGCTCAGTGGAGCAGTTTATTACAGTGAGTCTTACTGATCATTGAGTGAAGCGTTATCAGACTCTTACAGCAGATATCACTAACTGCCTTGATGACAGATCTTCACTGTAAGTGAACAGGTCAGGCAGGACAGCTTTTTTCTGGTATTCACTGCTTTAGTCATGACGGCTGACTGTCTCACTTTGCATAAATGAGGTTAGGTTATGATGGCACTGGTCACTCCTTCGCTACACCCCTGGTTTTGGCAATATATGTTTTACTGGTGTGCAATAAAAGCTCATTTTGCATCACAACAAAAATATACATTTTGATACATACAGAACTAGAGGCTCCCCAAAGTACTTTGTATTTTTAGCACGTACAGTAAAAGTAGTTTTGTTCCAGTAAGTAGTTTTTGTTACAAAATAACAATTCCAGAACATCCTTAGCTCTCTGCGTGTACTGTTCAGGGCTGTACACACTGAAAACTGTATTCTGAGTACTGTCTATGTGGTGCATTAAACATTCAGCTTGGCTACTAAGAGTGACTTTACAGTGCAGGATGTGCAGCATATTTAATGTACTGAAAACTGGTCTGGGAACATGTTATTATGTTATTATGGATACACTCTAAAACAGATGTGTGAAGAAACTACACATTCTGTAGCACTAAACACATTACACAACAATAGATTCCTTCATCTGTCTCCAACTAGACACATCAGTGTGTTCAGTTGGAGACAACAAATACTGAGTTACATTTAACAAAAAAAATATTTTTGTGTCCGGTTACGGATAACACATTGTGTATTACTTTTAAATCAGAAAACTATATGACACAAAAAGTGATAAAACAGGTAACACAAGTTTCTAGAGTTTTAGTGTGCATAAATAGATCATTTTAACATACAGTGCTGTGCAAAACTCTTAGACACTTAGAGCTAAGAAAATTGTTCAAAACTATTTATCTTCGAAATATTGTGTTTTTGCCAGCACCACTTTTGCTCCAGGTTTAATGTGTACAGCTGATGCATCGTGCACCTCATGTGAAACAGAAACTATGATTAAAAGCTATGTCTGTATTTACGAAAATTTACTCTGAATACTCATCTTTATGATGTATATTGTGTATGTAAATACAGGATATTGAGAGATTCAGAATGAATGTCCAAAATCTATGTATTTAGATATGCAACCAGTGCAGGCAGAATTATATTGTGTGAGTGTGTGTACATAAGACACTCTGTGGGAAATGGAGTGTGCCACCTGTGGTGTGTATTTGTTTAAGGCAGAAAATGCACTCTCACTCCGTCTCGCTTATCTTATGCTTACAGCTGCCCTGACCCCTCGTAACTGCTCTCTCATGCTATCTCACCAATACGAACATTGCTTCATCAGCGCTGTCCTCTCTTCTTTATTACTTATGTTTTCTCTCGTTCCCTCATTATCTTTGTCATCTTTTTAGTTTTGCATGGCCTCTTTATATCTACCTGGCTTAGGCCTTGAAATCTCTTGATTTCAGCGGTGGTAAAGAAAGTACAAAGAATAGTATCAGTGCTGTTTCAAAATCCTGCTCAATAAACATTAAAGTATAGAACCAAAAATATAGTTGAGTGAAAGTGAAATGACCTACATTTAAAAGTACAAGTTTAAAAAGACCAAAAAAAGCAAAATAGCAGTGAAAATTGAGTCACGATTTCTTTTTAAATTAAAGTAACACTAATGCTTACCATGAGATGATCCCACTCTACATAACCCAGACTGAACAAGTCTGCCTTTCCTTAACCCTTTTACTTAAAAGTCTTTAAAATTCAAATACATTTAAACACTAATTACTCACCTGTGAGAAGTTAAAACATTACTTGCATTGCTTGCATTCAAAACAGCCATTAATTTTGAGTTATTAATTTTTCAGTGTCAGAAAAAGCAATACATACAGACACACACACACACAACATCTAAACTGCTTATCCTTCTGGGTCGCGGTGCGGTGCTGGAGCTGTCATCGGGCGGAAGGCAGGATACACCCTGGACAGGTTGCCAGTCCATCGCAGGGCAGACAGACAGACGTATACACACACACATTCACACCTAGGGGCAATTTAGCATGTCCAATTGTCCTGACTGCATATCTTTGGACTGTGGGAGGAATTACACAGAAGCCTCAACAAATAAATATAATATCACAGTTTTCAGTATTTAGTGTGTGCACCCTTTGCCTTTATTACAGCTTCAATTCATTTTGGGAGACTTTGGGAGATTTCTCCACACCTCCAAAGTTCAATCTTAAAAGTTGGTTGCATTTTCCATTTCTTACAAAACCAAGTATTTGCAAGCACATTCAATGATGTTGAGGTCTGGACTCTGGGGTGGTCAGTCCATTGTTCTGACAACACCAGCAGCTTCTTTCTTTGATTTGCGAGTTTTCTTCTTTTTTTGTCTGTTTCCTTTTCACAGTAACAGCTTTTTGACAGCTACACCTCCTTTCAGTGGAAGGATGAACAGAAATAACTGTGGATTATTTTCAGATCTGAAGCAAGAGATGAAAGCTTTAAGCACTGTTTATCTGATGATGACAGTTTTGGTGGTCTACCAGGTCTTGCACGGTTGTTAGAAGTCACATTTTCTCTATATCTTTATCTATGTCTATCACCACATTGTGCAGCTTTAGTTCTCGCTCACTCTCTGTCCTGCAGCAACACATTAAAGACTCCTGCACCTCACTTTCTGCATGACAAGTCACTTAGTTAAGCAATCGGTCATAAGAAAATTATTAAGCTAGCAGGTGGTGTGTGGTGCAGAGACTAATGGGCAGTATTTGTCACTGCTTAGAAACACATAGCATAGTCATAGGCAATTTATTTTAGATTAATGTCACTTTAATTGAATGCTTTAATTCATGAAATAAATTGTATGGAACTTGACTGATTGGCAAGAGAAAAATCTCATAGAAGGTCTAAATGAAAATCTAACAAGTAAAAGGTATGTTTTTTTCTTTTGGAAATGTACTTGAGTAAGCATACTAGTGTTCGGTTTTAGTAATACTTGACTAAAGCACAAATCTTCCATTAATAAAATAAAATAATACTTTTAATAATGAAGTACAATTACTTAAGCATTTTCCCTGGATTGCCCTTGATGGGAACAAAGTCTAGCTTGTGCTCTTTTTCCTTTTGCCCTTTCTTTTGTTTCTCATTCTCTCTCGCTCTTCTAGTGCCCCCTCCCTTTTTTTCTCCCTCCATCTCTCACAGAGAACAATGTCAGAGTGTTTTCCCCGGATGACAGAACAGAATGTAGGCCCCTGCTATGCTGCAGAGGAGAATTTCAAACAGCCTGAGGGGCATTAAGGGCACAGCAGTTAGTAATGCTGAACACCCATCATTTTGTTGCAATGTCTTGTATGTAAAACTCACTTGTATATTGTAATACAGTTTGAGCTATTTAGAGAGAGGCCCACAAATACAGCAACATCATAACATCTCTCCTAAAGACTAAAGCATGCCTGCCTTGTTCTCTTGCTTTCTCTCTCTCTCAGTGCAGCCTAAACCCAACAAAGTTTCCCAATGATTTAAGGTTATAAAAACAGTTGTAGTACATACACTTAATGACAGCTGTGAACCCTGTACTGTCATTCTGAATGTAATTTATTTATGTGTGTGATTTGCCAGAAGAAAAAGACTGATTTATATTCATGCTTTTCCTTTCTGAAAGCAAAACCCATGTGGATTATTTCCAGTTCAGTGGTTCACAGGCAATATATCAAGGCTGTATTAACTCGTGCTTGTAGTGCCCTCTTCTGGCACTGCTGTAGCTAACTTATGCTTCTGATTCAGTCTCAGTAAAGGTTAGTTTTTGTGAGAGTGAAACTTTTATTGGTTAATACAAGTGTATTCAGAATTATAGCATTATCTTTTAACTCACCACAAAGTATAAACAAAAAATGTGAAAAATTAGTGCATTTAAGATTTCATCTAGTTATTTTGCCTACTTAATTAAAAGGATATGGAATGACAAATGGCCAAAGGCTCAGGTCAGTTTACAATAAGTGATTCAGTATAGCCAAAAAAAAAGAAACTTGTGCAAGGTCTCATACACTCAACACTGCAAACATTTTCGGAGAAGTTACTGGCTCAGAAAAGCTGTCCATTTGTGGACTAAAAGTACAAAGAAAATTCCAAGCGGCTTTTAAAAACTCAGTCTTTTGCCAGGTGAGCTGGGCTGAATGCTAAAGGCAGCAAGTCCCGCAGGCTTGTTTTCTTATAGGAACCATCTGGTTTGGTCAGGTAAATATCCCATTCTGTACCAAACTGACAGAAAGAGAGTGAAAGCAATTAACAAATACAGTGAGTGAATATGGTTACAGCACAAACAAAGTAATGTAAAGGTATTACACCATATAGTATTAATGACAGGATACATACTGTAATTTCACCATAAATACTGACAGCTTAATTCTACTTAAAATGCCACAACACCTAAAAATATGCACATGTGGAAGCTCTTACCTCCATTAGTACTTGTCGACAGGCCCCACAGGGTCCTACAAAACTATCTTTAATATCGCTATAATAAAGCAAAGGCAATTACTGTTAATTTTGCACCAAAAACAATTAATACCTAAGAACAATTGCCTAGAAGTGAAAATGTGTGCCCTGAAACTGATTTTCAGGTTCTAGTTTCAAATGAGCCATGAGCTCTCCATTTCAGTGTAATAGCAATTGATCCATGCTCCACCCACAAATACCCTCTTTCAAAGTAACGGTAGGTTGGAAAAGCTTTACAGATCAATGACAAAAATCCAATTCAACCTAACGAGAAACTGTAACTCTGTTTTAATCAAACTACATAGAAAAAGCCTTGAGGCTTAATGTGTGTTCTGCATTCTGTGTCCTGTAATCAAGTTAACGTTAGTATGATGGCGACCTAGTTTCGAGTAGCTACAACAACACAGTCCAGCTTGAAAGTGTAGCAGCGTAGCACTTTGAACTGGAAACTAGAGATGTGTGTTCTTGAAACAGCGACAGTGCTTTGGCACTATCAAAGGACCAAGTCACATGATTTCAGCAAACAAAGCTTCAATATGTCATCACTGTTTCAAAATATTCCAAAGGTTTGTGGTTTGACACCAACCAGGGGGTCAACCCTCAGGGTGAATCCGTGTCAAACGTACGTCACCTGCCGATCTCGAATCTGTTGTCGTAGTTTAGGCTCATATTAAAGTACTGATTCAAATGAAACTTGGCTGATCAGCAGTCAGTCAGTCAGTTTTGAGCAGATCAACTGACATATATACATACATCATCTAAACAGCTTATACTTCTGAGTCATGGCGGAGTGCTTGAGCCTATCCCAGCTGTCATTGGGCGGAAGGCAGGATACACCCTGGACAGGTCGCCAGATCAACTGACATAAAAACATTAAATCAAATTTTTAAATTAGGGCCAAAATCATGTAGACAAATTCAATATTATCATAATAAAAACATGAATATGTATGCTAGTAAATTCAGGTTTTGCGATGCAATTTGACAAGCAGGTTGTTTCCTTGAAACAGTGAATCATTTTTTAAACAGTTTGTGGTTTAAAACTCCCATTTCTCCCACTGGAAACTGTTTGATATGGAGCTACTCTGAATAAAATGCTCTACAATTTCTCATTAGTTCAAAAGGGATTTTTGCCAGTGTTCTGTGAAGCTCGCTCCACCTGGTGACAACTGCTACAAAAGAATTTATTTGTGGGTGGAACATGAATAGGTTATGAATAGGCCACGGTCCTAGTGGAAGAACAGGACAGAATGTACTACTATTTAACATACTTGACAATCAGTAAGTTACTCTGCTTGTACAGTGTATAAAAGCATGTACCTTACCATGTAACTGCTATAGCTGTAAAACTTCTGTGGCCCTCAGCTACAGCTCTCTGTATAGCTGTTCTCTCTGCACATACTGTAAGGCCGTAGGAAGCGTTTTCTACGTTACAGCCTGCCATATGCACACATAACACATGGCACATCAGGGTGTGTCACTGCCACTGAGAAATTTGCATGATTTAGCAGATGGGTAAAACTAGTTTTGCCAGAACTGAGAAAACACTAAGCAGTTAACTCCAGAATTTGCCCACTCATGAATTTACTTGTGTATTTTACCTGTGATTATGGTGCCTCCTGATGTCAAGATCGCAGCACCAACTGGAAAGCGGCTATATGGACAATAAGCCATTTCCCTTGCCTGCAAGCACTTTGCAACCAGTTCTGCAACTTGACCAATACAACAGATGAACGTATGAAAGAAACAAGCATTAAAACAAAAATGAATGAGTAGGCTAGCTTGACACTTCAAGTAAGTAATGATCTTCTACAATTTGAAAATGCACAGCCTAAAACTGACCCTATTGAAAACTATAGCTTTCAAGTCAGTAATTGGCAGGGATTCCTCCTTTTAAGCAAAACTTTCTCCTTGATCAATTTCATCTAAATGAATGTTCTGCAAGTTCTTATATTTATTTTAAAGTAATGCATGTATTATTCACAAATCTGTTTTTACTGTTATAGATCTACTCAATTTGACATATGTCTGTAATGTATAGCATCTGAGAGTTTGGTGGATTAGGTCTCCCAGTCTTGTTTTTTTCATTGGGCAGTCAGCATTCACAGTGTTGTTCTACTATAGACCCTCTCAACTGGGCCTCTGTTGTATTCCTTGGTTTGTTGTGGGCTTGACTTTGCTTATCTATACATTTGCTGTCAACAATACAATCAGTGATCACTGAGATTTTAAAATTAATCTAAGAGCCATTTTGAACATCTTCAAAAAAAGACCTTTTTTCACTTTGATAACAGTGGCATGTGCTATGGATTTCATCTGTGAATATTTATATATTATATTATTAATTTAAATATTTGCATCATTTCAATAGCCTTCTTAAAACTCACTTTTGATTATCTTGATGTAATGTGTTCCAGCCATGTTTGTGCCAAGTTCAGTCTTGATAAGCAGTGTACAATTACATTAGATTATCTAAAATAGGGCCTGAACTCTAATTCAGTCATGCTTGACAAGTTTTTTCTGATATGTCAAAAAAGTACAGGTTTCTGATGATAAGCTACCATGGACAACCACAACATTTAATGTACATATAATTAACATACAATTTCCTCACCATTACTTATTTCACCAGATGTATTTGTTTATATCTGCATTACCAATCATATCTGCAATATTAGTGATGGAACCCTTGAATCCTGACTTTGTTGCCTGAATATATATATATATATATATTAATATATAACACACGAGAGAGAGACAGCTAAGAACAAAGCTTGGTTGCAGATGTTTTATTTATTTATTCTAATATTAGTGTTTCTCTGAGGAAAAAAATGCTGTCCAAGTAAACATCTTTTAATTCTAATTTTCTAAACTGCCTAAACCTTTTGCACAGTACTGTCCATTAGGTTGTTTGTTTTTAGGTTACTCTTTCTGCTGCAACTCTAATAGATATACAGTCTACGACGGAGCCTCCACCTCTAAAACCTCTCTCTCACTGCAACAGATTAACAGTCCTGACTGACACAACCAGACAGACCACGAGCTCATGTGCTAATTGCTGCACTCTTGAGCAGTATGAATGTTAGGCTGTGAGCAGAAAATAGAGAAAACCAGTTAAGCATGTCTTACGCAACGTTAACCTACTTTATTTTTTCTTCAGGAAAGAACTAAGCTAGGCTAAACCTGGAGCTCAAGTTACCAGCACAGTGGAGCCTACAGTGCTGTTTCGAGCATCCACTGGGCTACAGGCTATTTACAGGTCATGTGCGTGCTGAAGCAAACGTTTTTCCTTAAACAAATGTATACTTACCAGCCATATCGTCTAAAAGGATAGAGACAGCATCTATTTAGTTATGAAACTTGCTAAAACATATCAGAAATAGCGGAAATAGGCGCTTGTATACAGTCTAGCATGACATGTGGTTTGTTCGCACCAATGTTTTGGTTCGCCGGGTCGTTAGTCCCCACCTGTATTCCGACAAATTCCGCCCTCTGCGCTGCGATTGGCTTGTAGTTCTCACTCAGAGCAGCTCGGAGATATTACCAGCCAATCAGGAGGCGGGACCGTTCAGCATACTGGTGGGAAAAACAACGCCTCGTGAGACCGTGTGCGCTGCTGTGCTTTTCATTGGCTGAGGTGCGACTACGTGTCATTGACCTCTGAGCCTGTTGGATCAGCGAGTGCTGCGCGAGCCTGACCACTAACAGCAGGCCATTAATTTTTAATGTACGTAAGAGGACCTTTATTACAAACAGAACTCACGTGCTGGTCATTCCAACATGAGTTAGATTGATAATATATATATTGGTTCACTAAATAAGCTCAATACAATATACATCTACCTAATGAGGCATTTTATTCACTTGCGGTCATTATGGTATACCCTTGAAAACAGCACCTTATGGACGGAATGCCACCATAACGCATTTGTACAGGAGATAAGATACGCAGCAGGTAAACACTATGAACACACACAAAAAGCACAAGTTGTTGAGCCAAAATGCAAACAGGTAAAGGGTCCTCTGACAGTAGTGTCTCACATTCGAAGAATCATAGTTTGGCGGATATATGGAGTAAACCCAGAAGGTTCCTGAAAAACAAATTAGAAACAATTAGAAACAATATAAGATTTATTCAGAATCAACTGCTCACTTCTTAACTGTTTACTGACTCTTTACAACAAAGTTGCTTGTACTTCTTTGCCTGATTATGACATAAAATACAAAATATATACACTTTCTTTGTAAAACTGAATATGTTATATATACAACTAATATATAAAGAATATATAAATGATAAAATAAGTGTTGCCATATGGCAACAGAATGCGACAAAAGAACTGCGATCTGCAATTCATACAGTTGGAGTAAACAAATACACTGATGTTGGTCAACTTTCTTACATCACAATTTTTTAAAATAAATACAATTATTTTGTACCTTTTCCATATTCTCAGAGCATGTATGCATATATGGCAGATATGCACATTATGTTTTTCATGACTCAAAGATGAATGTGGCAGTGTGATGCACTGAAGTGCTGATGTGCTGTTGCCACATTTTATATTTAGTTTTATTTTTTCCAATATGTTAAACTTATCAAATAAATGCCATATTTACTTATATTCACTCAGAAAATCGACAAAACATGTCATTTGAACAGAGATATTCGAACTTTTGCATTCGACTGCAGTAGGGGGTTTTAATCTCATGAAGATCAAACTCTGAGTAAAACTCTAGGAATGACTGGGTTACCAAAGCTTCATGGCACAGTTAACTGAGTGAGTTTTACACTCTGTTATTGAAATATTGCATATGGTTTGTGCCTTGTGATTAACACAAACTCATATACAGTGCTGTGAAAAAGTATTTACCTCTTCACAATTTTTTCAAACTACTTTTAATATTAGATAAAAATAACTGAAGGAAACACAACATGCTGTTATTAAATGATGATTATTGATGGACAAATGCTGTTTAGCCCTGCCTGGCCGTGTTTGAAAAAGTAATTGGCCCTTAGCTACTAAATCAACCACTTAAACAAATTCAATTGACTATATGGTTCAATTTGACTAGCCCCACCAAGGCATGATTACTGCCAGACCTGCTGAATCTAAACATCACTTAAATAGAACCTGTCTGGCAATGTGAAGCAGGTTAGAAGGTCTCAAAAAGCAGCACATGATGCCATGTTCTGAAAAGATTCAAAGACAGGTGCAAAACGAAGTCAGTGAAATCTACAAGCCATTGCTAAGGCTCTGGGACTCCAGCGAACCACACTGAGCCGTTATCCACAAATGAAGAAAACTTGGAACAGTGGTGAACCTTTCCAGGAGTGGCATCAACGACTCCAGGAGGTCACAAAAGAACCCAGATGAATATGCAGGCCTTACTTGCCTCAGTTAAATTCAATGTACATAATTCCACAATAAGAAAGACACTGGGCAAAAATGGCATCCATGGTAGAGTTGCAAGGCACAAACCACTGCTGACCAAAAGGAACACAAAGGCTCATCTCGCATTTATCAAAAACTTCTACATGACCCACAAGACTTTTGGGATAATATTCTGTGGATTCAAAGGTGGAACTTTTTGGAAAACAGGGGTCCTGTTACATCTGGCGTAAAGCTAACATAGCATTCCACTGTAAGAATATCATACCAACAGTCAAACATGATGGTGGTAGTGTGATGGTCTTGGGCTGCTGAGTTTCTGCAGAACCTGAATGATTTTTCATAATTGATGGAACCATGAATTCTGCTCTCTGTCAGAAAATCCTGAAGGAGAATGTTCACCTATCTGAAGCTCAACTGCAGTTGGGTCATGCAGCAGGACAATGATCTGAAGCACACAAGCAAGTCCACCTCTGAATGGCTCAATAGAAACATAATTAAGGTTTTGGAGTTGCCAAGTCAAAGTCCTGACTTGAGTCCCATTGAGATGTTGTGGCAAGGCCTTAAATGGTCAGGGCTTAAAACCCCTCCAGTGCAGCCGAATTAAAACAATTCTGCAACGAAGAGTGGGCCATAATTCCTCCACAGTGACATAAAAGACTCTGCATTTTGTATTTACTTGTGTTATCTTATTTTTATAATAAAATTTGTTGGAAGATCTGAAATATTTAAATGTGATCAATTAGCAGTGTGAGGGGCACATATTTCTTCACAGCACTGTAGCAGCCTTTAATAACTCTGTGATCTTAAATTTTTATCTTCTAGTTTTTCTTTCTCTACCATTTCTTCCTCAGTCCCATTCCTTGATTACCTGTAAGCATCCAACCGATGCTGAAGAGGAGGATGCCAAAAATGCTGACGGTGCAGAGCTGACTCAGGGTTCCTTCATGCAGGGTGTTCTTCAGGTAGGCCAGCATCAGTGAAATGACACCACATACTCCGATCATAATCAGATAGGTGGGGATGTGAGGCTGGACTGGACACTCATGGAAATGAATGGTTCCTACAATTGATTGAATAATTCAAGGAATATTGTGTACTTTCATAATGTGGGTAATACAGGACTAAAGAAAACACAGTGATGCAGTCAAGGTTTTCTGGGCTCTTGTCAGGAACATGACTAATATTAATCATATTAGATTAAGTGATTATGTAGCTGTGGTGCATTTTTTTGCTGATTGTTGATTATCAATTTGACAGTCTTGGAATAAAAGAAAGCCAGTCAACCCCCTAAATGTCCAGGGCCTACCTACACACTTCATTAACCCAAGCATAACTCAGCCAGTTTGCATTGAAGTCCCTGTAGTTATAAGCCTTAGTATGTAGTAAGCCTAGGATTTTAGGGGTTAAGGGTCCTGTCACCGCACGTTGCTACACTGCATGCTGTTGAACCCAAGTCTGCCTTTTTGTATTTTACATTGTGTATATATATATATATATATATATATATAATATATATATATATATATATATATATATATGTATATATTCTTCCAATAAGCAAAATAATAAATGAAAATCAATAAACCTGTTAAGGTAAATGTAAAACCACTCACAAACAGAACTTAATATGCACTTTACCTAATCCTGCAGCTGCTATCAGAACCATCCATGCAATTAGATTCAGTGTCACTAAAAGGCAAAACAAGCAGTCAAAAATATGTTGTTGTGAAGACCACAAATAACGACATGAATGTTTTTATTATGCCAAAATATTCAACACAGATTTTAGTAATATAAATCCTAGCATATCTCTTACCAATAAATGATTTATAGGCACCAGCTCTTTCTGCAGCCACCATCTCCAGTGTGTTCACCAGGAATAAATATTAATATTAGCTATACTAATTTGTACTGGGATTTCCGTTCGTCTCAATAAAATGAAATACTGAAAGAAGATCATTTGACAAACAGTTTTAGTTTTACTGTGCTGTGTGAGTCCTGGCTCACTTTAACTGCACTGTGGTGATGAGGATTGCCTAAGAGCTTTGAGACATCTTCCTCCCTGAGGTAAGGCATTGAGAAACCTTTTAAGCCAGGCCTACAAGAGTATTTTTAACTGATGTCCAGAGTATGATTACAATATTATATGTGCCTTTGGCTGTCAAGCATTAGGTGACTTTGTGTAGTTTTAGTTGTACTTAAACAGATTACATTATTAATACATTCATATTACATTTTACATCACAGATATTCTCACTGATTTTCATCTGACACCACACTCACCATGCTCATCCTCACCACTTAAAAGCCACAGAGATCCCAAGTATAAAGGTTCTAAATTTTTCTTGGTAGGATGTACAGAGGGATGATATTTAATAAGTGCAGAAAATATATATTATGTGGAGGTTTTTTCACATTTAAAGGTTCTTCATACTCACACATCTTATTTACAAAATATTTGTTTAAAGAATAATCCATTGTAAGGTTCATTTGGGAACCAAAATGGTTATTCTACAGCATCGCTTAAACAAACCCATTTGGTACTTTTAAAACCCCTTAACATTTACTCACCCACTCGCAGACTTCTATTAACATGAAGGGGAATTCAGTTTGAAAGGGGAATTCAATTTTCTGCATATTTAAGTGGTTAAGATGTGAACAGAGTCAGAGTAACTCAAATTGGTGGTGATATGAACCAGACTTCCAAATTATCCAAAGCCTCTAAAAGCTGCATCATATATAAAGTTATACATTAATGGTTACAAATACATAGTCTGATTCTTGAGATGTTGTTTCCAACAGTTTAGCGGTAAGCCTTTTTAAAAATCTATTCATGGTACAGAGATACATACAGGGCACTGTAAGGCAAAATAGTTCCTAAAAAATTACATTAATAACATAGGATTCTCTTTTATTATATATATTATATATATTTTATTATAATTATATTATATTTTTTATAATATATATATTTTATATTTATTGCGTTTTATCTTTAATCATATAGAATTTATAGACATAAAAAGAATTCTTGCATACAAAATGGAATATTGTCCCCAAGTGAAGTATTGCTTTGAGCTCCTGTGACTTTAGAAACAGCCCTGATCATTTTCCGTTGATTTACATGAAGTTACTGAATTATAAGCTTTAGGCATTGGACATCCGTGAATGTTAAGTAGTTTTAAGTGACTTTCAAGAGTGTTTGAGATTCAATGCGTGGCAGAATAAAAGTAACAGTGTAGGTTCAGTTGACTGTTTTTTCCTTTCTGAATCACTGTACTAATGTTCCACATGTGCTCTGTGGTTATGAAGCAACAGTGAAACAGAAGCATTATGGGTCTAGAGGCAGGATGTGATGTAGATGGATATGAGGCAAGAAACAACAGCTATCAGATGACAACAGGAACCATATTTTTTAATCCATACGTTTGTTACACTTTCGCTGTTGACTCACATTTCGACTCATTTGAACTGAACTCACAGAGGCCTTTCAGTTAGGAAAATGTAGCTGCTCATGCAGAAACAGGAGGTTACTGTATTCTGATGTTGTATAAGTCACAAAGGACATAATGCAACCAGTAACATGGCCGTAATGTCCAACATATAAGTGGAACATGAACATATTACAAATGTTATATTAGAGCTAAGTGTTCTCTCTAGCTATCTCAAGAATCAGAGTTATGTATTATAAATTCACAGATTTGATTCAAATTTGTGGAGTGCTCCTTAGATTTGTTGTAAACCTTGTTAGAAGTGAGCAAGAAATTATATGATTAAATGGCTTTGTTTGTATGCTTGATTTTGACTTCATGACAACTATTTGTACGCTTAAACTTAACTGACATCCAAGATATTGTCTAAATCTAAATGAAGCCAAAGTCATACTACACAATGTTAAACCATTATTATAAATAAACACTCCATTAATAAACCATTAATATTAATAAAGACTCCACCAACAAAATTAGTGGAGACGTTTTATTGAATGAATCCAGACATTTCCTAAAATTGTACTCAGTTAACATTTTATAAGAGTAAAAACAGCAACATGAAGTATAAAAGTAACATTTATGAGAATGGATTTATGATTACAACTGGACATTATTGGACAATTTTACTTTTGAATAATTCTAAAATAACAATGAAACATCTACATTTAGGTTTTGAAACTACAAAAGGGCACATCAGGGTTATTTTACTTCAGTCAGGAAGATATTGCTCTTAAATCTTAATCTGCAGTTGTGCGTAATCATTTTCATTTTCAGTTTCATCTCACATCATTCTCAGGATACTGTGTTTATACAGCATTTCTTTGGAACTCTGTTTTCACACCATGTTTTGTAGCACTGGCACAGCAGCAGTAGTGGTATCATAACATATATGGCGTTTGTAATCCAGAAGGCAACCTCATAGAGTATCCTCTCACAATACTCTGCAGACCAACGGGACTCGTAGTTTGGTCGATATGCTGTGTATACAAAAACACTACCTGCAACAGAATATGAAATGTAATCACCAATCCTGATGTGAAATTCTTCCTTAAATGTAATGAGCACTTTCACTTCGTCATTTCAATTCGTCATTTTTATTCCTTTTTTTTCCTGAAAAGGGCGGATGGGAACAATTATGAACACCCTAAAGCAGGCCATACCATTTTTTAACTGTTAACACCATTGAGCTTAAATGATCTGTTCTTTGTGTCCCTGGTCATTTTAAGTATGATTTATAATATCATATCTTTATTATATCATTTAAAAGATAAAATTACTAGGTGTGTCTCAAAGAGCGCCTAGTTAAGTATGGTACTGCCAAGGGAATAAGAAATTTTTAAGGTGTCTCATTGTAAAAGTAATTTTGTTTCTCTACATTTCTTGGCTTTCTTTAACTCTCACCTGTGATGAACCAGATAGGACAAAAAACGAGGAGCAGAAAATTGAGAATTCTGCATATTAGAATGACCTTGCCATCTGATTGTCTACAATAAAAGATAGGGAATGTCTGTAGACACAGACAGGCCACTCCTCCCACCAGCAGGTAAATAGGAACCATTGGCTGCTTTGGGCAGTCATAAAGGTGTTTTGCCCCTTTAAGAGAACACAGAAGAGTACAGTTAGAATTATATGGCTTTAGAAATATTATTACAGTGTTCTGAGTTAATCAATATTACAGTAAAAAAAATACAGTTCCCCTTTATGCATAAGAGGCCAGATTATATTCACTCACCTAAGACAATGATGACCACAGGCAAAAGACTTAAAAGGATGCTCATTCTTACTGGAAGTAAAGAAGGTGGGGGGGGCATTTTAGTTAGAGACTGCTTAAACATTAAACATATTAAACATCATAGGTTATATTATATTTTATGAAGACCCGTATCTACAGCATACGGTGCAAAAGTCAGAGACCATCCTTCATTTATTTAATTTCCAGTCAAAATATCTATTAAGTTTAAGTTATTAATTTTTCAGCATTGGGCAAAGAGCAGAAGACATATATTTAACAGAAAATTACACAAAAGCCTCAACAAGTAAATATAATATCGAATTTCAGTGTTTAGTGTGTCCATCCTTTGTCTTTATTACAGCTTCCATTCCTTTTGAGAGACTTGCTTTCAGTTTTTTAAAGAAATCTGCAAGAATGTTTTTCTATACTTTCAAAGTTTCGTTGTAGAAGTTGCACTTTCTGCTTCTCATGACCCAAGTAATCCCAAACATGTTCAGTGATGGTGAGGTCTGGACTCTGGGGTGACCAGTCCATTGTTCTGAGAACAACAGCAGCTTCTTTTTTTGATTTGCAGATTTTCATCTTTTTATCTGTTTCTTTTTCTCAGTAACAGCTTCTTGACAGCTGCACATCCCTTCAGACACATAGTGTTGAGTTGTCTTCTCACATTGGTCCTACACTGTCCTGTTCTCTTTTTCTGATGTATCATATGTGTTATTCTTGCTATTTCACAGTGTGTTCTGTGGAATATTCTTGAGATTCTTTTCTTCTAGGGCCACCATTCACCCCCCTGAGTATTACTCCTCCCATTTATAGCCTAAAGTTTTGGGTATAATTCTGTCCTGGCGCATTGTTGTGCACTGTTAGAAGTTGAAGCATGGCTTTTGTTGACTCTCCCTATATTTACCTCTCTATTTATCTTTCCTTCTATTCTGCTCTCAAAGTCACATGGCCACATTCTTTTGTGTAAAATATTCTCCATTAAACCAGATTATAAGAGCAGTGAATTAGTGTGCATTGAGTGCACTAAAGGTTGTTGTATTTTAACATGTGTTTAAAACATTTGCCCTAAAAGATCACCTGTCACCAAGGCATAAACATTACATAACTCTGTAATGTAATGAGGGGATCTGTATACACTGTGTGTGTGGGAACTCTCTCTCTCACACACATATATATACGCATAAAACTTTACTCATAAAAAAAACACGAACTTTCAGTCCTTCATTTAAAACTTTGAGAATCACAGTCCTAACATTGACCCTACATAATAAGTTTATCTTACTTCAGTCTACAGTACCTTTTGTTCCACATTGTGAAATTATATTGACCTTATAGTTCTCTGCTGTAGATCTGACAATGTGGAACAAAAACTACTGCATGCACGTTCTGTTTCAGTTTCAGAGTCATGAGTCACACACGGGTGACACATTCCCGTACAGTATTTGCTCAGAAAAGAATGAAACCTGTGCTACTGCACCCATTCTTCTAACTTCCATGCCCTTGAAGATGTAATTGAGAGTAATCTGATCATGTACTACCAAACCGTTTCAGTAAATACATACATGACAGAGAAGAGTAAGTAAACACAGGTGACAGATGTGCAAAAACTATAGGGTACCTACCACTCAATAAGAACCTTGTTCTTCATCTTCAATACAGTAATTCAGTCCATATGAATTTTTATGCTTACCAATTAAGATTGGTAATATTGGTATGTTTACTGTGGTTTAACCTACATCAGATCCACAACATTATCTATGGTTATGTGAACACTGTGTATGGGACAAGAAAACAGTTGCTATAATTACTATGTACAGGGTTACACTTTAATTTACAGTCTGTTTTCATAAAATTACAGACAATTTACCAGTAAATGCATCAATTAACAAAGAACAAATTAGTGTACCAGAAAAAAGGTACTTCCTGAGTATCCCTGAATTTTTTGCACTTTTGTCACTTGTACTTATCTACTGCTCTGTATCATGTATACATGAGTTTCTTGAAATAAGTTTGGTAGTAATTACCACTTATTTGTAGCTTCGAAAACATTAAATGCTAAAACATGTTATGTACTTTATTGATCCTACAAGGGAAATTTGACATTTTGCTGCCTAACTTTGCTCAGTCTGGGAGCAGCACAGTGTTGCCAGCAGAGCAGTACCACCTGGGGCAGCGGGGTTGTGGTGGTGGGAGTTAAGTCTTTGGCCAAGGGCATAACCAGGTGTTCCCAGTCATGAGATTTGAACTTGTAACCTTCTGGTTGCTGGCTCACCTCTTCTACCACTACCACTAGATTAGTTCATCTTTACTTTGTGCAATTTCAAATTATGCACAAGTATTACTTATAAGTCCTGCCTTCTGCCCAGTGACAGCTGGGATAGGTTCCAGAACCCCCCTGCAACCCAGAATGATAAGCGGCTTGGATAATGTGTGTATGTGTGTGTGTTACTTGTAAGTGTTACATATGTACTATTAAACTCTAGTACTGCTGTCTGCTGTACATATTTTGACGTTTTTCTGTAGGTTACTATGTATACACAAAGTCTGTACCAGAAGTAGCACATATTTACCTGTTAAATGCTGGAGCCTTACCACATTGTAAAATAAAGGGGCATTGTTTTTGGTGTTTTTTGTTTTATCTTTTTGCTGTTGTTGTACCTATATTCACAAACTGCAAGTCTTTTCTTTGCTTACAAATATATTTTAAACTTTCATTTTACACCTAAACTCAAAACTGTCTTAGGCTTTCAGTCCAGGGCACAGCTCTGCATTTCAACAAGATGTAAATTACACAGTTTAAAAAAGACAATGCCGGCAGATACCTGAGCAGGTGGAGCCTCCAGCAATTAAGACGTCAGAGGCAAATCCCATCTTAATCTGTCTTTAGTCCTCTCTTTCTGAATAGCGCAGAAAAACAGCCAACAGCACGAGGAAAGATTAGCTCTAACAATAATCAGTTCATTGTTAACTATAAAGAACAGAACGCACCAAGATAGAAGACAGAAATTCACATTTGCTCACCTGTGAAGGTAGTGAATCTGTGGCAGATGCTCAATGCTGTCTTTCCAGATGGAGAATGATGTATGCTTAAATCTCATTTCCTAACAGTTTCAACTCCACCCACCATGGATGAATCAATAGTCATGATCTTTAAAGCTAACATTTGTATTCAGAAAGCCAGTCAAACTGGCTGAGGATGCCAAAGAGAAACATCTATTAATGGCACACCTGAGCTAGTAGATTATGCCCTGTGGTGAAAGCAAAAGACAACTTGGCGATCCACCTGTCGTGCGGTTTCAAAAGGGTTCTCAAACAACACTTGCTTTTAGTAAAGCTTCATTATTTTTTAAAGATACTGACTTTACATAATGACTAGGATAAGCAAGCACATAGTTCTATGTACACACAGAATCTGTCACATTTTGTCAAAGCTGCACATTCTGTAAAACATATTTCTGAATGAAAACATACAATGTTGGAGAGGTTTCGCTGTAGTCTTTGAAGTTTTTCCAGTGTTAAGAAGCACTGCTTCTTCTATATAAAGTGCATCTTTAGGAGTTGGCAATCAATGTTTTGTTTATTGTTGTTAACACAGAAATGAATATGGTTAGGGCTCATGTTTCCTCATGCTGTTGGCTAATGACAACGCAATACTAAATGAATTTGACAGCAGAGGGCTTAGTGAAGTGGATTCAGACGGGAGAGATGAGAACCAAAACTAGATTCAGTAATACATAATCTGCAGTGGTTAATGTTGTGTGCGTTGACACTACAAACCAGAAACTCATGTTCCAGCACAGTAGGAAGGATAAATACTTTATACTTGACCTGTATAGATTAACCTGCCTAAAAGGGAGTGTATGTGTAGGAGTGAGAGGTGTGCTGCTTGGACTGTTGAGCCAATATATAACTATTCTTCACAAGCAGAGAGCTGGTTTATAACTTCTGCTCTTACTACACAGTACCAACAGGAAACCTCTATAAAATAAAAACAGTAGGATCTACTGGAAATATTTCCAACAAACATTACCTTACACCAACTGTGCGACAAAACATACTGATAACTCATTATTTCTACATTATTTCACCTCTGACAAAACCATACATTGCAAAATCGGGGAAACTGATCAAAAGATCATATTAACATAACTTTCAAAACCACTGTTGATGCAAGTGCCTCCTCCTCAGGGTTAAGCCTCTTACCTGATGTCTAACCCTCAGTGTACATCACATCAAGATAAAATATTAAGTTGGCTTTTTTTTAGTTGTTTGATTTTTAGTTGATTGACCATCACACTACCACCGCCATGTTTGACTGTTGGTATTGCATTCTTATGGCAGAATGCGGTGTTTGTTTTACACCACGTTGTAACGGGATCCATGTCTTCCAAAAAGTTCTACCTTTGATTCACCAATCCACGGAATATTATCCCAAAATCTTGGGGCTCATCTAGATGTTTTTGGCAAATGTAAAACAAGCCTTTGCATTTCTGGTCATCAGCACCTTGCAACTCTCTCATGGATGCCATTTTTGCCCAGTGTCTTTCTTATAGTGGAATAGTGTACACTGACCTTAACTGAGGCAAGTGAGACCTGCAGTTCTTTAGATGTTCGTCATTGAAATTTTGCGTGGCCGGCCACTCTTGTTCCAAGTTTTCTTCATTTGAGGATAATGGCTCTTGCTGTGACAATAGATGAAATTGGGAAGTGGGCTAATACTTTTTCACAGCGCTGTAATATATATAGTAAACACCCCTGGACACAATCAAGTACACAGTGGTGTTGTGCCTTAGGGAACACTCTTTCAGATACATCACACCTAGGATAAAAAGTTGAGGAACACAGAATTGAGGTTGTTTAAAATGTATCACAATGACCCTCTTTGTAGTTTCAGTGCATTTTGGTTACTTTACTATGGTGGCTGATAAGACTTAACCTTTAACTAAAAAGATAGCCAATATCACTGTATTGAAAATGAGCAGGAATTGCTGTAGAAGGCAACTATAAAAATTCAAATAGCAATACCAGATATGACAGATAACTACTGTAGTACAGCTATGATATGTCAAAAAGCTAATGAGCCAGTCAAGTTAACCATGAACTTACTGGAATGTGAGTCTCTGTGATCGTATCAACTTCTGTCAGTAATTTTCAATCACAGATATTCAGTCTCCTTTGAGAGTCCTCCCAAGACATTTTTTACAGCTCATTTCTGTTGTTTTGTGACTGGCTTTGCCAGCATTTCTGAAAATGTGTTTTCTGTATTTGCAGCATGTTTGTGAAGTATAGATCAGGTGTTATCATTTTGATTAAAGGGTTTTCTGAATTTGCATTGCATTTATGAGTGCAACATATTTTTCATTATACTGTGCATAGTGTCTTGCTGGCCATCATACTTAAGTCATTGGGAGTGATGCAAATAATCATGTATATTTTTTTTTATCATTTGTAACCCAGAGCACTTAAACAGGTAACAGACAATAATGGAGAAGAATTACATTTGAATGAATTTGCCATTTATTCATCCAGGAAGAAAAGTCAGGTTCAGAATGTTAGTCAGTGAGTTAACAGGTCTGTACCGCTGCACATGTACATATCTTCCCAAGTCTTTTATGTATAGTGATTGTTCTGCTTCCCAACTGAGCATTTTTCATACTCTGTTTTTACTTTTCTTTCTACACTAGAGGGAGCACTAATTTCACAAAATGCCCCACAGCTTGAATACCTAATGGCAACTGAAACCTGTCTTTTGAAACAGTGCTACAGAAGCGTAGATGAGGCATACAAAAACAGGCTTTTTCCTCTCACAGATTTATCATGGCTTCATTCCACTCCAACTCATCTAGAAATAGATTTTCAAAAGAAAAAGTTATTTCATCAATGCAACTCCTCAAAATGTGAAAACTGTGCTACTTATTATTACATTTTTTTAACTTACATCTGACAGAATCAATCATGACAAACATGAGCTCAGACAAGTCTACAAGTGACACACTGTATTATGTGATGCACATAGTATATATTGTGGTACAAAGAAGAAAAAGTTGTTGTTATTGCTGTTGCGTTTTATTTTATTTTTTATTTTTGGCCATTAAATACTATGAAAACCACTCTAGTCATCCGAATGTTTAGGGGGACAGGTCTACCTATGAGTGCACAGATGACTATTGAGACCAATTTGGACACACTTGGTGCACTGACAGTCGGGACAAGGTATGTAGGGGACATCATATGGAGGATTTTGGGCTGGTGCTTTCATAGTTTGCCTTCTTTGCTGTGCTGCAGCCTCACTCAGCTAGACACCGTTGCTTACTGAGAAGCTCCACATGGCTTATTCCTAGCCAGGCTTGCTTGGGCAAGCAGTGTATGGAATCCTGTCCTGCCACTTTGTATTAACAAATTTTCATGAGGCACTTTGTATGAAAGTGGTTAAACTTCTTAGCATAATGTAGGAACACTGTCTATTTTACAAGCACAGAGCAGCATGGGGAAAAGTTATCTTGCCCTGTGTCATGCTGGCTCTTGCAATTCTGACATTCGCTTCGTCCTTGGTGGTGACATTCTGAGACAGTGTGCTGTGTTTGATGGCTTTGTATAATTGAGCCCTGTGACTGTGTATACATTTCTCATTAGCAATCATTATCATAGCAGTGGCCACATATATAAGAAAAGGAAAATGATCAGCTTTTGCCACGGAAGAGACAATGACAGCAGTTCCACTGGTTGTTTTCATCAAATTGCTCCAGTGTGGCTCAGTGTCTTCTGTCTAACCCAGATTGGACAAAGCAATATTTGAGATGTCAGTGACAAACTGAAGATGTTTCTGCCAACAAAATGTCATGTTTGTTCAGCATCTTGGTACCTTTCCTCCAAGCATCTTTACACATTTTTCTCTGCCTTCTAGTATAAGACTGCCCTGCAACCAGAATGGATTCAAAAGCTTGATCCTAGGGCAAAGGATTCCCCTCAAACGCTGAAAGGTAGCCATCCCTTACAAAGGCCTTATAAGTTTTATAGGAACACCTCTGAAGTCATCATTCTAAAGTTGGCATCTTGCCCATATTAGGAATTCCAGCTCTAAGCAGATTTTGTCTATGCAAAAACTGATTGATGTTTTCAAAAATCACCTCCATCATGACCTCTGGTACCCAAATTGCAGACTACGACTGCTGAAGCCTCTTAACTACCACGTTTGACACATATTGGTTTGTGTGAGGTATTTTGGTGCAACCAGGTTAAGGCAAGCAGGTTACTTTCTTCGAAAGTTAAAACATTGACTAATTTTTTACAGTGCAGAGGAATCAGCGACGTTCAAAGGAAGATTGTACTTACAACTTTTGAACATTTTTGTATACCACAGCATGTGACCGTTCTTAAGATTTTACGCAGTTTTGTGGCGATTCCGACATTCACCATTTTTTTTTATTTGGGATTTGTTTTTAGGTAAGAACAGAATCTACACACCCTCATCAGCACAAAGGTGCAAACAATTCTGCAGTTTGAGAACACGTCAAGAATCTGAAGTAGACTTTTTCTTAGGACCTTTCTCAAGAACAAATTTAAGAAAAAACTTATAAAAAGATATTGGTGAATGAGGCCCATATTCTTTTTTCTTTGTTGATTTTTACCCAATTCCACCCGCTAGTTACGACTCCCCCAGTCACACCATACTACCAACGCTAGGAGGGCGAAGGCTGGCACAGGCCTCTGAGACCTGTGAAGCCGCCGCTGCATCTTTTCAAACTGCCGCTCATGCAACGTTATTGGACAGCCAAACATGCTCGGAGGAAAGTGCCAACCGCCAAATCTGTTACGTCAGCTAAGAGACACCTAACAGCTAACAGAGAAGGGGGAGCATCCTACACACCAGAGAGCGAGGCCAATTGTGCTCTCTTGGACTCCCAGCCACGGATGGCTGTAGCATCACCAAGGATTGAACTCGTGAACTCCTGATAATAGGGCCAACACTTAGACAGTTACACCACTCGGGAGCCCAAGGCCCATATTCTTAATATGGACATGATAACAACTTTAGAACTCTGGAACTCTGTTAGAATTCATCCATCCATCCATCATCTAAACCGCTTATCCTTCTGGGTCGCGGTGGGGTGCTGGAGCCTATCCCAGCTGTCATCGGGCGAAAGGCAGGATACACCCTGGACAGGTCGCCAGTCCATCGCAGGGCTCTGTTAGAATTCTGTTGCTTAAAAAAAATCACACATGCCAGTGGCAGTTTTCACGGTTTACTGACATTTTCACCTCTATTGAATAGTCTAATGCAGGGCTTCATAACTCCAGTGTCCAGCACAGTGTGAAGGTATCCCCACTACACACACACTAAAACACCTAACCGTGCTGGACACTGGCCCTCAAGGACTGGAATTGTGCACCCTGGTCTAATGACTACTCCAATTGCTACTGAGCTTGATCTATTTCATTCATACAGACTGTAAAAGAGTCAAACCAGCAAAGTTGATTCTTTGCAACTTTTACATTTTGTTATTTCATATTTTGCTGTATAAAACATTTAGCACAAAATGAACTGTACAGGATTCTCCCCCAGCCGCCAGTTCTAAAGAACATGCTTAGCTGTCATTTTCTGTGCCATATATTTCACTTATACGCACTCAGCTGTTGTTTCAGAAAGGGTCATGTTCTCTAAGGCTTTGGACACATTGCACTACCTTAGCAAGTCTAAAAGCCCCCCTCATCTCGAAAATCAGCCTTTTTATACATGATTTTTCAGAAGGGTTACTCATGTAACTCATGAATTTTGCTTGTTGGTAAGCAGTACAATTTTACTCCTGTTGCTATGCAGTACTTTCTACAACAATCTACTGGTCAAGTTTTAACATCAGAATGCAATGTCTATCTCCTGGCCATGACTGTAGAACCTCTTGATTGTGTGAAGGAAAGACACAGGAGACAGACATAACAAACACTGACAAAACAAATAAACTTTAAGGCTCTTTTCAATGCTAAATCAAACAAACTCTCTGTAGGCTCAGCATGGAGCTTTTCTGCTCTTGTCTTACTTATTATTATACTTTAATTACTATTATTTTGGTTCTTCATTTAGGGCTTCCATAAACACATTTGTAATGCTGACTCTAAATAAGTTTATATAAACTATATAAGTTTGTATACTTCAGTCTACGGTAGTATTGTTCTGTATTGTCTATGTTGATTGACCTTTTGTTCCCTGCTACATTGTTGGAAATAAAAGTACTGTGCAGGTACATTTTTCATTCATCAAGGTACAAACAGTGTAAATGTACCCTCAAAGTTACAACAGTGGTTTTAAAATCCAATTGTGTGCCTTCAATAAGTTTTTCACAGCGGAAAAGTACATATTTGTACCTGTTCAAAATCTAATGTTTTAAAACAGAACAATAAAATAAAAAGCCTGGAGACAAGACAGGGTGTGTGGAGTCAATACAACTTAGAAAACATAATTTCAACGGATTATGGTACAATTATGTTTCCTGACTAAAGGTACTGAGATGTACCCTTTAGGGGTACCACCCCAATGACAAGAGGGGTACTGACCTGAAAATCATGTATAAAAAGTACCTTTATTTCTAACAGTGTAGATCAGTTTTCTGGACCACAGCTAGGTTCAAAAATAGCTTTTAGTCTTGACAAAATAAATTCTCAAATATTCTTGGGTCCAGAAAAAAAACTCAAATAAGAAAATGCCCTAAGACATCCCAGGTAGGGACCCAAGATCTCTCCTTCAGACTGTAATGCTTTATTGATGGGCGGTGGAGATTGAGGTCTCTTTTGGTCAACTATACCCTCTGCTGAGGCCTATATTCAGATGTCTCCCTGAAGTGATGGTTGACCTGAACCTTTTCTCTCTGGACAGCTCAATCCAAGCTGAGGTCTAAACCTCCTTACTCTGTCTGAACAAGTCGTTGACTGCTGGAACCTCCTCCCCACCAGGTTCAGCCTCTCCATCTGGCAGTTGTACTCAGGGTGATGTCCAGATGTGCGGCTCATATTGATTCAGTGTCTCGAGGCAATAGCACTAGCAATATCCTTTGCTTATGTGATACTGTACATTGGAAGCATATTAAAAAAATACATCTTGATTAGGAGCAAGGCTTTAGGCCCTCACGAGCTGGGACCAAAAGGTGGTATCAAAACTTATCAGGGATAAACTTAACACGCTGGATATTGGAGATGCGGTGGATAAACCCCTGTCTTAAGGCCTCACTGATGTATTATTCCACAGCTAAATTTTTATACTCTCATACTAGGGTAACAAACCAGGTTTAAATGATTTAATTCCAGTGTTTAAACATTTTCAGTGATTGATTATAGCATCACAACAGCTTACATACTTGCAGACCAGAAGAACATAAAACCAAAAGCAAGAAAGTGAAATAATACAATTAAACAAATATTACAATAACTTAATTAATAATTTCAATTAATGTATGCAGTGTCCAGAGTTAGACCTTTATCTATTCATACACTGCAAAAGAGGTATCTGGTCAGGTGAAATTATCATACATTTAGTTGATATATCTAATAATTCTTATTTTGAGATTGTTGTGAGATTACAAAGTCACATTATCTCACTGTTTTGACAGATAATTATGCTTGTTATAAGAAATATGCTTGAAAGCCAAATCATCTGCCAATATAGTAAGATAATTTGACTTCATAAAATCGCTTAAAACAAAAACTAAAGTCTAGAAATAAGTTAAATAATCTTATAATAAGCTTACAACAATCTCAAAATTAGAAATATTAGATATTTATACAAAATTTCAGATCATTTCACTTGAAAAGATCAAAAGATCAAATGGCAACACATACCATATGCAAAGACTCTTCTAATAGCTACAGGAGCTAACATTACTGTAACATGCACAGGTCCAGTTTCTAGTTTCTAGGCATGTTCTCTCTGTGTGTTTTCCTGCTTAGAACAGCACATACAGAGTAGCACACAAAAAACTCCCACCATCAGTCCTGCTAACAGAATATACACCAGTGTGGTGGTCCAGAAGGCAGACAGATAGAGGGTCCTGTTGCAGTAGGGATGTCCAGTTCTAGTCTTGTTGTAGTTGGCAGGATAGATGGAATAGATCCACACACTGCCTGTAAAAGATGAAGAATTTTCAAATGAGGATTTGTTTACATTATTTTAGCACTTATCTGACATCAAAGGGATGAAAATCCTTACCTGCAATTAACCAGCAGAAGAGGAAAAGGGTGACCAATGAGTTCCACACTGAACACAAATAGGTGAGAACATAAAGCCCTCCATTTTCATTTGGCTTAGGACAGGACAGGCAGGACAGCATGCCCAGCAGCAGACCAAACACCCCAGACACAATCATATAGAGTGGGATGTAGGTCTGCTGGGGACAGTCGTGCAGATATACCACACCTGCAGGAAGTGAGAGGGTTGAAGGCTGAGGTATGAGTAGTATGTCAAATTAAAATTAAATATCTTTGTAATGTATTTCACTTGAAGTCTAGATTAGTAATGACTTACTCATCTGTTGGTCATAACTTACTTATTGCAATCTGGATAATGGGTAAAGCCACAAGGAATAACTTGGAGAACACTGAAAGATTTAGATATACAGAGTGAGTCCCTCTCTTTCTTGTGATAGTTTATAGTAATAGGCTTTCTATCCACATGGTAGCTCAAAAGGGTAGTTCAACTATATCAAACCAATGTTTGTCAGATATTATAAAATATTGTGGATATTAATAAATAGTGCAACACATTACAAATGACAAGATTACAATGTCATTTCCAAAGATCACCAACAATTTGTCACTGCTATATCCAGTACTGTGTAAAAGTCAGAGACTACCTTTTCATTATTTAATTTCCAGCCAGTATGAACACCAAGTTATTCATTTTTCAGCATCAGGAAAAAAGAAAAAACATATACTTAACAGAAAATGACACAGAAGAATCAACAACTAAATATAACATATAGTGTTTAGTATTTAGTGTGTCTCTTTACGTTTATTACAGCTTCCATTCTTTTTGGGAGACTTGCCTTATTTTTTCAAAGAAATCTGCAGCTATATTTTTTCTCACCAATTTCATGTTTTAGAAGTTGGTTACATTTTTTGCTTGACACAATCCACATAATCCGAACACATTCAATGGTGCTGAAGCCTGGACGTTTTTGATCTATTCCCTTTTCTTAGTAACAGCTTCTTGACAGCTACACATCCTTTCAAACTCAGTGTTGAGTTGTCTTCTCACAGTGGAAGCATAGACAGAAACACCTGTGGATTTCTGTTTTGGTGGTCTACTATGTCTTGTATAGTAATTAAAAGTCTCATTTTCTCACTATAACTCCAGTTTTGGAAACTCTTTTTTCCACTTATTTTCCTTTGACTTTCTTTGTCCTCATACAAATGGATTATGTTATATATATTTAGAAATAACTCCTGAAAAAGTACTGAAAATTAAATAAATGATGTATGATCTCTAACTTTTCAATAGTGCTGTACATGAGAGCCCAGATACAATGCTGAATGGCCCTAGCACCATTCTAGTAAGTGCTAAAATGTATCTCTTCTAGCACTCCCGATTTTTGTAAATGAGAAATGATGAAGAACTTTATGGGCTGAATTATTTGTCTTACAGCATGGAAAACCCTACTATTGGAGTGCCGTGACCATCTAAGACAGGACTTTGATATGAATCACAGGGTTAGGTAATACTTACCAATGCCGGGAACATTCTGAGTGTGTGCATTGTACATCTGTGCTAACAGCTGTTGTCTCTCCATGCTTCTTTCCACCTTTCACCTTCTAAAGGATAGAAAATATACAGACATAGCACTTGAGATGTTGTTATACCATCACAAGCTTGAAACATTGTTAGAAAGTGAATGTTACAAAAAATCAGTGACAACATTGAAATGTTAAGTGGCCCACAACATTTTTATAGTGCGTTTAGTTTGCAGACTTACCCTGCAGAAGTAACAGGTCCTGAAGCTGAGAAGGGAAGAACTGAAGATGAGTGGACAAGAATTATGTACTGAGTGTTGATAGTCAAATCTCCATGTGCTGCGTTTGCATAGCGGCAGTTGTAGTATCTTTGGCCTTTAACTTGTAGATATAATACATTTTGACATATTCAAACCCCATAACGTGGCAGTATGTTTCTGTTCATTAGCGTGTACTATGCAAATACTATCCTGGTCTGTTCTAGCACTTTTCAAAGAGCAGCCCAAGAAGATCACTATGTAGACTTTTGTCTACATTGTGGTTTTGAGGCCGCAGTTATGTGCTTTGTAGCAACTGCAGTCTTAAACAGTGACCACTATTCCTCCCAGTGCTGTTAGCTTGTGTTTGGCAAACATCACCATGATTTTTGAGACAGTTCTCCTTGAGATGTTAACTAGTTTTGCAGTTTTGTCAGTGAAAGATGAAAGACAAAAAACGATCTTTTTATAGGACTGCAGCATCCAAGCTTAGTGCAGTGTTTAAAATGAGAAGATCAGTAACATCATCAATCATTAAGAAGTCATTGTTTATTTCTGAGTCTTAAGTCACAACCATCTGTAGGAAGGACATTTAAATTCACCAAGTAGAAGAGGGATAAATATGCTACACCATACATGTAGTACAAGACAGGATGACTCAATTCATCAGGATGGGCTGCAGAAATGAAAAACTACTATTTATTGTTACCACAATAGGTCACACTTTATTTTGAGTGGTCCTTTTTAAATGAAATACTTTACTGTCTCTCAGTAAGAAATCAACAACATATCTACTTAATATAATTAATGCATCTAATGCAATACAGTACATCCTATCATATTTATCTCAGTGTATTCAGATGCTTCACTACTGTTACTTCACTGATATGTTGTTGATGTTACTGATGTTCTGTAAAGAGTTTATTAATCATCTACAAAGGACCACTCAAAATACTGTTTTTCAACATTAAGTTTCCTATCATTTTTACATGTTGGGTGATCACTGATGATATATTTTCATACATTTACAAGAAGAAAAGAGAATTTGACTGAGAATGAAAACATCAGGCATGGTTAGCTGCTCTGCAGAAACACGTGCAAATGAGTACACAGCAAGCAGCCACCAACAGTCCTGCTAACAAAATATATGTCAGCGTGGTGGTCCAGAAAGCAAACAAGTAGAGACTCTTGTTGCAGTAGGGCTCTCCCACCACAGTGGAATTGTAGTTGGGGGGGTAGATGGAGTAGATCCACACACTGCCTGTAAGACATGGACAAAACCATTTGAGAAAATGCATTTAAAATGACTTCAAAGGTGTAATAAGTATTTACCAGTTCATGGCTATTTTTTCATAACAGTATTATGGTATTAAGCAAGTTTCTCATTTGTAGCAAAATGATATGACTTCATCAATATGAGTCAGTCAGTGGCTCTAGATTTGGCAACGAACTGTTTTATATTTGTATTTAACACAAGAAAATCGAGGTTTAATAGGTCGGTGACACTTTATTTTGAGTGGTCCTTTTAGATGAAACAAACACTCAACAGACTCTCAGTAACATGTCAAAAACATATAAGGGTTAGGATTAGGTTTTGGGTTAAGGTTAAGGTTAAGGTTAAGGTTAAGGTTAAGATTAGGGCCAGGATTAGAGATAGGTTTTGGGTAAGGTTGGCTAAGGTTAGGTTTTGTGTGATGGAAGTAACATATTAACAAAACATCTGCTTAATGTAAGTAATGTATCAAGAGTACATCTTCAGTGTATTCAGATGCTTCACCACTGCTACTTCACTGATATGTTGTTGATGTGTTACTGATAATCTGTTAAGAGTTTATTAATCATCTACGAAGGACCACTCCAAATAAAGTGTTACTGTGGATTATTGTTTTAATGGCATTTACTGTCATTGTGACAGTGGATATCCATACAAAACTAATGCATTATTTCCACATTTCTATGTTGATAACAACTATTATTTTTATTAGGGCCTGCACTGTAGACCATAACTGAATGTCAATTTCTTTTCTTCATCTTAATTGTATAGTAGTATGTTTGCTTTTGACTCTTTTCATCTGTGTCTGTATATCACTCTCTCTCTCTCTCACCACTGATGAACCAACAGAACATGAAGACAGACACCAAGCCGTTCCAAGCACAGCAGCACAAATCCATTCCCTGGTCTTTGTTACAGGGCAGGCAGGTGAGCAAGCCTAGGGCCGTACTAAACACCCCACACACCAGTAAGTATATAGGGATGTAGTGCTGCTTGGGACACTCCTGGAGATACACAGCACCTAAAAGAAAGTGTTTGGGAAGAATTGTGAGAAGAAGTAAAATGTATGCAACAACAACGATTGTGGTTTTTGGTGCATTTTGGTTTCTTTACTCATTAAAAGTGACATTAATCTTATATACATACCCCCATGCAAACAAATTAGAATGGTTTTTACTGATGGTTTTGGGCTGGTCAGAGTCCAGATTTAAACCCTATAAAGAATATTTTGTCTCACAATAAACACAAAGTGTCTTGGTGATGTTTTTCAACTGTTTGAAGCCATCAAAGCTGAATGAAACAATACTGACTCATCTTTCTGTAAAATGCTGTCTGCAAGTTTACACTTCACCATTTACAGAAAAAAAAGCACTTCAGTACTAGTTACTGATAACAATATGTATATATATATATATATATATATATATATATATATATATATGTTTAAAGAGTGATACATTAGTAATCTATAGCTCTTTAAGGGGTATGGTTTTGCCAACAGGGAGGGTGGTGCCATTGTTCCCTCTAACACAGTTAGAGTCAGTACCCAGTCTCATACCAGACTCTGCTTCACAATGTGGCACTGAATGCTGGGATAAACTCTTCTGTACTACCTCTACTGCTTGCTTTGCTGGTGGTCATCCACAACCTTACTGATGAAATAAATGTTCCCCACATTATAATTGTTATTGTTTACATAACCATTATTTATTTTTAAGTTCCTTCATTCTAATGATACACACAAATTCTACTTGCTCTCCCTTGTGGAGAACCTTCAGCCTGCTATACTTAAATGAGTGTGAATTACAAGGCTAATGAGATGTGTAGAATCAAAACAGCAGGACAGTACATATCATCAGCATCAAGTATATCAGTCTAGCACCACACCAGCCAAACCCCATCATGACCAGCCAATCAAAATCACAATCAGCTCAGCATTCAACAAACAACACTAAATGTAAAAGATCTCCAGATTAATATAAAATAAGTTTAGCAAAATGGTTAGCTAGTATATACAGACCTTTAGCTACACAGCTGAAAGATCATAACAACCAGAACAATCCAAATCCAAACAGCTGTAAATTTACAATGGAAATGTGAACATACTGTAGCATAGAATCATAAAATCCCCCAACATATTTAGGGATACTTACCAAAACTGGTCTTTGTCCTATTCAAACATTTATTATCTCTACTTAGCTTTTCATTTTTCAACAGTTCTTTCAATTTGATTTAAAATGATCGCTATGGTCCATTAGCCATGCTCCTAAATCTGGTGACCGAAGCTTCAATAGGCGAAAATGAGGCCAATCTTTTTAAAGCAATGTGTTGATTTTGTCTAGCAAAGGCCACTCAACTGGTCAAGGATGTTTTCTCCAGTGCCCTGAGTCAGTTTATTTTTGCATGATTGGCTAAGCAGAGTGCACTGAATCTGTTGGAGAGTTTGGAATCCTCAGGGTGCAAGTGGACCCTCTAGCCAGTTTTACAGACATATATAAAACAAAAAGGTAAGCATTTAGTAGAAAAATAGTCATCTAAAACAAATTTAAAAAAGTAGTTTTATATTTAAATATAGTTGTCTCTCCTTTTTCGCTTGTAGCAAATGGATGAAACGCCCCTATGGATAAGAGTGGAGTAGGCCTATGGTTTGGAGTTTTAGATATCAGACATGCATGTATCATTTTATCCAAACTCTGATAAATGGCCAGTTTCATATACAGTTAAGCTCAGAATGCCGTTCAGTGATGTGAGTCATCACATGCAGCTCAAGAACAGGTTTGTTTCCCAGCACACACATTTTTAAGTATGTTTTGCTCCTGCATACAAGGAATTCTTTGCATAGCAGCCCTGCTCCTCAGTTGGGCATCTATGCTATGTGATTGCTTTCCTTTCTACACAAGGGAGAGCAGTGATTTCTCAGAGTGTCCCTCAGCTTGAATCCTTCAGCCCAGCAGAGGGCTGTATTTTGAAAGTGCATTACAGGAGCAAGAATGAGGTATAAAGTAACAGACTTCACAGAGAACTTGCTCCCAAGTTTTCAAAGGGTCATGCGACACCAACATACAGAGGGCGTAGCAGGTCAAATTTTAAGGAAAACAAAAATATATCTTTCAACTAAGGGTGTGACAGATCACAGAACTCATGGTTCGGATTGTATCACAGTTTTGAGTCACAGATTGGATCATTTTTAACATAAAAAGGGAGACAAATATAACTTTGCTTTCCATTTATTACTTAGAGAACTTTTAGAACACTTAAAGTTAGGAATGTTTGCCCATGGTCTTAAATGAAAACAACATTCAAGATGATCTATATTCACATAAAATCTTAAAATAGTCAATACTACTACTACTAGTTGTAGACGTGGCATGATGATACCTTCTTCCTTTAAACCATACTGAATTAAAAAATAGCCTTCGTGCACACCATCAAAAAAAGAACACAAAGCAGACCTGAGCCTGTAGCATTAATTTTTTTTTTAAAAAGATGAGGATGTCTAGCCTACATTGTCTGAGGAGAGGGTAGACCTATTTGCAGTCACTATATTCCCTGCTATGGAGAACACCTTGTCTAACTGAAGTGCCAGGCACAGCAAATTAACATCTTGCCATCATGACAACGTGTGGCAGAACATCTTGTATTGTCGGTTGTGCTTCAGACCCCCACAAGCATTTTCTATATGGATCGTGGATTAACTACAGTCCTTTACACCACTACTACTATTAGCCAAAATTTCAAAATGGTGCTCCAAATAGTTTTTTAGATATGAATTCTGCCCAACATACACACACATTTTCTAAACTGCTTATCCTTCTGGGCCACGGGGAAGCTGGAGCCTATCCCAGCTATCATTGGGTGGAAGGCAGGAAACACCCTGGACAGGTCACCAGTCCATCGCAGTGCATTCTGCTCAACATAGCTTCTAAATTACCATTTAAGTGTTGAGTTTAAGTGCTCACAGCATGCGAATATCTGACTAGGCTGATCTGAATTGGAGGATTTGAATATGATACAGCGCTGACAATAATAATTCACTTTTAATCAACTGATTTCATGTTACATTAATGCAACAAGTAAACTGTAAGATGCACTTTTAAGTGGTTGGATGTACTTTTCTATCTTTTTTTCTGGAATCTTTTGGTCTGGAGTAATTCCACATTTCTATCACACTTATAAATTATCTGTTTCTAAAGGTGACTATTGAAGCTTACAGTTCAAAATGGCTTCAGAATTCAACATTAATTTCAGAATTTTTGGGCTATATACAGTATTGTATTCTATGTCTCAATAAAATAGATGAAAACAGTTGTGCTTTGACTTCTACATAATATAATAATTTGGTGGTTTAAATAAATTGAAAAATACTGGATACACTGCCTAAAACTGTGTTCATCTACTTTCTTCTGCTGCTGTCACTCGCCTGAGCCATTGTTTATGATACAGATTTAAGAGGTTTCCATAAAGACCAATGTAATGTTACTCACCCATGGCAATCTGAGCAATGGGTAAAGCCACCATAATCAGTTTGGAGAACACTGTGGTTTTAAAACAATTAGAGTTAGTACTCAAGGATATTCAAAATAACATTACAATATTACCCATTTAAGTAAGTCATAGTCAACAAAACAATACAGCATGATATTACATTCTAAATAGTGTTTGCTGTTTGCTTTGTTGATGCATGTCCAGTTAGGGACTACTCACGTAAGCCTGATGTGTTCATTGTTTGGACTACATTTATCCGAAGCCACACGTCTGCTGTGTTCATGCTGAGCTGTATTCATTCACCTAAAGTGGGAAAGCCAGAGTTCAAACACAGCACAGACACTAACCAAACACCCACCTCTAACATATGATAATAGCACCAGTAAAAGTAGAAGTGAAAATGTAGTTCAGAACTAGGGCTAGTTCCTGTCTAGGAAACTGACCTTTAGTATTTCTGTGAAAATTCAACTGGTTGTGAAGCACTCAACTCAAACTGGCCTGCAAAAGTGGTGGGGCAAAACTTGTTTCCAAAAACAAAAAGTGACTGAGTGTAAAACACAAGTTGTCCACTGACTCACTAAAACTACCAACTACCTTTTGTGTCATGTTAATAACATGTCTCTATAAACCTGTTCATGAACAGTGTCAGTGTTGGCTTTGACCCTGTGCTTCACTGGGTTCAGCATCAGAGAGCAAACTTTGATAGCTAACATCTCTGAAGAACACAAGGCTCTTTTTATAACTCGTTTATTTTTTTTCCGATATTTTGTGATATTGTATGTTTTTCACTTGGTTCGGTCGGTTTCACACTGCAACAGCTAAAGTGCACCAAATTACACATGTAGGTGTGTTTATTGGTCAGAAATGTTGCAGGATTATGTGCACTCTGTTGCTCTCATATTTGCCACCATGAAAATAAATAAAATAAAAATAAAATAAAAATAGAAAATACAAATTAAAGCGATAATAATAATAATAATAATAATAATAATAATAATAAACCGTACTTCATATCTGCTTCTTTACGATTGGTTAACCATTTTAAATTTATCTAATCAGGTCGTTTGGCAAAATATACACCCTGCAATCCACGTGCCATTAAACACATATCTTCACTATTATTTTATTCCGTTATTAACAGCAGCTCATGCTGCAAGAACAATATGCGCATGTGTAAAGAGTAAAATGTTAAAACAGGCAGATTATGCAGACAGTACACTGCTGAAGTTCTGCTAGAAGCAGAGGCGTAGCCAAGGAGTGGCCAGTGCCAATCTAAAATGAAGCATGGCCACACCTGCCTGGCCACCCAAGTTATGGACAGTGAGACAGTCAGCCATCATTAATAAAGCATCAATTATGCCTTATGGTGAAAATCTGCTATCAGTGTAGTTGCCAATCAGTACCTACCAATCAAGAGAGTCTGATAACACTGAATCTAATAATTAGTGTATCTTGCTGTGATAGGCTATTTTACTCAGCAAATAAAGTAAATGAGTCTCTTCAGCAGTGCTGCTCTGTGAGCTACATTATGAAGTAGGCTATTAATGGTAAGATAAGTTAACTAATCTAAGATTAATCAGCTAGAATAATTTACCATGCTAAATAATTTTATAGCTGAATACATGCATGTGTTGTAGGTTGGCTTATACAGTGCTGTCTGGCTAGCTTTCTAATTATTAGACTCGTGTATAATCTGTAGTGAATGCAGCCAAAATGCCTATACATGGCCTGTCTGTATGAAATGTTTTTCTTAAAGTTAGCATTTGCATTGAAACAAAGTGATGCATTTAAGGTAGTAGTTGTATTGATGTACTATTTTATTCATGTGGAAATGATGGACAGATTTAGTGATATACAGAGAAAAAACAATGCATGCATTTATCATTTTAATACAGTAACTCTATTCTTTTTTTTTCCTAAGCAGTGTGCTACCCCAATAAAATCCACCCCATTCTAAAAGTTCTAGCTATGCCCCTGACTAGAAGAACTGCAAATAATCCTTTGATGGTGAATTCTCCCTTTTGATGTGTACCATCACAAAAATGCATTCCCACCTAAGGGGTCAGTCAGAAGCAGACCGAGACCCGCGATATTTGCCAGACCACAGTTCAGTTCTTTGGTGCGGACCTGAATACAGGTGAAGTGTTCACATGTCAAAACGGACCAAGTTAAAGAAAAAATTCACACCACGCAAGGTAGGTCTGAAAGCACCATTAGTTTAACAAGGTAGCAATACTGAAACGAATACAAACTGACATTAGTTCGTTCATGTATTGCAGAAAAAACCTTTTACTGTTTGTATGGGATTAGTGACCTGCAGCTCCTCTCATTAAGCATGAACTCATGAAAGCTTTACTGTTTGAGAAATGTCCTGCCTCCCAGCTGAAATTAAGTTTGGTTCTGCCTATGAGTTTCTCTGTGTCTGTAGGTCAGCTCTCTTAGTTAGCACTCTTAGTTAGTTTAGCATCCTCTTTTAACTTAATCAAATTGTGGGACATCGCTCCACTGGCAGGACAAATGCCCACTCGCCCCTGTGGTTTCAGCAGCTCTGAACTCAAACCATGCCTATCATGCAAAATCAGAGCTGGAGATGCCGGTCGTTTTACATTTTAGATAATGTAACCTAAACCTCTCTGTGAGAATTACAAAGAGGTTTAGGTGTTTCATGCCGCTTATTAAGAGTTTAACCGCTAAAGGACATAAAAGTTTGAATTGTTTTTTTTTTTGTTTTTGTTTTTTTTTAATAACATGAGCTTAATAACACTAAATTATGTTTCTCCTGTAGTGTTAAAATAACTTTTCTGAATTTGGAACACCCTTACAACAGGCTATTTTTATCTGTTGTTTCAAGCTTGGACTGCATATATATTCACTGTTAAGAGTGTTTAAGCATCTCTGAACAACATTTTTTGTGTCATTTTGTGTTTGCTTTTATAAATTAAATAGGATTGTGTTAACAGCCAACTGTATTTATTTGTTACCCATTTAGGCTTAGGTTACTTTTGTACAGTGTTACTTGAATACATGACAGACTGTCTGCTAAGGTTAGCTGGAATACTTATATTGGTGGCTAGCCAGCCACTATTGCTGTGGCTACCTGTAGCCTCATCCTCTTGTTTGTAACTGAGCTTGACCTTCTGTCACCACTTTTTGTACCAAATTGCTATTGGCAGTACAAGTTGAGTTATTTGTTTCACAGCTGCTATACCTAAGTGCTAACACATCATCACTGTCCAAAGAAAGTATCTCCAAAATAGTATATTTACAAAAGAAGGCAAAAACACTCTTACCTTTCATTGTAAGTTAATGTAAAGAGATTTTATTCCAAGATACATGGTTTTCTTTGGACGGCGACGACATGTGTTATTTGAGATGTCCACCACAAGGTAACATTTAAAACAATGTGTTCTGTTCTCAATTAAAGTCATTCATCTACATAGTTTTATATTGCACAGCTGTAATGCGGCAGTTGTTCTTAAGCTCCCTGGGTTTAATTACAATTAACTCTATGACTGTGTTTACAGTGGCCATTAGTAAGTACCATAATAGCACTGCACACATATAAAAGGAGAGGCAACAACACACCTACCAGAGGTTGTTTTCGTCAAATTGCTCCAGAGTGGCTCAGTGTCACCTGTCTGGTTGGACTAAGCAATGTTTGAACTGATGATTGAAGCTCTTGTGGCTGCTGTTCTGACGTGCATTTTTATGTAGGCAAGTTGCTTTACAAGATGAACAGGTTTTTTAAGCACAGGTAAAAACTGACATTTAGCATGCTCTTTATCTGACTGAATCTTCATGCCATTTTACGGATGAATTTATCTGATTATCTAAGCAGCCTAGCATCTCCTGAAAATAATAACACATGATGTGTAACTGTCTCATGTAAATACTTTTGTAATTGCAATTGTAATTGACAAAATTACCAAAAACAATTACACCATATTATCCTCAGGCTGTAAGTGTTAATAGGGAGTTTGTCCCCTTTTGCTGCAGTAACAGCCTCTTCTAGAAAGGTTTTAAACTAGATATTGGGACATTGCTGAGGGGATTTGATTGCATTCAGCATGAGATCAGGTACTGATGTTGGATGATTAGTTCTGGTTTTAAAACACGACTTCAACTCATCCCAAAGGTATTGAATGGAGTTCCATCACTCCAGAGAACACAGTTCCACCTTTTATACCCCTCTGGCTGATGTTGGGTGCTGGGCATAGTGACCTTAGGTTCACCAGAGCAGCTGTTCCAGAGTATCCCATTCTATTAGCGATACATTTCAATGGAGAAGATTCTACAAGCTGCGTGTGATCAACTGAATGCTTGTATCAGTAAGAGGTCCACCTTAAAGTAGCAGAATTCACTAGTTACGAGAGGTGTCTGGATACGAATGATAAATTACAGCATAATGGTAAAAACATCTTTCTAGCTTTTTTAAGTATCTCTAATGTATCTCACTTAAATATTTTCAAAGAATAGCAACTCCAGTGAAAACATGGTACATGAAAACATCAAAGAATCAGTTTCATACCTGAGCACTTGTCCAACTTGTCCAAAGAATGAGCTAAAATAATATGTCACAGCAACACATTCCAAGAGTTATTGTTTTGCTTGTAGGTGTGCATGCCTGCGCCACAGACCATGTGTTATACTGGCTTTGACTTATCAGATTACCAAAAGCCTACATTTGAAATTTAATCTTAGTAGTCACCATATTAGCACCACACAAACTCAAATGAGATCAAAGATTAGTAAACCAGAAGTGATGGCACAGTACCCAGAAGAAAAAGTTTAAATCATGACATATAGCTCACATAAAAAAAGGAAATGCCGATCTTTATTAGAAAACATGTATTTTGAAAACTAGATATTTTAGGTCTAAAGATCATCGTCAACATTTTCAGTAGTGTCTTTATGTAACAACTTTGTTTTATTAATATCTGACCAGCAGATAACTACAGATTGCTATTTGAACTAACTAGTAACCTTGTACACCCAATATCAGTGCTTTTTTGCTTTCTTTAGGTTAGGGAAAGATGTAAAAGTACCAGTAAAAAAAATATATTGTCAGGACAATCACGTTCACTTTGCCTGGGGCCTTAAGTCAGATTCTTGATTTACAATCACAGTTAGCACAACAGACACTGTGTTCACTTTTACCTGCAGCACGAGTGATTTTGGAAAGTAGATCCTGACCATCGCCATAACTAGTGTAGGTGGGCCTGTTCCATTGGGGCCTGTAGCACTTGGAGACCCATGGTGACTGGGCTCCGCAACGTATTTATTGGCCCCTGTGATTTTACTCCCACCTCTCATGGGTAGCTATGACAATAATATACTTCAGCCGTTAGCTTACATTATAGCACCAGTTTGGTTAAAATATACCAACAGCAAGTAAACAAGAAAATTACATTGCCTATTTTTTCTTTTCAGGTGACCAATCAGAAAGCTGGCAAATACAGAACAACACCCTCCTGTAACGCTGACATTTGACAAGTTTGGTCCTACACGGTTTTTTAGCTTTTAGTATGAGAGCAGTGCAACTGTAATCATAAGTCCGTCAGGCATTGACTGGTAGAAGTCTCTACATAGATGCAGCCGCGAGATTTTCCACCTTGTAGATCAATCACTCTGCTCCGCCCTCTTTCGCTGTTGCCTGTTTGAAGATGAGCTGCACCCAGGAAGGAGTCAAATACCAAACCTCTTCTCCACAACTAGATGCACAGAAACACACACACACACACACACACACACACACACACACACACACACACACACACACACACACTACTAAAGTTCTTTCCATATTATTGTCACTGTAACTTGAAACCTACTGAGAAACACACCTTACCTCTATGTAGATTATTGTCCTAGGCCTCCTTCTGTAGAAAATCGCTTTAATGTTGAATTCAGGACTTACATCTTTTCTAAAGACACGAGTCCTTATAGTCTCCTCCTCACACCTAATGACAGCATACACATCTGGAGCTGTGAGAAAGAGAGAGAAAGAGAGAAAGAAGGAGGTATATGGAAAGAGCAGAGGAAAATAAGGACTTTATTGTTGTGTGTTTACAGTTTGGGCCTTCAGTGGACTTGTGTCCTAGTGTACTAGTGTAGTGGTGGTGGTGGTTAGTGACCTGGCTGTTTGGGCTGGCTGAGTGTGGAAGCTCTGCGCAGGTGGACTGTAGTTACAGCACACGGCTGAGGCACACAACACTTCCACAGAGAGGGAGGAGGCAAATCCTCCTTCAGCTCCCTACAGAGAGAGGGACTTCAGTGTTTACATTTCAAATAGTATCATTGCAAATAGATTAATTTAGAACCTCTTTCCACAATGTCCTACAGTTGACATCCACCAATCCAACCACCTGCCCACTGGACCCCATCCTATCTAAATTGCTCCCTGGACCTGAAACTGCCCTTGTAGCAGTGACCGAGAAGCTCCACGCAAGATCAGCCAAACTGTCATCAGTCCTGATCTATGTGTAGAACAATCAACCACAAGATCCTGTCCTTGCCAACCTACCACTCCCTTATCACTGCTATGCTGATGATGCTCAATTAAACCTTTCCTTCCCAGCATCTCAGCATGTCTGGCTGACATCTCGTCAAAGATGGCAGCCCACCACCTGAAGCTAAATATCAGTTGTTCTGCATCCTTGGAACTACAGGTCTTCATCATGATCTTGCCATATCATTTGATCTTGCCATCTACTGCTGGGCCTGATTGTATTTCTCAACGTTTCATTATATTGTCACTGTCCAAATATAAAGTTTACAGTATAATGAAAAAACATTCTTAAACTATAATGGAAGTTAATGTAACAAGATTTTTTTAAGTAATTTTGGAACATTTTTGTTTGTAAAATTTTCACACAATGTGAAGACCACCAAGTGTTTGCCAATTTAAGTACAAAAAAAGAAACAGATATGAAGTTGTGTCCCAACCATCATGATTTGCTATTTTTCTTTTGTTCTTCTTATTTTTTTCTTTAGTACTTCTATGCTGCACTCTCACATTAGCACTCTTTATTTGGGATCCTAGTAATTCATGGCCAAAGTGTAGAAATGAACCTGCCCACTCACATACCAAGCAGCACAAGCCTCCAGTATCTCACCTGAGCTTGATGTGCGTGTGTGAGAAGAGGCGGAGGAGGAATCGCCCAGTGGATCCAGGGTGGAAGGTGGTGGGGAGGAGAACATAGCGGCCGGGACTCAGTGTCACACGCAGAGTAACACTGCGGGAGTCCATATAGACCGAGCTTGCTGCCTGCTCACTAAAACACTGCACTCTACACACACGATTCACCTCCACCTGAGAGTGTCAGGAGAAAACTGCACATTAGCATGACAAGAAGATATAAATTGACATATAAACTGAGAAAAAAAAATCTATATATAAAAGTTCACCTCTTTATGTCAGTGCTTTTCTTAATTGTTTTTTCTATGTTGTGCTTAGTGTTTTGTATGCCTCATATGTTCACTGTTTGAGGGACTTTTTATCATTTTTCTCCAAAATTTTACTCTAGTAAATCTTAAACGAACAAACAAATAAAAATCAGAGAATAGGAAATTTATCTCAAATTCTGACAAATGAAGGGAGAAGACTTGTGGCTGACTAAAATGATCTGCCACATTACATTTTAGTCTTCATCACTGCTGATGAGAAGGCCTCAGAAAGTGTGTTCAGACTCACCCTCAGTACCTCAAAGCCGATTGGAAGATTTTCACCTCCTCCCTCCCTCCTTTTCATTCTTCTGTCCTCTTGCTGCAGGCATATGAGAACCTCATCTCCTTCCCCTCCCACCTCAAACATGAACTGAAATAATGTGTGATACAGATGGGACTAAAGTCAAGAGTGTTGACAAGTACAAAACATAAACAGCAAAAAATAGCCCAGCCCCAGAGACTGAAAGCACAATTATCAAGTCTATCTCAACTGTACAAAACTGTATACATGCTTAATCAGGGAGTGTCAGTGCACTTATAGCAAAACCATTTATATGAAGATAAGATCAGCGTTTTATCATTCAAATGCACATGCACACACATGAAAAATGACTGAACAATCATGTTTGTTTTTTTGTTTAAAAGTTGGGATGCTGTGCAAAATGTAAATAAACATAGCAATTGCAATGATATGCAAATCATGTAAACCCTATATTTAATTGAAAACACAACACAGTACAAACACAACATATAAAATGTTAAAACTGATGAATTGTATTGTTTTTTTTTAAATATATGCCCATTTTGAATTTGATGCCAGCAACACGTTCCAACAAAGTTGGAACAAAGCATGTTTATCACTTCGTTTCCTCACCTCTTCTTTTAACTGAACACTGTAAGCATTTTGGAATGAGGAGACCAACTGCTGTAGTTCTGTAAGTCAAAAGTTTTCCTGTTCCAACTTTAGTTTCCAATTAAATTATGTGATGTTGTTTAGTTGTGTAGTTGTTTATGTATTGTCTTTGCTTTGTTTTTGATTTGTGTGTATTCCTAAAAATGTACGTCACTGTCCTGCCTTCCCCTCCCCCTTACCTTTCCCCATCCTTGTTGTAAAATTTAATGAAAAATGCAATTTGAAAGTTGATCGCAAAAAAAAAAAAAAAATCTTTTCCCATGCCTGTTTGATATAGGATTTCAGCTGCTCAACAGTTCGGGGTCTCTTTTGACATATTATTCGTTTCATAATGTGCCAGACGTTTCCAATGGGTGACAGGTCTGGACTGCAGGCCAGTTTAGCACCCAGACTCTTTTACTATGGAGCCATGCTGTTGTTATACATGCAGAATGTGGTTTATCATTGTCTTGCTGAAATAAGCAAGGATTTCCCTGAAAAAGGCGTTGTCTGGATGGCAGCAGATGTTGCTCTAAAACCTTTATATATCATTCAGCATTAATGATGCCTTCACTGATGTGCAGGTCACCCATGCCGTGTGCACTAATGCCCCCCTATACCATCATGAATACTGGCTTTTGAACTGTGTGCTGATGACTAGCCGGATGGTCTTTAGCCCAGAGGACGCATAATTTCCAAGAAGAATTTTGATTCGTCGGACCACAGGACACTTTTCCACTTCCCCTCAGTCCATTGTACATGAGCTCTGGCCTGGAGAAGGCAGTGGCATTTCTGGATCCTGTTTATACATGGTTTCTTCTTTGCATGGTAAAGTTTTAATTTGCAATTGTGGATGCATGATGAACTGTGTTCACAGACAAAATTTTTTTTAAGTGTTCCTGAGCCCATGCAGTGACTTCCACCACAGGATCATGTCTGTTTTTAATGTAGTGCCACCTGAAGGTCTGAATATCACAGCCAGCAAATATCAGTTTTAGTTTTTGTCCCTTGCATACAGAGATTTCTCTGAATTCTCTGAATCTTTTAATGATATTATGTACTGTAGATGATGAAATCGCTTTGCTATTTTACGTTGAGAAACGTTATTGAATTGTTGCACTACCTGCACATGCAGTCTTTCACAGAGTGGCAAACCGCTTCCCATCTTACTTCTGAAAGACTCAGCCTCTCTGGATGCTCTTTTTATACCCAATCATGTTAATGATCTGTTGCCAATGAACCACCAGGTGTTTTTTTTAACATTACAAAACAGTTGTTCTTGACAGACATTTTATGGGCTTCAGTCTGAACCTCATTGTTACTGGCCATTTTATCGTGTACATCAACAAAAACACTGACTTAAATACTATATTGCTAGTAAAACACAGACATGTTATTGACATGTTATTATTGTGTAAAAATATTTTATGGTGTCAGTTTCTTTCAGTTTCCACTTTCAACATTGACAGTTTTACATGTGAGAAGTTGACCCTGCAAGAATCTCACATCAACTTTTGACAGCATCAGCTGTTTTTGTCACACCAAGAGTCCAATACAGCATAGTCTCAGATAATGGTAGAGGGAGCATCACAGTGAACAATCTCTACAAGTTATAATTATCTTAACACTAAGATGCTTTTGGGAAACTGGGCCCTGGACAATTTGCATACTTCTCCAAGTGTGTCTCCAAGTGGTGGAAAAAGAAATGTCCTTATCATTACTGTTTTGACAAATGTCTGTGATTGGTTATATTGCATGTAGTCAACTGGCCTTTTCCCGTCAACACAGGTGATTCATGGCTGACCTGACACTAAGCGACGAAACCTACCAAACTAAACCAGTGACCCCTATGTTGTACCTGAGGGTTAAGAAGAAACGTCTCTCTGTGGTTAATGCATCCTCCACACCTACTCCTCTTGTCCATCTCTCTTTCCCATTCCTCTTCCACCACTTCTTCCTCCTTTACCGTAAACTCCTGCATCTTTTCTCCTGCTTTTGGTGGCTGAGCTTTCTCTTCACCCCTGTCTTTCTTCTTCTCTTTGGCTCCATGGACCCTACTCCTGTCCATCTGCCTTTCCCCCAGCCTCTCCTCTTTCCTGTCCCCTCTTGGAGCAGGAACAGGAGCCGGATGGGACCACTGAGAACCTGAGAAATTCTTCCGTGTGTTGGAGGGCTGAGATGCAGCAGAGGCTGTTGGTGGTAAGTCTGCAGGGGCATTTGTCCACTCCCCTGGGCAGCGCACCTCTTTCCAGTGTCCCCAGGGCCAGAGCAAAGAGCGCTCCACTAGCCTGCACACCACCAAATCTGTGAAGTAGCGGCAGAAGTCTTCAAACTCCATCCTGAGGATGAAGACACACAAAGATCTAACATGAGGTGAAGAAGAGACATTTTGCAGGTTTTGTTAATGTATCTACACTGTATGTGTATAATGTGTGTCCACTTTTTAGGTACACCTGTCTAGTGTGTTGTGCCTTGAACAGCATGAATTTGCTGGGTAATGGATTCTGTAAGATGCTGAATGAGCAGTGCTGGAAAGTTATAGCATGCAGAAATGATTGTGTTGCGCATTTGCTGCAAATTGAATGAATGAACAGCTTACAACAAATTATGATCCTTCCATGAACAACATGCAAAAGGAACCTGGATTCAGCTGCTCCAGTTTTGCTGCTTCTATGCCACTGGAGATGCTCTTTTTAATCTTGCTTTTTGTTGACAAAATTGGCATCCAGCATGGTATTTAATTCTTGTAGTCATTCAAAACAAAGTCTAATAAATTCACCATTGTTGAATTATGATGTGATTTGCCTGGTTGTGTTCTGTTTGATTGCTTGTTTTTGTCTAGTTTGTTTGTTTTCATTTTCCATTGACAGAACAATGTTTGGCAAATCTGGCACTAAGGAGTCACTATGAACAATTTGTGTAAAGGTAGGGGTTGTATCTAATAACATAGCATCTGGTTTTTGTGCAGAAGTCAAAAGCCAAAACTCAGAGACCACCCTTCATTTATTTAATTTCCAGTAGTTAAAGTTAATTAAACAAATGAAGGGTGGTCTCTGACCTTTGCACAGTGCTGTTTGTTTTCACACTGAATTTGTTTGAACGGAATGATTTTCAAATAATTATAATGTGGTAATGGCATGAAAGTGTGTACATTACCAAAACTCTCCTACATCTCTGACAACAAGACCCATCTTCTCTCTCTCACTGCGGCCCACCTGCTGCCACTGCTGTGACCTACAGGCGGCACCAAAATAGGCAAACAAGTGTTGGGATCACCCACCTAATTCAAGACTATAAAAGTAATGACCAAATCTGCTCATATAAGCAGTAGTACTTGTATGTACACTTATGCTTTCATTATATTAGCTTACAGACAACCAAACTCAAAAACATTTTTAGCCTTTTTAACAAACCAGTGGGACCCACGGGATCAATGGGATTAAACAAATACAACTCAAATAAAACTCAGTTTCCTTAAGTATGACGATTCATATTAGACTACAGCCAGAATAAGCACACTACACCTAAATAAGCTCTCCTTGCACTCATACATGTCTATATTCACAACAACCTGCAGGTGTGATTTGTCTCTCCTGTTACTCCTCACCCCTGACTCCAGGCTCCTGTCCAGTCTGCTGTACCCCAGGGGTTCCTCATGCGCACCATGTAGATCCGAGGACTTCCGCAAATGCCCAGCAGACTCTCGCCCAGGCGAACCTTCCTGACTGCAGTAATACCATATGCATGACCTTTCACCAGTCCACAGTCCAGCACTGACTCCACATGTTCTCCATCAGCTGGCTGAGTATTCGGGTGAGAGAACATAAAAAGGAGAAACTTGAAACACAAAAAAGGAACAGAGATTGATTTAGACAGAGAGTGTGCAATAAAGTAAGAAACAGGTCAAAGAGACCATCTGGATAATGAAGAAGGCAAGAGATGCAGAGGAAAGAAAGAGGGTAATGAGGTGATAGAAAAAGAATCGTAGAATAACATCAGCAAAGATTGAGGTAGGTTAGTCAGGATTCGAGTCAAAGTGTACATGCTGTGACAGGTGAGAGGCATCATTCCTGCTGTAGAGCTACAGACCAGACCACCAGCTGTCAGGAAGAGCAGTCATAAAAAAACAGTCAGCTGAGGTAATTAAAGAGGCTGGCAGAGTTTGCCCTTAGACACAATAGACACAATAGTCCAGAGCTGAAAGCTAAACTGTATAAGGCTAAACCTGAAAATTTCAGCAGTGCATGTTTTTGTAGGGGCATTCCAGCCAAAAAACTAGCATTTAAACATTATTCGCCACTGGCCTAAAACTAGCATTTGACATGTTATTTGTCATTTTATTGCGTTATTATTTGTCATGCATTGCATCCTTCAACCTTATTTTAATCGTTTTCATGTTTTTGTCCATTAATGTTTTCTCACTACAGTACCTAGCATGCATTAAATAAATGCATCACACATCCAGTGGGACCAGTGATAAAGAAATTTGAGTGCTAGCGTAGCCACTGATATAGTGACATTAGATATCTGGATCCTTCATTCACCAGCTAAAGGAAAAAATCCAACCAGCCCTCCCTTAAAATATGAGCCCAAAGCACTTGTAGTTTTTTAAAAGTTCCTCTCACCTTCAAGATACACCATCAGAAGGGGGTGTTCCTAGTCTTTAAAATGAAATATCTAGAGTCCACTGAGGCTCCACTGTAGGAGATGAGCAGGAAGGTTTGCAACAGATATAGTGATGGTTGTATTTTTCATTTTGGTCGGAGTCCCCCTTTAAGCATTTGCAACGCCTTTCATATTCATTCTTTGGGTGTTTATTTCTGCATGCGTCATTGTAAATGCAGCTTTCTGAACACTGAGGTCTGGCATTGTTTTCCTTTTTTTCTTAACAGAGGTTATTACCCGTATGGAGCATGTGATGAGAGCTTTGCGGTTGTGTGCTCTGGCTAACGTCTGGAACAGCACCTTCCTCTGGTCAGCATTCTGGGTCAATGCTTCTAGGTTCAGATTCAGTGGTTCAGACACTCCCCCAGTGAAGTCTACCAAAGCTTCAGCTGTGTTACCCCCCTCCAAAGCCTCATAGCAGCCATTCAGTCTGAAAGAGTGAAGGAAAGACAGGGAGACAGAATGTGAAAGATTCATCAGATTTTCTGCTCAGACTATAAATTCTACAAATTAATGTCAACATTAAATGTTAATGGTGAAGATAAGGGTTATAAATGCAGTTTTCTATTTCTAAATTATGGTCACTGAATCTGTGAAAATAGATTAGGACACATATGAGGCTCAGACCACCAGCCTTCATGTTTCAGGATTGAGAACTTTAATGAGGTAAATTATCCCTCGTCTCTCTTTCCTGATCCTCTTGCCATTCTGCCTGGCCTGGAGTGCAAAAGAGAACAAGAGAAAGCCTCATGATGACAACCTGATCTAACCCCAGTGGCACAGCATCACAAGCTAAGACCTGCCCTGTCTGTCCAGTTCAGTCCCAGAAGAGAAAGAAATGTATTCAGTGAGTATATCTGGTTTGGTTGGGCTCCTGCTCTGACAGTTGTCATACTTGGCATAAGCTTTCTCCAGCAGGGCACTCCAGAACTCCCGCGGTGTTGCTGATCGACAGAAGAGCAGAGTTCCGTCCTCACTGACCGGTAAACGGTCATCCACCACTACGTCTGTCCACTGACCCAGCCGCCAGAATCGGAAATGGAAAATTCCAGCATACAGGTCTGGACGCTTCGGGTTCCATTCCTGCTCCATGTGATCAGGGATGACCTGGATATGAAGAGAGAAGAGAGGTGGAGAAAGAGAAACAGGGTTAAAGGAGAATTCCACCAATTTTTCAAAATTTCTGCATAATACAATGAGATGTAAACAGAGTCTTTTCATGTCTAATGGTTCACTGCAGAGAACACACTCTGATGTCTTTACCATGGTGGTGATAGGAACCAGGGGTATATGACACAAATATAGCCATTTTATTTTCTTTCCAAACTGGTGAAAATATATGTACTGTAGAAAATTGTAAACTAGTGCTTCATCTTAAAATCTTATATCTTAGTTGTCTTGGGGTTCTAATTTACATTCTGCATATACCTCCCTGAATGGAGTTTGAAAAATTTTGAAAACCTTCTCAGAACTATCGTAAAACAATGTCTCGGGCCTCAAGCAGTGTATTTAAAGCCATTTTATGTAATCACTTTGTGTGAGGGAACTTTTAGAGCCATTTAACTCTTCAGACGTCTGGTTTCACCACCACTTTGAACAAAGGCAAACAGCAGCAACTACAGCAACAATGAAACTGAGAAAAACATCGTTATGATTTTCAGACTCTGTTTTCTTCTAAAATGTTACCACAGTTTGGATCTTTAGACCCCCAGTCACTCCAGTTTGCATTTGTACAGCATAATTTCCCTACTCGCTCCTGCTCTCTCTCTCTGACATGCACATACCTTTTTCCAAAGTGAAGGTTCTGTGGCCAAGCAGGAAGTGGCTGCCACCATCCAGCAGTTACCCAGACTGCCCTGGTGCAGATCCCTTGTACTGATTCCATCCACAAAGAGTCGAGGGTCCTTACAGAGCTCCTGAGACAAAAACAGAGACATCTTTAAGCAACTGACATTTCCATCCCATTTTTGGGTGTCTACCCAAAATTCCAGTTGATGTAAATTATCTAATCTTTTTACATGCTCAAAAGTAATTGTACAAACTAACAATTATAAATACAAGGATTATTTTTAATACTTAGGTGCAAATCCTTTGCTGTCAATGACTGCCTGAAGTCTGTAACATCCCCAAATACCGTGCTTCCTTCCTTGATATGCTTTGTCAGACCTTTACTGCAGCTGCCTTCAGTTGCTGCTTGTTTGTGGGCCGTTCTGCCTTTTTTTGTCTTCAGTAAGTGAAAAGCATGCTCAGTGTTGAGGTCAGGTGGCTGACGGCCATTGAAGAACATTCCATTTCTTTGCCTTACTGTAAAGTGCCGTCCTATCAGTTTTGCAGCATTTGACTGAATCTGAGCAGAAAGTATAGCTCTATACACTTCAGAATTCATCCTGCTACTTCTAACAGCTGTCACATCATGAATAACCACCAGTGACCCAGTTCCATACATGCCCATGCCATAACACTGCCTCCACCATGTTTGACAGATGATACGGTGTGCTCTGGATCATGAGCCCTTCCTTTTCTAGCAAAGTCTAATCTGGCCTTTCTGTTCTTGAGTGTTATCAGTGGTTTGATCTTGAGATAAAACCTCTGTATTTACTTCCGATCTTTCTGCCATGATCTTCAAGGGCTTTTTGATGATGTTGAGCTCACCAGTGCATTTCTTCTTTTTAAGACTGTGCCAAGTTGTTAATTTGGCCACTCAAAGTTTATTTTTAATTTATTTAAATTTATTTAAGCTTTATTTAAAGCTGAAAGTCTACACTTCAGTCACATCTTGCTGGCTTCGTTTTGAATCCATTGTGGTGGTGTACAGAGGCAAAATTGCAAAAACAGTGTCATTTTCCAAATATTTATGGACCTGACTGCAATAACATTGCGACAACACTGTGACAACCCTGAGGCAACAAATGTTATACCAAACCACTCTGAATGACTCTGCTTACTTCTCCAACACTGAATCACACAGAATTTTGAAAAATCATGGAATTCTTTCCTTGTGAGGACTACAAGTGAGGACATTTTGCTGGTCCTCACATGAGCATGTGTTGTTTTCACCACAAATTACATTTTTTTGAAAAAGTAAAAGAGCAGAAAAAAATCTTTTTGGATATTGAGGTTAAGCTTAAGGTGAGAATCAATAGAAAATCAATAGAAAGCTATGGAAGTCCTCACAAGGAATGTAAGATAGGATCATGAGTGTGTGTGTGTGTGTGTGTGTGCGTGTGTGTGTGTGTGTGTGTGTGTAGAAGAGAGCAGTCCTGTCTGCTTGAACTTGTTGATCTACGTTTTGACATTGGATCCTGTCTCCTAAAATCACTTGGTGTCAGTTTACAGAGGTCATGCACACACACACAGACACAGACACAGAAACACACACTTAATGTTATACCACATAATTAACTTCAATGCGTATTTGTTATCAGGTTGTGCAATACAGTATCATAAAGATTCTCAGAAGGTAAACTTAGAACTGAGCACTGACACCACAGAGTGTGTCTGTGTGTGTGTGTCTGTGCGTGTGATATATAATCCTATCATTTGACCCATGTTGTACACATGCTGAAAATATTTGTGCTATATAGTCTGACCTTGCTTTTAACTTTACACCCCCACATACAGTAGAACACTTATTGTTAAGCAGATGCAGTTAGTGCACTTTTTCTACCTATATCAAGCCTCTGAGTGAAGACTTTCAACAAAGATCTTACAAGCCAGTAATGTATTATATAAACATCCCTTCTAAGCAGTAAAAGATGTTCAGTTCCCTTAAATACATCACATACAGTTGTGTTCCAAATTTGGGCACCCCTGGTCAAATTACACATTTTGTTGATTTTATAAATATATAAATAAATACATTTGCAAATTCTCTTTAGGAAACAATATATTACATTTTTCTGCACTTTTTTTTTATTTGCTGAATTCAACATATTAGGAAAAAATAAAACCAGGGAGGCTCAAACTTTTGCATGCTACTGTACATCATGTAAAATATAAGTTGTTCAGGAAATAATTATGGAAAATCATGTACATATATTTGCTCATATCAAAAATATATCTGCAATTTATGTGTTTTAAAATATGTATGAAATATATTTAACTATGCCATTTTTTACTCTTAAAATATATGCTACTATATGCGAATACATGTCAATACATTTAAATATATGCACATATGTAGATAAAATATATATATTAGAATCAAGTTTTAATATTTACATATGTTACAAACTTGACACGTATTTTGAAAAACATATTTCTTTTGCATATGGCAGGTTTACTGTTTTTCAACCTCAGCCTTTATAAAAATAAGGCACATTTCTACTGACTTTAGTGTTGACAAATGCACCACTTCTTTGCAAATTCTCACTAGGCTTCAACACATTCCAATGTAACAGCGGGTTAAGCCTTCAAAAAGCCCTATAGTGCTAATATTCAAAAACGAGAAACTCACAGTAGTCACGTCTGTCTCTAAATACATTATTTATTTTAAAAAGCATGTTTTTTGTTAAATCATGTGAGATTTTAAGATTTAATAATCTTTGTGTTAAAATAAATGTAATAAAAATATGCAGAAACATGAACCAAATAATAACTGTCATTGACCCGTATTTTTATATTGCTGATATATACAATATATACAAGATTTCTACAGGGAAGCCCCATCCTAGAAGTGAATTAAAGAATTCTCCATCGTATTTCAACCTAATTTCTATCTGCTGGACCTACCTGTAGCATACAGTGAATTACCACAGACAATCGTTTTGATGTGTTTCCTTATCGTTAGAAAAGAACAGAAAACTATCTGAAAACACACTTATAATAGAAGCCAATAGGAAGCTTCTCCATCACCTGCCCACTGAGTTCTATTCTAAGTAGTCCTTTAAGGGGAGTGGAGTCCATTAAGCAGCACTCCACTGCCTTCCAAACGTCTCCCTCACTATTTCTGTGTGATAACCACTTGCTGAAATATTCACAGCTGCATGCTCCACTGCTATATTTGATTGGCCACACTTTAGCACATACTCACACTATTTTAATCAACGTCAGTTATTTTTTACAGCTTAACCTGCACAAACCTTGGTAATACCCCTGAAGCCAAACACGCGACACACACACTCTCCAGGGTGTCCTATTGCAATGGACTGACGCCTCGCCGCTGTTAGAAAGGCCTTTAATTAAACATATCTGTTATAGCTCTGCTGACCGCGCAGCTACAATTAGCTACACATCCTCATAAAGACAGCAGTACATTACGAACTTCTGACCTCCCAAGTAGCTACAGGCCCAAGAAAATGTCAAAAACCATGTCAGCAAGTCTGTTTGAGATTTGCACAATTACTGTTGTTACTGAATTTAACACATTGGGGAAAAATATAAAAAAATAAAATGGCCTGTTCAAAGGTTATGGCACATTTTATATTTTGTTTTTCCAATATGTTAAACTCAACAGATAAACAGAAATTTTGCACTTACAATTGCAGAAAAATGCCAAAATTGAGTGTGTTCTCTGTAGAAGATGTGTGAACTTATTTTTAACTTAGAAAATCAACAAAACAGCAGCAAAGGCTCTATATGGAAAAAGTGATTTTGAGTTTAAAGATAATATGTCAATGGGATCTGGATGTTGAATTTGAGCAAGAAGTATGGGAGATTATTGTCTCTGGCTGGCCATTAAGGGATATTAAGGATTACTGTATACTTGCACTTTGTATTATTAGATTACAGTGAGACTTCAACTATTGAACCTAATATAAAGCAATGAATGCTGGACATGTAAGAGTTCAATTGATATTTTTGGAAATTTCCGTTGGCCTCTCCCTTTTGGACTCAAGTAGTTCGGATTATTGGGGAGTGTACAGACCACCCATACCACATTCTCCAACTTCTTGCTTTCTTGGGGAGGGATCTGTCCCACCACACAGACTTACGACGGTAAAAATTTGGCTCAGCGTTGGTAGCTTTCATTAATGCAGCCAGAAATATACTAAAAAATTAGAACATTACTAAGAATTAGAACATCACAGTCTCTAACAGTTATATAGACTGGAACGGACTAGATGACAAAAAGGAAGCACTACTACAACCATATATGCACTGAGCTCTGATGTTACCTAAGCTTCCACAGTCCATCTCTGAATTTGGGCAGATGAGGGGAACTTTACTGAGTGTTTTAGAAGGGAGCGGTGAGATAACTTTGCTATGTGTGTTATATACTATAAGAGCTGCATGGAGATGGCTGTTCCTTTTCTTATGTGTTGTTTTTTTCTCACCCTTGGTCTCTTCCACGTCACTCTGGGAGGTGGAGCTCTCTTGTAGAACAGTGACTGTGCAGAAGCAGGGAAATAGGGGTCCTGGAACAGAGCCCCTCGTCTCAAACATGCTCTCTTTAACTTATGGTAGTTCTGACCCTGAAACAGACATACTCTCTCTGGCATCCTGGAGAGAAGAGGATGATAAGAGATGATACTAAAATATATGAAACAATAAGAGACAATACAATGCAACATGACAGTGTTTAATCCTTTAACCTCAACCTCTAGGTGTATCATTCAGTTGTTAATGAAGGATCTTATCATGGAAAACCACATTTTCCTTGCTTTTTTTAATTAAATGAGTTTGATGTGGTGTGTAAGCTGCAGCCTGCTTTGAATTCATGTTTTTTTTTGTGACGAGTACCAAAACACACACACACACACACACACACATCATCTAAACCACTCATCCTTCTGGGTCGCGGTTGAGTGCTGGAGCCTATCCCAGCTGTCATTGGGCGGAAGGCAGGATACACCCTGGACAGGTCGCCAGTCCGTCGCAGGGCAGTACCAAACATTTACACGTAAAGTCTACAGTAGTTTAGCTCCACCCATTTGCACTGAAGTTTCAAGGAGCGTTTCAGCCTGGACTATTTTTATAAATGAGGCCCAATACGGTGCAGCCAACCAGAACTTAGGTCATTTACATGTGTCAGCTTAACAGCGTAGTAATAAAAACAGCCAGTTTAATTTGAAGAGATAAAGAGCTGGCAAAATGGCTACGTAAAAATGATTCATAACTTATGATTCGTTTGTCAGAAACCTACAAAAATACAAGTGGACCTCCAGGAAAGAATACATATACAGGCCCTTAGGTTTAAAGAGATAAATTGAAACACTTTAAATTGTGCAGGAATCACTTCCATTATCACATCTGTGTAATGCTTTTCCATCAGGTTTGGGAGAACTCCGCTACACACAGAGCTACACTATGTAAGTTTTGGGTATCTGGAGACCTCTCTGTTTGAAATGTGTAATTGCATGCAATGTGCAGAAAAACGTTTTGTGACACTGGTTGTGCTTTGGACACCTTTCCCGAGCGGCTGAATGTGATGATTAACAGTGATTTGAAAGAGTATTCCAAGAGAATTCAGTCAAAACGAAGGACGTGAGTGAATTATCTACTACTGTTATCATGTCTTCACCAGTCTGCTGATTTTGCATTTGAGGCCTACACATTGAGCAGGACCTTCTTGACTGTGCATGTGATGTTAATGTGTAACAAGGTAAGACGTGGTCTGAGAAACCTATGTAAAATCTGACCCGGCACCCTTGACTTTTAAATCATTATTTCAGATTTTACTTAAATCCAGTGGAACAGCATAAGAAAACTCTCTACAGAAGATCTTTGCAGGGAATTTTACGTGTTGTTGTGACAGAAAGATTAGTAAACCTCTATATAAAGTCCTGCCAGGTAACCTCACATTTAGCTTTAGTTCCAGGGATGATTAGATAACAGGGTTTATTTGTAGACTAAGGTGTAATTTGCCCTGGAACTGAGACGGGTCAGAAGAGAGGGCGGGTGAAATAATTGTTGCCCTTCAGTGTCCAGAAACAGCAAACTGAATAAAAAAATATAAGTGAATGTGGTGCATGTCCAGAGAGCACTTTACATGTTTAGGAGTTCAGGCTCATGATAAGTTGCAGGAGTGTATCAGGTAATGAGCTTGATACAGGGATATGGGGATTGGACTCGGGGGGGGTGCGGCACGGTTTATGGTTCAGAGGGCTGTTTTACCCATTAGGGGATTTTGGCAGGGGCAGAGGGGGAGGCCTGGGGCCAAGAGAGAGCATCAGTATATGAGCCAACACTGATTCTGTGTCAGTGTATATGCCAGGATAATGTGTGTGTGTGTACGCAAATACCACACAGGCCATCACTAGCACTCTGCACTCTCGACTTCCCTCTCAGAAAGGAAATGCACTAACGAACGAGAGGATCTTTTACAGATAAACAACACAAAATGTACAGCTTCCACATCAACACATGGCCATGCCTGAGCTTACACTGCAGGCTGTTCTTTGTGCACCAGTCCAGCTTAGTCTTAGCAATAACTGAAATACACTCAAACTTTTAAATAAATCAATTCCAATAAATAAAATAAAAATGGAGGAAACCTAAAAAAGCACAATGTACTGTTGTACTGCAGTCCCTGATATGACAGAACAATCAGAACATGCTGACAGGTTGGCTGTGTGAATTTAAACACACTTAGATTATTTAAAAGGGAAAATGTTAAATAAGGCTCAGCTGAATTTCAAAATGATACCTACACAACTACAACTACAAACTACTATCCTAAATAAACAATTCAGTGCATATTTGATTTTGCTTTTGTAGGAAAATATTTTACAGATTAAAAACCATATAAGCTGCTCAAATACATCCAGATTATACTATATATTATATATCATGACAGTGTATGATCACATATTATCTACATTACCTATTTGTTTGTGTCTATATTGTTTCGATGTAGGATTAATTGCAGCTATTCATTCAAAATGAATGCTTCATCAGGAATAATGATCTACACAATTGATAAAACAAATATTTTGTTAATTAAAGTGTATAAAAATGTATGAAAATTCTAAATTCAGTGCAAAATGCCTGGAAAAAATATATGTTATATTCTTATATTTAAAGACAATGTGTTTAATAAAGAACTAGGGATCACCCGTCACTAACAAATCATTACAATCCAACTGACCAATCATTAAATCCAACCATAGACTGAAGACAAAGGTAAGACAGTTTCACTTACTTTGTTTCTTTTGGTTCCAGTGCTGTCTTTATCTGTCTGAAGCGTTCTCCGACTGCTCAGCTATATCCAGTCATCTATATAGCTTCATGAGCTCATCGTTGGCATCATCTTTGGGTTTTATAAAAGCAGCTCGTCTCAGGAGTCTAATGGTCATACTAGTGTGATCACTGGAACTCTGGTCAGAAGCTGTTTCGCTGTTGTGCTCTTCATGGGGCTGTTATATGGAGATGGTCGAGAGCGACAGGTGTTTCCTTTCTGTTGTTACCTGTCTGCTCGTCGTCTCCGTGACAACCGGATCTTGTGCACCAGACTAAAGCGTAGACTGGAGTCCTGGCATGAGCATTAGGATAGAAAACTGTATGGAAATGCTTCTTTACTTTCAGGAGGGAAGTTCATGACAGTATAGAGAAAAGCCACTCATTCTTGGTCAAACTAGTGTGTCATTTGTGCATTTGTTTGTTTCTGCATATGTATTTTACATAGTCTTGAAGCTTACAGAATGTCATATCGGATACAACAACAGTGTTTTTAGTTATTTCAGTTTATACACGTGGAAGAGACAGTGTGCTTTAAGGAATACTCCAGTATTTTTCAACCTAGAAAAAAGGGTTTAAACTGTAAATTGTACAATGTGTGAGAACTTGATAAGTCACTGAAGCATCTGGCCATTGGCTTTTGCTCTAAATGTGTCTGCTCTTTTGTAAGTACAGGAAAATGTCAAAATAGATATCTGTGGTAACCAACCTTGTACAATAGATGCAGCAGATAGAGACTAGTTGAAAAACGTATTCCTTTAAAAGGGAATTCCACTAAGTTTTCAAAATTTCTGAAGAATTAAAGGCTACTTTTCCTACTTTTTTATTGCATTTCATTTTTTACACTTTAGTTCCATTATACCATTATTGGTACTTTTATGTACCAAAAACAGTTGAAAATTAATTTGGATGGATGTGCGCTCTCCTTGTAAAAAGGAACATTTTATGCTGTTAATGTTGCAGTACGTAAGTTTGAACGTGTATATGTGTTTGTGTGTTATTTCGTGTTGGGGTGTGGATTTAGTTAGTATGAACTGGGTGGTCACTGTCAGCGTGAGTTTTAGGACCTCCCTGCTATTTTCATGCCTCTGTATGTGCCTTTCAGCTTGATGTTTAATAAAAGAGCACTACTCGCAGCAGAATCATGGCCTCCCCTGTGTCTTATCCTGCGCCAATGCCACATTACTTTCACTACTGTATCATTGTATTCTGTGTATCATTTTTACAATACACATTACGTATCATGATCATTTTAACACACACACAGTGTACTAGTATGGATTTTTTATAGTATTGATCTACTTGAAATCCAATTAACCAAGACTAATTGTGCTCTCTTTTTTATAGAAGCATGCAGTTAGTTAATGTCCTTTGAGTACAGACGATATCAACAAAATGCGTAGAAAAAGTGATATTATCAGTGTCCACCTCTACTTGAAATAATTACAAATATTGTTTTTCGATAGTTTTGAGATGTTTTAGACCTCCAAGGAATTTTTAAAAACCATCCATAGTGGAGAGGTCCATGCATATAAAACTCAGATGACTAGGTTAGGTTCACTGGTAATTTTGTAGCTAGTAGATAAAATGGCTATATTTGTGTTGTAGACGCCTGGTTCCTATCACCACCACCACTCAGAGCCAGTGAGTTTTCTCTACAATGAGCCTTTTCACAGCAAACCACTCTGAATGACTTTGTTTAACCCCTTAACAATCCAGGCTTATCACATACAAAAGTTTATTATTCAGTAGCTACAGGGACTTCAGTGCAAACTAATGGAGTTGTTCTCAGATTATAGAAGTGTGTAATAGTACCTTGGGCCTGTCAGCAGGCCCATGGCTTGTTAAGGGGTTAAATCTCAACCAAGCTGAAAATTTTGGAAAATTAGTGGAATTCCCCTTTCATGTTGGGGCTCCCTTCTAAATTACTTGGAGGACGTGCATTCACCGGTATCAGAGGAGCCCTGTATGTGCAGCTGTAACTCCATCCCTCCAGCCACACTAGTGCACAAAGCGCAATGACATAATAGACAGTTAGCAGAGGCTCGCTAGACAACAGCTCAGTTACACTCCAGAAGGCCCATTCAGACACGGCTACTGCAGCCACAGACACTCCAGCTAACATGTAATAACACCGTCACTAAAAACAGCCAGCAAGAGCTCATATTATCTCAACAGAAAGGATGTCAAGTACTAGGCATACATTACATCAATTTACACTGAACTGTAAACTTACAATTGAATGCAGCCTGCATGGCTGTTGCTTGAGTTCAATTCACTGTAAATTCACTATGCAAATACAAACAACATTAAATTGTCAATTTAATAGGTCAAGCACCAAGAGCTTGTTTCAGTACTAAAATATTCGCAGTAAAACAACAAGCTGTAACAGCTTCTAAACATGTTACACTAATTTATGCTACAAACTACAAATTTGCATTTACATAAATTACATTATAAATGTAATGTAAATTTACTATTACCTTTGTAAATGGTAAAAGTCACCAAAAGCTTGCTTTATTACCATCAGAAAGCATGTGCAGTAAAGCAACAGGTATATAGACTGTAAAAGCTTATGAAAAATTTACATTCATTTACATTAATGATAAAGCCTGGAAAAGTTTGACCATGCAAGTGTCCAGTCTGTTCCCCTCCTCATGTTAGTGATCTATATTTGCCTTGGTCATTCACGCTCCCTCTCTTTCTCTCCCTATCTCATAGCGTGTTCGGTCCTGTCCTCTTGCTGACCTTAAAGCAACGCTGACCACGAGCCTCCTCCACACACTCCCCCTCTTCCCGTATTTCATTCGTGCACATTAACAAGCAGCTCCTTCATGACTTTGTCCGTTTGGCACGGAGCACCTCATCTCCTGCCACAGAAACACACACACACACACACACACAAATGCAAAAGACACACTTACGTCTTCTTCAGTCTTTCTTCTGATCCTCTCTGCTCCTCGCTCACCACGCCTCCCCGTCTGTTTTTCTCGTCCTCCCTCTCTCTCTCCTGCTAAGTTCATCATGCCATATCTGTTGTCATTAAGCGCGTGGCACTGACATCTGAGTCCCCCAGAGGCTCCCAGCCCACACACACACACACACAAAATCACTACAACTGTTTTATCTTTAATAAGCTTACACATTTATTTTTCCTACAGACAAAATAATCTTGTCTTCAAAGTTGTGATGTCATCAATATGAGAAACATCGAGAAATGTCAGCAAAGTCATTCAGAGTGGTTGGATGTGAAACGGTGCATCCTAGAGAAACACTTTAGTCTTTACAGATTTATTTACAGTGCTGGTGATAGGAACCAGGGGTCACAATGTTTACAGTGCAAATAAAGCCTTTCTATTTACTATAAAGTGATCAATGAATCTACATCTGTTTTCTGGGTTTTTATATGTAAAGTTGTTGATGTGGTTCAAAAAAGTCAAATCCACTTTTGTGACCTACATTTACGTCTCTGGATTTGAAGGAAAAAAAAATCATTTTAAGCCAAAACTTTATCTCAAATCTATAGCACATTCATGAATATTTCACACTGTAATTTCTGTGATGTATTCTTTATAAGCAATAAACACTTCAGACATCTTATTCCTATCACCACCTCTGTGGATAATTCTGACTCCGCAAGTCTCTCTAGAAAAGAACATTTCACATCAACCCACTCTGAAGGACTTTTTAAAAAAAATTAATAAATTCCCCTATACCAGTATGCCAGTAGTCAAAATGTTTTTCTTTTTAGCTCGTTTTAGGTCATGTTCCTGGCGATATTAAGCACAATTCATTATAACATAACAAATTCCTTGTTTTTCCATAATATTCGATCAAAGCTGACATCATCCCAACTGGTGGCTACTAGCTTGTATTTACCGTTAGCTATGTTGGCTTGTTAGTTCAGGCTATTCTTTTAAATCAGACGGATACAAACCACAAAAGGACATCAGCTCATACTGTGGCCCTAAAAGTATTTGGACCTTATAATGGATTTTAACCATTTAGCACTGTTCTTTAGGTTACTTCACAAAAAAGTTTTAACTATATATTTGTTTCAGAGAAAAGCACTTTAAGCACATCTATCAACTAATTGTGGACTTAGGTGTGGAGAAAAAAATCCAACCCAATGGCACTAAGAAGAACAGGTAGAAAACGTCAAAGTCTGGGTCTGCTTTTCTTACAATGCTGTCGGTGAGCTTTTGTTATTTGACATCATAAACTCAGAGATGTACAAAGGCATTTTGGATGCAAACCTGCAGAAGTTTGCAAAGCAAACAATATGCTACCTTTTGAAAGAACACTTTTTCAAAAAGAAATCAAGTCTTGAAATTGTTTAAAATACCACTTGGTTTGACATTTTGTTTCCTAACATAATGAACCAACATGACATCCAAATAATTTTGGGGACACTGCGCTCTTTACGTTTTTCTTCAAAATAGTGTAAATAAGACTGAAATATTCAAGAACAAGTCAGTTCACTTTTAAATGTTACACCATATATCTCTTTTTCCTTTATTTCAGTCTAAAGCAACACAAAACATGGTACATACAAAGAAAAATTAAGACATACAATCAAAATCAAATCAGCCCCTATTATGACCAAAACATGCAATTGTTTTCACTAAAAGGAAATTCTTTTGATAAGGTAGTATAGTCATTTAGGCATGTTACAGCCTTACAGCATTAAAATAATTATTTATCTGGTAAAATTAATATGGAGTTAAGACAACACATATGTAAGCCAAAGAGAAAAAAAAACAACTTAATCCCTAAATAAAACTTTCATGACACATTTCTGTCACTTACTGGTTAGAAACGATGCTTTAAATAATCTGAGACTAATGTGCGTTAAAAAGGGAAAGACAAACAAGAGAATTTGTCTTCATGACTGACAGAAAAGCTGCCAGATTGAGTACAGAAAATTCAAACAACCATATGATAAACAAACAGTACATGATAACACTTCCTGTTCCACAATCTGTGAATGAAATGAAAACACAGTCACAACAGTACTACGAAGAATGACACCGTGCATCATCTGTGCGAGTTTTGTATAGATCGTGCAGACAGTGCCTCACTGCAACGCGCACGCACCACTGGGTAGAAAGTCCTGGACGTATGTAGCCACTGCCTTGGTGAGGTACGTCATGGTGCCAAAACGGCCGCTGGGTGCAGTATCATACAGTAGGCAGCAGATGCCTGTGGACAGGTCTCTTTCTAGAATGTTTTCTTCAGCATTTAGAGCTTTCTACAAGAGGAGGAGGAATAAAAAGAGAAACAAAAAGGAGCATATAGCAGTATTACTGATCTGTGTTTGTTCTCTTAATGGAAAAACAGGTTAGTCACCTGGTCCTGGTAGAACATATCATTGGCGATGTGGACAATCTTCTCCACGTGGATGATGCTGCCGATGCTGCTGATGTCCACGTCAGCCAGCATGGTCAACATCAGGATGGCCTCCACTAGCAACTGCCTGTACTCCGGCTGAGGCACGCGGTTCAGCACCGTCTCTACATGCACTGCAAACTTTATCTCACCTGGGGTCATCTGGAGGTGGTGGTTGGGGGTGACACATGGAAACAAAAAGTCCAGATGATGCAGTAGGACTTTCATTTTGATGGTCCACTGTAGACGTTTTGTAGCTGCTCACCTTGTGCTTAACTGACATTTAACAAAGTATCTATTAAATTCAACTTATCTTTTCTGTAACCATAAACCTAACACTCACTCTAACCCTAACTTTACTCTCAAATTAAAATGCCTAATCCTAACGCCGTTGATAATTAACTGAGTATCAACAAACAGCATCTGCAGATAATAAGGGTACAAATCTTTGACCTCTAATGGAGTTATGAAATAACTAATGTTTGAAAGGACCATGTTTGAAGCTCAACCTCCTTAGAATCGACCATCTTATAAATTCCACCACCATCACCCCATCTCCTTCCTGTTCATCAGTGCTCTCTCAGTCATTCCTCTGTTTTTCAAAGGGTTGAGGAGAACGTCAGAATGCCAGCCCAAGTTCTTAGAGTTCTCTCCCCTCCTGCAGTCTTACTTCTCTTTTATACCACAACCATATGTTGAAGGAATGGTCTGAATTCGCAAAACTCTTTGATTCAAATCAATTCCATTACAAATCTTTAGAAAAACAATTCAATGTGTCACATCATCTCAAATTCCAACATGATTTGATTCCATACTTCTGATGTAATTCAGAATGCACCAAATGTACTTTTACAAATGTGTTGAATACACTAATGTGACTAGAAGAATAATTTGCACAGTATGGCATAAAGTACACAACACATTAAAAACAGTAAGAAAAGAATGTTTTTCAAATTTTACATTTAAAATTAGCCTGAGAATTTTTTATGTATTTTATTTTGGCCAAATATGAATGCATACTTTACTGGATTGTAATCAAATATGATCAGTTCTAACACTCCAACACACTACCAATGAAAAGCAAAACTGCCACCAGTTTCAGACTCTCCATTGGACAGATGTTTAGATTTGATCAATGTTTCAAACTGATATCTGATAACGTATTTATAGTGCTCCAAAAGAGTAGAACATGTAGGTGACAATGGGGTACTGTATTTATAACACTTGAATTTCATAAATAAATCCTATATTTCTTTCTCATGTTAATCCAGGTAAATGTAGTACCAAGTGCTATATTTTATGAATGTTTATGCATCGCCACAAGCAAATACGTACATGGAAAAACATTGGATATAACTACCGACTTTTTGATGTATGAGTGCACATGACTCCAGAGCTGCTATAGCTGTAGAAGATCAATGTATTTCTATGTCCACAAAAAATATTGTTGATGTAGTTCCTATACATCTCTTTGCCACCCCCTAGTGGTAGTGGTAGTTTTTTTGCATGGAAGTATATACATGCTCTGTCAGTATCAAACCTCTCTTGTAGTGGATGATGGAAGCACAAAGCCTTCGATGGACAGCCCATGACACTAATAGAGAAAAAAAAATAAACAAATAAAAAATTCTGCACTCATTTTATTTACAGTATTGTAATTTCTCTTCACAATGAATCATACTGCAAAAGCTTTAAAAGCACTTGTCATAATGTGGAGTCTTTTTAGTGCTCATAATGTGTAAACCTTGCTCACCTTCTGCAGAATGTTCCAGACTTTCTGATAAAAACCCACTGGAACTCTGTTAAGGGCTCCATCCAGCCTTCTCCTGCGCAGCCACTGACCCTGACGACTGTCCTGCACTGCAGGCACACTCACAGAGCCATCAAACGACTCCATCGACTGGAGACGGCGCATCTGGCAGTCACGTAGAACAGACACACATCAGTACTAACTAAATAAAAAGAAAATGGAGCTACACTTGTTTTGGACCGCAACAATATGAAAAATGGCTCATGTCAGCAGTATTACTCTGTTTAAAACACCATCAAGGCCATATTCAGTTCACTGGGTTTTTTTTTTGTTTGTTTTTTTGTCAAGAAAGCACTTCAAAATTTAACATAACATTCAGGAATTTAAAATAAACCACTTGGAACTAAAATTAAGTATACCTCAGGTCTTGCAGTGGGCTCAATATGCTCAATATCGATGGAGGGTGATGGTAAGGTCTGTGGAGAAGAAAACAGAAACCAGTTTGAGGATCAATTTTAAAAGCTATACTTCTGCTTGACAAAGCACTATTTACAATTAAGTTCATGCAGCTCTGACGATCACCACATTACCATGCATCTGCAGCCCCTGTGACATCAGTGGACACGTTGTTCAGGTCACTTAAGGTTTTTTGTGAGATTGGACTGGAGTGGATTACCAAGTGTGAAATTGTGTTGCAAATTTTCATTTTCCAACACCAGCAAATTCTTTATTATCTAGTTATCACACGGACTTCAGCAAATATTAATTATTGCATTAGGCCTGAACATTTTTGAATTGACTCCCATTGCACCAGACTGAAGCATGTTAGGGCTGACAAATCACCTTACTCTGAGAAGACCAAGACAATCTGCTCTCCTCCAGCTGCAAATGAAGACACAACTGAGCTCATTCTTACCACAGCAGAGCAGGACTTGTTTAAATTTCCCAGGTCCAGTGCTGTGAGTAATGTCCTAAGTAATTTATACGTATGATGAGTCTCTGCTTCCTGTTGCTGACTGTTTCTGTTGCTTACCAGCTTCATATCACTCTTCAGTTTGCTGATGCCTGCTCGCTCGCTTTTGGTGGCACCCACATGGCCAACCTCATGGATAGAGATGGCAGGACTTGCACCTGTCTCCACTGAGCGGACTGGACAGCAGGAAAACAAACACAAACAAAAGAAGTGTAAGAGCTTGAAATATTTGTCCAAACCCTGTTTGCATCAGCTTTCAAGTTTAGATGTCAATTGCCAAGGTCAAGCTCAAGTTTCACGTTTGGGTTGTCATAGTCCATCTCTCACCTTCAGCAAACTGGGTCCTGCACCTTTCCTTGCTTTAGGTTTTCTTTCAACTTTATTCTTCCTCTCCACATTACCTCTAACTATTTTTAATCTGGGATGCTGGGTTTTCTTGGAGTTGTCGGCAGTGATGCCCACAAGGCCAGCATGAAGACAACACACTGAGCCTGTTCACATCTTGCACTAACATGAGTTTAGTGTCCAGATCGTATCTGGATGTACTTTGACCAGAATCTATTTACATTTTTCACTAAAAAAGCTTGATCATATGAGATCCAATTGTACTATACCTGAGTAAAAAGCATATCAAGACATACATTGTTTCCATTTCATTTTTGTTTACACTTTCCCCCATTACGATACGAGTGGACAAGCTTGGCTTGGAAGCTTTCATTGGTCAAGAGTGCATGAGGACTACTGGTTCAGCCTCCTGTATCCTCCATCTTTTGCTTCCTTTTTTATTCTCTCACTCACTAGTCAGCACTCAGTAGACGCATTTTTGCTCATACAATTTTATACGGATATCGAAAACTCATGCCATTTACACTTAATTAATTGTTGATTGTGTGTTAATTGTGGTTAAGATTCATCTCTGACCACCTCAGAATGTGGTTTGAGTGATCTGATCGTAGTCCGCTCACAATGCACCTTGGATTGAAGGATTTCAATTTCAAGTGAAATACAAATATGACCCAATCACCAAAAAAAACAGGTTAATGCAAGGTGTAAACATATCCATTATGTAGTTTATCCAGATTAAACAGTTTGTTATGCTATTCAAAAGGCCCTGACTGATAAATACACTTGTCAAAGTGGAAATTAAATTTCATTTTGTAGCCACGATAATTAGGCTGTTCATTTTTTAAATTTTATTTATGGGTGATCTGATTCCCACTCCTGTTGCTGCTACACTATGAGCCAAGTCAGATGCTATTATTCAGAATGTTGAGCATTATTTAGTCTCTGGTTGGTGATAAGTGAAGTGCAGAGCCACAAAAAAATATATTTTTTTAAATACACATTAAGAATATGTTACTATTATCACTGCTGAGAAAAACTTTGACTTAGAAGTTTCTCTAGAACGAAGCATATCAAACCACTCTGACTGACTTTGCTTACATCTTAATGTATTAATTATGCAAAAATAATAATACATCAGTGGAACTCTGTAGTGGGCTGAGGTGTTGAGGACATATCTAGAAGCAAACCTGTGTTCTCCAAACAAGTGTACATAGCAAACTAGTAAAAGTAGAAAACTACTTTTATGAAAATAAAAAAAATCTTCGTTTTCACCGTATTTATTCTAGAGTTAAAGAGAGATTTTCCTGACACACTTACTGCTGAGATAAATGGTTGTAAACATCTTGCTATTTTACAGTGCTGTACATCGGCTGAACACACTAAATACTGTGCAGCACATAGCACACTAGCACATATACATACACTATCAACAGTTCAACCAAGAAAACAAAAAAGGAGAAGCAAAGGGGAAGAAGAGGAAAGATAAGGAAGTGGTAAAGATATTAAGGCATAAAGTCACTAACCGCTTTTCTGCACACCAAACTCTTTGCCACTGAGGATGTGATGTAATAGATTCTTTAGCTCAGAGGGACTCAGACTCATCAGACTCTCTGTAGCCTCCTCACCTGAAACACCCAAAACACACAAAGACATGCATAAACTTTAAGCTAATTATTCAGTCATTAATCTTAAAGCTTCCTACTTTGTAACTACTATGAGACAAAGTGATGTAGTTATAAGAGTGCAGTTATGAGAGTGAGGCCAACAGGTCCTTAAAGTTTAAGATGGTAACTTAAGCTACATAAGCTTAGCTTATGTCCGTCTTACACAAAGATTAATTACTATAAAAGAAAAAAAAATCCAGTATAAAACAGAGCATTTCATTCTTTTTTGCTGTACCCGAACAGCTGAGTGACTGGGCCAGTTCAGTAGCCATGACCTGAATGATGAGGCCGATCCGAAGCCTAAACATCTCACTAAACAGTCCAGGCTGGGTCCTGATGTTCATCGCCAGGTACACCATGATCTCCTGTCACACACACCCACATAGTAACATACAGCCAAAAGACTTCTAGGACAGAGAGCATAAATTAGACTAAATATATATACAAAAAAAAACTACTTGTTTTCATTCACATAGCTAATAATAACAACAACATTGAGTTTCTCTTTTTCTTTTTATTTTATATGAAAAGTCTACATGAAGGATAGGTACGATGTGGAAGTAGGGATCTAGCTAACCTGGGTGAGGATGGAGATAGTGATGTTGTTCTCACTAGCCTGTTCAATCAGTTTAGCCAGCTGGTCAGGTGGCATGGGCCTGAGACAAGACACAAATCAGACACTGCTTGTTTCTTACTACTTGTACACAAAGCCAAAATAAGCAATCCTGTCAAAAACAGACTGTACCAGGAGATCATTTTCTTAAGACAACACTGTAGCTCTGAACTGGTATAGGAGAATGAAAAATATTCTAAGCATCTATTAATGCAAATTTTAATGTAAAAAAGCAGGTTTTGCTTCTTTTGGCTCTTCAAATTTTCTACTGGGCAATTTCATGGGTCAAGAAGTATTCACATGAAAAAGTTGCGCGGTTTTCTTACAATTGCAGTATGCATGTGCACAGTTTGTCACTGAAACTTGCAGATAGTTAGCAGCTAACTCACGCAGTGATGGTCTTTTCTCTGGGCTCTGGTGGTAAGCCCACTGTCAGGTGCTTCTGATGAGCCAGCAAATCAGAGCAGGCCTGCAAACACACACAAGCAACATACACCACCATCCACATACTGCACACTATAAAGAATATTCCATCTGAAGATAATTCTTGATCAAATCACACATCTAAACTAAACACAGTGGTGTTGCTTGCTCACCCAGTCAAGCTCCTCCACTTTCTTGCGGAGCATGCCAGAAATCATGCGGATGAGACCCCAGCAGCGCAGATCTCCTGCTTTCTCATACAGTTCCAGCAGCAGCTCATGCACTGTGCTGCCTTTACCATGCAGCTCAGTGTCCCACTCCATTCCCCTGACGGAACACACCCACCAGAAAAAAACAACCTGCTAAGCACAGATTCTAACTCCGACACCTGTATCATCTTTGATTATTAAGGCAGGGTCACAGGTTAAAGCATGGATAAACTCTACATTACATGACAATTTCTAGTGATTCCCTTCTTTCTAAATGAGCACTGGGTCTTAAGACACTTAAGACCTATTTGGATGGAATTAGTTTTACACAGGAAGGTGTGACAATGTCATTTTTGGCGGTGTGTCTCGGTGATCTTAGTGCCACCGGAATGCGCCACGTCTGTCATTTTTATGCACTGTATGCTTCCACATCAATAAAAATTCTTTTTACTTTCCATAAAACTAACCATAGAAATAACCTCAGGTTATATTAATGCCATGCGAATCAACTTCTCAGTAAAAATGCTATCATATTCTGTGGAGAAAAGGCACTCAAGGTTTACTTGTGTTCTCTGTGGCTGAAATCAAGCTGATATGTACAGTCCTACCTGAAATGTACTAAATGACACACTACATTCACTTAAGACAGCAAGATAAATGGATAGGATAACCTGAATAACAGCTAAATTAAATGTTTTTGTGTTATCTACTTATCTCTGGAGTGAAGGCAGTGCATAAACCCAGTAGCCTCTCCCATCTCTGTCATTTATACTCAGATTTCTTATCCCGTGTGAACTGGTCACAAAAACTATGCATGTCCTGTGTAAACTGCCTTTGTCCCACCTCCCCATGAAAAACCAATCCCAGCCAAAAAGGGCTTTAGACTACGTTACAATACCGTGGAAAGGTCAGAGACCACACTTCATTTATTTATTGTATTAATTATTGTCAAAATTGTTGCACTGCACAATTCAATCACTGAGATGTAAATAAAGATATTCAACGTAGTTTGATGTGCAATGTTACAGATTAAATAAACGGTGGGTGGTCTCTGATTTTTGCACAGTACAGTATGAAAGTGTAGAGGAACATGTGAGAGGCTGACTTGTCTTTGAAAAGAATGTAGAGAATGTCTGCCTGGTCCTGGAGACTGTGTGTGTCTTTGAGGTGCTGTGCTAGAGCCGTGTAGTCTATAGAGCCGTCAGCACCGCAGGGCAAATTGCTCTCTGACATCACATCCAGCTCCGGACACTACAATGGGTGACACAGAGAAAAGCTTTTATTTGTTTCTGTTTGTGTGTGTAGCCTTGGGCAATTTTATTATAGTATAATTTTTTTGCATAACCAGACAATTTTACTGCATGTTTACATGTTTAATGGTGTGAAAGAGGCTGTCCTATAGTCAGACTCAGATTCAAACAACCATTAGCGTGTGATGTCACAAATATATTTACCTAGTGACCCTATGGCTGTTTAGGTTTTAACACTTTACACTGAAAAAAAAAAGATTTTTTTGGCCTAGACCACTTTTTGAATGAGGTCATTTACATATATCAGCCTTAAAGGCACAGTAACAAAAATAGCCTGTTTAGTAAAGAGAGATTGAAAAATTTAAAACTAAATTATGACATATAATATAATAGCAAAATACAGGACAAGAGTGGGATATGGGCCCATTAGATGGTGGCCAAATCATGGAATTTAAAGGATTTAAATGAGACCTACAAATTATGGATCTTTTTTTTTCCAAAATGAGTAGCAACAGCATTTACAGCAATACATAAAAATACCAGTGATTTCTTAAAATGAGAATTATTTAAACCATAGGTGTGTGTTTGTGTGTGTGTGTCTCTGTGTGTACCTGGCTGTTTTCTGGTCCAGAAGAGTCTTTTAGATTGAGAGAAGGTTGTGGGGATCGGAAGAGCTTAGTGGGCAGATACATGTGCACATCTATAGTGATAAAATGGAAAAAAATGAAAATGAGGGAATATCACATCACCTCACATCTACATGCAAATATACAACTGAAGAGGAAACGCTGCCACCTATAACCAGTAATGGTATCATTAATCAAATCAGGCTAGAACAAAAATGCTAACAGCTACACTTACTATGGATGTGGAGCTCTTTGGCCTTGTTCACTAAAGACACCATCTCCCTGGTCTTACTGGCTGCAGCTTTGAAACGGCACAGTCCAGTGGCCCTGCCCTCCGCTCTCATACCCCTCTGCGGCAATGCTGTAGCCAAGAGGTGATCCAGATACTGAGCCAGGTCATCTGAATCTGAATTTGTTTCAGTGCAAGATGGACAGATAAGCATATGTGTATGGAGGGTTCTGAGCATAAATTCACACAAAGTAAGTTCATTTTGAACTCTACTGTATTTCACTTGAAGTACATTTTTAATCAAAACTCATGCATTGTTCCATTCACTGAAACAAAGCCTAAAAAATAGTGCACATCAAATCAAAAAGCATTCTCCATAAGCCTAGCAAATGAAACAATTAATTCATGGCCAGTCATGCAGTGGTTGTTCAATGCATTTGCATCTAAACATCTAAATGCTTACATACATAAAAACCTTTAAACAGCATATAGTTGTTCTGTTTGCACTGTAAGTAAGCGCTGCTACTTTACTAGACACCATGAAAGCCATGAAAAGCAGTCTCCTTATCTTACAATGATGGTAGAGAAATCAGACACAGGGTCAGAAGTAAATACTTTTTTAAAGAGGAGAACAGCATGTTATGAGAACTGCATTTGTATGTGCTACATTACATGGCCAAAAGTACATGGACACTTCTAATTATTGAGTTCAAACTCACAAACTCAGAAAGCAAAGTCAGCATGACGACTGTGTGTCCAGAGCTAAATGAAATGGATTTCCATGCATGAGCAGCTGCTCACAATGCAATGCCAAGCATTAGCCAGAGAAGTGTAAAGATTATCGCCACTGAACTCCGGAGCTGTGGAAGCTCTGGAGCTATCTGGTAGTGTGATGGACAAATCTGGATTTGGCAGATACCAGGAGAACGTTACCTATCAGAATGCATAGTGTCAACAGTAAAGTTTTGGTGGTAGAGGGTTAAAGGTCTGGGGCTGTTTTTGAGGGTTTGGGCTTGGCCCCTTAGGTCCAGTGAAAGGTAAGGTTAATGCTACAGCATACAAAGACATTTTAGATGATTGTGAGCCAGACCTTCTTGTCCAATGTCAGGGCCTGACCTGTTCTTCTGACTGAACGGGCACAAATTCCCTCAAGACATTAGGCCTGGGCGATGTGATGGGATATTGTTGATGACAACGGACAACTGCATTTTTTTAAAACTAGAAAATATCATGCTCTTTTTAGATATTGCCCAGGCCTAATAGACACTCTAAAAAGAAGAGTGGGCACAACTCCATATTGATGTCCAACAAGCTCATACAGGTGTGATGGTCAGAATTCCACATACTTTTGACCATATAGTGTATGATCACTGTTTTAGCACATACAAGCACTACAAGAAAGTGAATGGACGTCCCCAGGTTCAAACCCGATACAATTAGTCTGCGTTATAGGCAGAGTAGAAGCATCCATCATATAAAAGGTTCTTAAGTTTTAAACGGATTGCACATTAATGACACTGTTATCTAACTATTCTAGCCTGTGATTCTTCCACCTTACCATCATCAATGTGGAGATCATGCACAGTCCCTTCACTAAAGAAGTTCTCTTCCTCCTCATCCTCACCCCAGCCCATGCTGCTGGAGCGTGGCTTACCGCTATCCAGGAAGCTCAGGTGAGCAAAACAGGAAGTAGTAAGAAACTCTGATAACTTTCCCGTCTGTATCCTAAAAGGAGGTAAGGGCAGGGTAAAATGTGCACATCCCACCAGAGTCTGCTACAGGCACAAGACACAAGACATTTATCTACTCAAATGTCTGCCCACTGATTATTTCAAAGCTTCCTCATTATTTATTTAGGAATTTATATGACGTTTTTCATTGTTCCGTCTTTATCAGGCAAATGATATTGGTTAAAGTGTTTAACAGATTGGGGGAAAATGCTAATCAAACGTCTCATAGCTACTTTCTCACCGTGCTCCTCCATAGTAGCCATCCTGGAGTTTCTTCAGAGTGGCCAGTACTGCAGGGTCCAGGTCTGTGTGGTCCTCAGCTGGATGGAGAGGCAAAAACATACCTCACCTACTCATCTCCTCACTTGCTTAAAATTTAAAGGCATTTACGGTTAGCATTTATATCTGGGGTTTGTACATGAGCCTTTTTCAGACAGAAATTGCCAGTTCCAGATAAAAATATTGTTGGCCAAAACAATATGGATATGATCATTACGATGATATCATTAACCATCTTTCATTATATGTGATGTAATTATTTGAAAAAACATGGATACATAATTTCAGCTGGCAAAGTAATAAATTAAGAAAAAGAAGACTTAGGCCCAATCCCATTTCACCCCTTGCCCCTACCACATAGCCCTTAGCCCTTTGTTTTGCGTGTTCACGTCTAGCATTAGGGTGTCCCAATTTTTGTTGAGATAGAAGGGTAGGGCGAAATGTTAGGGCTACATGGCCCTCCAAACATAGGTTTTACAGAGGCTCACTCCAAACAGAGTGTTATGAGAAAAAAAGAAAAACCGTCAAGATGGCTGCGCGAGCGACCAAAGAAAGCCACAAATGTGAGAATTTCTGTTAAAAAAATTACAATAACCATTGTATTATCTTAGTTTAACGTCGTTTCAGTGTATTATGGTCGTTTTCTTCATAACAAGCACATCGCTAATAGCATGCTAATGTCTTGGTAGCTAGCTAGCTAAGTTTCCCGTTCCACCTTAAATAGTCCAGCAGTGCTGACACCTGAAGCGCCAGAATGTAACTGCTGAACCATTTAAGGCGGAACAGGAAAACGCGAACAAGAAGCTGGCGAATAGCTGACTTCAGCGTCATATCACCGAAGAATCAGCGGTGGGCGATAATAAATAATTGTCTCATCCCCCCTCTTTGAAAGCATATGATGCCCTAAATGTAACTAAAGCCCAGCGGTGAGGTTGCTGAACTTTCCCTCCTCTGCTATCACTGAAGACGGGCTGGGTCGCCTACAGAGCACCGCTAGTAGCTGTTAATGAAGCAATGTGTTTTTTTGTTTTTTTGTTTTTTTTGAGGGTTGTCCCATTTCGTAGGGCAAGATTTCAACCATTACCCCTTGTAACTCAGTTCCAAGGGGTTAGGGTGACACTCGAAAACAAGGGGTAGGGGTAAAAAGAAGAAATGGGGTAGGGGTAAAAAGAAGAAATGGGATCGGGCCTTAGAGGCTCATGTGTACTGTGGAGATCCATGAACTATGTCCAGGGATGGGGAAAAAGAGCAAAGATCAGCACTCATCTTAACAAAAGTGAGGTGTACTCTGAGGGTGGGCTAATTAATTAGTTCACAGTTTTGAGCTGAAATCAAAGAAACTACACTTCCATAATAAAGTTATATACATATTTGATTGTTTTTCTATTTTCTTGAATTTTTGACATTTGGATCATCTACTTTTACACAATGAGTTTTCATTTAGCATTTTGGTCAAATTTGGATTTGCAAAATGTAGAGCTGGAGCCACTAATTACTACATGTTTCTCTTATCAAACTAATTACTATGTGTTTCTCAGAATTAACAAGTGAAGTCTGTCCATGTTAATGCATTTCAGCCAATCAGCTGTGCTGTAAGAAGGGAGGGCGAGGTCTAAACACCCCTATTTGTAAGAAGCCAATATTACTGACAGGAGTATTTCTATATTCCCATTTCATTACTATTCCAAAAAAAACGAAAAAAAAAATTTGACTGGTAGTGTATACACAACTATATTGAGTGTTATCTTGAGTTAAAGCTGTCTAATAACTAATAATTATGAAGCTTTGTAAATATACCCCCCTTTGGCCCCACTCACTCAGCATGGTCTGGGAAACAGGGAAGGTGACAGTGGGCCGGCCAGTCATCCTCCAGCGAGAGGAAAGGTAGGACAGGTCAGTTCGCAGCATCTCCACAATCATCCTGTTATCCAGGGCCAGGTAGAACTGCTGGTGATCAATGAACTGTTCCGAGAGATTAGGGAAAACAAAGATCAATAAAAACACATGGAAGAAAGCATAATAGAAAAGCTTCCAAGCAAAAACCACAAAAAAATTCAGAAGATATTTTAAGAAATTTTATCACTTAAACCTCTCAAACATTTTATTTACAATAATGAAACAAAAATATCCCTCTTCTAAATCAATTAACATAAAAGTGTCCTGTATCTCGCAGTACCTGAGGCGTAAAAGTAAAGATGGTGTTGCGAATGATGTACAGCTTAGAGGTTCCCAATACGCCAATCCTGCGATATGGCCTGCCAGTCAGCCCTAGCCTCCTATTGCGACCTTTAGGAGAAAGCTAATTTTATCTTCCAGATAAATCACAAGCACTGGCCCAAAATGAACAAAAGAGAATTGTTAATGTTGATCCAATCTTTGAAGATATTTGACAACATGCTGTTGTCAATAAGTTGTAAAACGCAGAACACAATTTTATTTAATTTTTTATCACATTGTGTCCTACCTAGCCTGGCGTAAATGTGGCTAAGAACTCGGGAAGGTTGCACTCTGATAGGGTGGATGTCTGCCACTGTCTCCACCTCTATCCCATTCTTCAGCAGCAATGCCTTAATCTCATCATTCTCCGCCACAATGGACACTACCCAAAAAAACAGGCCAACATCCAAGAAATGAAAAAGTCTACATCAAAACAGAAGAGATGTTTCATCACAAATTGCATCACAAATTAGAAAAACAGAACAAAGCTTACCTTGGACAACAACATCAGGCTTGGGGATGGTGGAGAATCGGCGATTGAGTGGGTCTATTTCTCCAGGAGCCAAGAAACCCTTGAAATAGAATGAGAACCTGAAATTTGAAATTTCCTATAACATCTAACTCTAATCTATGGTTATTTGGAGTGAATGATACAAAAGAACAATTTCTGATTCCTTTAAAAACTTTAAATCCTTGACCATGAACTGATTAAGCTCTCACCTCTGCCAGCAGGTTTCCCAGAATGTAGAGGGACTGCCCCCACTTGAGAGGACACTTGCCCATCGGGATCCTCTCCACAGAGTGAGGGTTCACATACTCCTCATCCACCTGGGAGAAGATATATACATGACATCAATGCAGTTCTGAAAAATCACAGTGGTATTTAAAGCACAGATTCTCCCCACAATTAAAAATGTCAATGCCAAAGTTTTACTACACAGTGACCATGGAGTAGGTTAATCTTACTCGATCAGGAGGGACGCTGTAGAGCTCAGGCATTAGACGTATTCCATCTTTTTGTTTGATCAGAATACCATCCAATGCCTCTCTGTACTCCTGCACCTGAGAAGACACATTTCACGCAATGCCTTTGAGAAACCCAAAGACTGGTCCTCTTTTTGACATCTAGAGCATCAACACCTTCAGACATCAATGTGTCTTGGCTAATCAACAGCATTTGAGGGAAAACATGCAGTAGGCGTGGGCGATATAATTTATTATGATAACGATAAAATAGTGTTATGTCACAATATGCTTTTTACAATATGCTATCGTGGATATCATCAGCACTTAAAGAACACCGACCAGCTACATGTTTCATTACAAAGTGCGCATAATTAGATCTGTTCAATTGGATTTAGTGCAGTGCAGATTGTAAAACAATGAACAGAAATCACTAGTTTTAGGTTTATTCTAATTATTATAGTTTGTTTTTATATATGTGGCACTACAGGTTCTATTTTGTCTGCTCCAAGTTATTTAATCTCAAAGAAAAAAACTGAACATCTCGATGTGTACTGGGTATCATGAAAATGTCTTGAATTACTGTGATACAATATTTTGCCATACTGCCCACCCGAATGTGCAGTGGTTTTTTTTAACCTGTTCTGGGCTGTTTATGAAGATGCCATCCAGGATGAGGTAGGTCCAAAAGAGAGGCCACTCACATTCAATGTTCTCAAACAATTTCAGCTCAGCAGACTCATAATACAGTCTACTGGGGTCCTGTGGAAAGGACATAGTTAATACTTAGCATGGGGAGGCACAGTGAAGACTGACTTAATAGTAGAAAATCTTGAGAGAACGAAAGTATCCACAGATAATGCGTACAATCTGAATCTTAACCATTATTTAGCTAAATTGGTAATATGGAATGGTTACAAAGTAAAAAGGATGTAGGGCTAATAGTCGTGCCAACATGATGTGATGTAGTCATAAATAAATTCTACCTCTTTAGGTGTTTTATGGCCATCTCTGAGAAACCGACAGCAGCCATATCGCCCCTACAGAAAATAAACATAAGAGTACAGTGTCAGAAGAAGAAGGACAGCGAAAATAATTTGCACTCAGCCTAACCATATGTAAAATAACAGCAGCTCCTACCTGTAGTTTAGATATGATTTCCTCCTTAGTGATGTTGACTAGTTCCATGTCTTCCACAGCAAAGGCTGGGTAGGAGATTATGGCGAGGACTCCAGCGTCTACCTCTTTTGACGTGGAGGCTCTGGGTAACATGGAGTTAAGAATGGACTGGGGTTGGGGGGGAAGGGAAGATTGACACCATGGTCACACTAACAACATAATACAGGATTTTCAAACACAAATCCTGGTGGGCCGCAGCACTGCACAGTTCAGTGCATCATTAATCTCATTTCCAAACACCTCATGCTCTAAGAAGATGCCTGGAAATCAGAGAAATTTACTTTGGTACTGAATACAGTGGAATGTTGCAGATATGATGGCTCCCATTGCTTTCGGGTCAGCAGAATGTTCCACCTAACAGTTGAATCTCTTAAAACAACAAAATGGCAAATGGCGTCAGCTGGCTAACTATGTTTCATAAATGCTTAAATGCTAAGCCATTATAATAAATTTAAAGGACAAATTTGAGCCATTCTTTTCAAGTGATGTCAGGGTTGTTGGACGAGGGTAAACACTGAACTGCACATTACTGCAGTCTTCCAGAACTGACATAAAGCCCCTAGCATAAGCTGAATATGTCATAGCTGGAACATTTGAATGAAACTGCCTAGACAAAATGCTTATCAGATACGAGGGTAAAGCAGGACTTAAAATACAAAAGTAATTGAGATAAGAGTAAAGGATAACACTGTTACACAACATGGACACATGGACATAACCATACACGTCATGGCAAAAATTATGATTATGTTATAGTCATGTCAATGTTTATACCCACTGCACCACCATGGCGCCCCCTAATGTTACAGAGTAAAGTTACAGTGTATGTTGTTCTAAAGTTTATTAAACATACAGACTGTCCAAATGCAAGTACATATTTCAGGACCACTGCTCATAAGTTGACTCTTTCAGGCCTGGACTGTGCTCTGTAACTATTTAAGCATGTTTTCAGGCCGGTTCTAACTTTACCTGACAGTGCTGGATGTCATCTGGTAGAGCATGGACCACTGAGCTAGGTCCCCCTTTGGCCCCAAACAGATTCAGCTCATCCAGGGCCTCTAGTGCTGCCTACAGACACAAACGACTCCATTCAGTCATTGTGCTCAAGTCTCAGGTCATGAGTAAAAACAAAGCTAACATTCACTCTGGGCATTCAGAGTTCTGGCCTTGAAATCACAGCCTTTCCACTTTGGAGTGCCAAGGTGATATTTCACTGTAGCTGTATACAAACTTAGTGCCAAGGCTATAACTTTCATTGCCTCACTACCCAGAGTAACAGCAAGACTTCACTGCAGTTGGACGGAGTTCACAGGCAAAAGCCTGAAAGGATACTGTCAATGACTCCAGAGGAGCCATGTGGAGGTTATATTAGGTCAGGCACAGCACCAACAGTGTCATGGGGTGCACATACATGGAAGCAATGCATTCTGTCATGCCACCTCAGCAACATTCTCAGCTGCTCAGCGCAGAAAAATTTGTGTATATGAGTGTGTGGGTATGCATGTATGTGCGGAAACGTGACAGAGCAAGAATAGAAAGAGAAAGAAAAGAGAAAAAAAAGGTTATTTGAGTGAAACAAATTGTGTGTAGTTCTGTTTTGACTAGCTGATCAGCAAACAATTGTTGCGAAGTCACTATACAGTGGATTTGATCTGCTCATCAGAGGCTACTTTTCTGATAATATTAATCGTTATTAAACATTTTGTATTAAATTAGAAAACAAAGCAAAATAGAAGCATTTTCACTGGTGGTCTCAGACCTTTTGTGCCCAGTGTATATGCATTAAATCTTGGCTGTACATCACAGTAATTTTATTATCTCATAACTTTTTTTTTCTCCATTTGAAAACGGCAGCTTCCTTCAACATTGTGTGAACTTTTTATGATGAATGGACCAATAGAAATAGTTCAGATGAATAGAAATGTTCAGATTAAATTGAAATAAAATCTCATATTAATGTACATTAAAAGTTAAGAATCACCTATAAAGTTACTATTTTAGAAATACAAGATGTTACAACAGTGATGACAAACAAAACACAAAGTCTGTTTTACTTCAATTGACTGAACTGTATCTAATAATATAAACTCACTTTGGCCATGCCAATAGAGCTAGCATTGAGCTCAGGGATTCCCTGATTGGTCTTGTCTCCTCGCTCCCACATTCCGAAGTCCTGCAAAGCAGAAAAATGACATCAAGCAAACTTGTTACCCTGAAAATGCTGATCTACAATGACATAAATGGACCAGGTGTTTAGAGTTTCTTAGACAGACTTACTGCCACTTTGTATGCAGACTCAATATAGAACACCAGATTCTGGACCACATCCACCTCATCCTGAGTGTAAACAATGTGGAGCCCTGAGGGAACCAAATCACACCAAATGACAAACACGTCAGTTCAAACCACTCAGGCCCTGATTCATTAAAGTTCAAATATGTGAATGTTACCAATTAGTATTACGCAAATTATTAATGGCACTGATCCAATGATCTACATTTGTACTGGGCAGAAAATGCTGGATCAGGTATCAGAGAGAAGAAGAACTAATACAATCCAATTCTGTAACAAATCTAATGCGAAATAACAGAGAATTGCTGTTATTATAGTGCCACATAAAGCAAAGCAAAGTCAGTCTTGTGATAACTATAACTGAATAGTAAACAAGCTAGTTATGTATTATACAAACTCATTTGCATATCAGTATTGATCAGTTTTGGTATCGGGCCAAAACCAGCAGAAAATGGGGAAAAAAATCCCATCCCGTAACAAACCTAGTCTGAAATATTACACACTCACACTCTGTATTTCACCCTGTGGGGCAGCACAGATGCTCTTTTTAAAGCCACAGGGAACTTAAATAGTGGGTCAATCTTGCTCTTGTGCACACACAATGCACATGGACAAAGTATGTTCTGTGAATAACTTTACAATGTCAACTAAATGACCAAAGTATTTCGCCACAATTCTCCTCTTTCGATGTAAACTGCGTTCCTAATCTTGGGTAACATGCACATAATCAGTGTCCTCACCAATCACAAGGCTGAAATGGGTCTTCCCCACCACACAGCTTTAACAAAACTGTGTCCCCACAGAGTCTCTTCATTGAAGTTGGAAAAACGTACTGTGCAAAAGCTAATCTATCAGGCATAACTGAGCTATGAAGCTAGATCATCTGTCTGTCATCTGTCTGCCCGTTCATTCTTCAGTCCGTTTGCTTGTTTAAACAATTCATATAACACTCAATTGTAATTTTACAGTGTTCTCTGGCACTTTATGAAGCTTATTTTAAAGTGTAGATGTTTAAAAGAATTATCAGATTAGTATTGGCTGATACTCAAGGTTTCAATATTGTTAGTAATGTTAGAAAAGAAAAAAATGGTACTGTGCCAGCTCTAATTTTTAAAATTGAATTTCGCACAAATTTGCAGTCATATTAATTTATGACAGAGTTTAACTAAAAAAAAGCTGTGCTTGTTGGTTATGTATTTCTTCCAATACGGGGGTAGAGTGTTTGAGTACGTTTGAGCACGTTTGAGCATAGTACTTTTACATCACTATAGCTTACTATTTTTTAAATGAACAAAAATATCAGTATTGGTATTAGCCAGTGCTCAAAGCAAAACTGTTTCTGGATGGCAAGGGTTTCACCAAAGCCTGGATGACATAAACTAAAAACAAATGACAGTCTGTCATGGAAAAATGTGATGGTGTACTGTCTAAGCTAATGCCTGATGCCTGTGGTGATGCCCACCATACCTGAGGCAGTCATTTGAGCCAAAAAGAGCAAAAAGAGGGAGGTTGCATCCATCTGCAGGTGGCCCCACTCAGTGTCCCCCACCACAGTGGCACAGGTGCAGGTGTTGTATTTAGCATGGAGGCAGTCCATTGTACTCTTGCTGTACTTGAACCTCTCCACTTTGTCCAGCTAAGGAGTAAAAAGCAAAAAACCAGCCATGTAATGCCCTTCAGATTGCTGATGGGACAAAGCAGTGAACATGTTTACTAAGCAGAGGGGTGTGCATGTGTGAGTGGGGTTAGAATGTACTGAGAAGAAATAGAATGGCATGTCACTATGAGAACACGCTGGCATATCAGTATCAGTCAGCCGGCTCTTAATGTATTCAACGAATCTCAATATTCTTTCGGGGCTTCTGGAATACCTGCCGCATAATGCACTGAAGCAGGCCCCTCATAAGCTTCACAACACTCTGGGGGGAGAGAAAGAGAGACAAAGAGTTAGACTCCATAAGAGAATGGAAAAGACAGACAAAATACAGCGATGTTTTGTAGTACATATGAACCCATCTTAAAATGAATGCACAGTACAAACTTAACTTTGACCTTTTCATCTCCTCTTTAAAGAGTAATTTGAGATGACGGGGGCCTGATTAGTCTTCTCTGCACTGCAGCAGCTTACATTCAGATAAACACACACAGCCACAGGGCCCCAAACATAGTTCCACTACTGAGTATATGATCAAGACAGCCTGATGCACTTGTTTTTAAGTTTACTAACACTTCTAGATCATCAGCTGTACTGCATGGCTAGGCTGATGATTCAGCTACAGTATAGCGCAAAAAATTAGAGGCCACCCTTTTATTCATTTAATGTCCAGTCAAAACAGCCACTAAGTACAAGTTCTAAGCACAAACCCTTTGACTTTCCACTTCCTCATGCAAGTGGATTATCTCACATTAAACCTCCTAAGACATAGCTTATTTACCCTTTTTAGATGCACATGAGGAGGAAATTGACAAGGCAGCTAAAGTTTGTTTGGGAAATTGCTTGTGTGAATGTTAGTGCCTCTTTGAAGGGGAGCGTGAGGGCACAGCTGGAACTTGTTGGTTTTAAGAAGAGTTAAAGTGGCAGTAGGTGCACAAAAGTAAAGAATGTACAAACTAAATACTATAAGATCTGAAATTATACTTTATGTTGGAGGCTTTTTCAGTTTAATACACAACTGAAGCTTGTACTTAAGGGCTGGTACGACTGGAATAACAAAAGGGTTGTAGCTGACTTTTGCACAGTACAGCATATTCTATTCAACAAATAAAGAAATGTAAAGACATGGCTAAAGTCATGATCAAAGGTCAGCAAAGAGACCTGGGTGTGTATTCATGAAGCTTCTCAGAATAGCAGTGCTGATCTAGGATCAGATTCCTCTTATATTTACTGACTTATGACTTCACAGACAGGACCAGATCCCAGATCAGCAGCCCTACTCTGAGAAGCTTCATGAATACAGGCTCAGATTTAACGTTCAATACAGAAACACATCACTTTTGGAAAGTCCTCAAGCTTCTTTGGAGAGGCTCTTTGCTCATACATTTACTAGGACTTAATTCTTACTTTTTCAAGAGAGTCATTTTTTTCTAAGAGCCATTACAGTTCTAAGCTAATCTAAGAACAGTTCTGCAATTTATCTTCAAAAGGAAACATTCAGGTATGAACAAGGGTGACTGGTTCTAGATTATGAACCTATCTAGAGCCAGGATGTACCAAGACAAAACAGGTCCCACAGCACATCAGTTGTAGAGGATTCATACTCTCTCCAGTTTCCTACCTGCTCCAGCTCGTAGGCTTTGGCCTTATCCTCATCACGGTCAGCATTCTTCCTGTAGGCCAGGCTCAGAGCCCAGACCGAGATGATGCTGTAGACATTATCCCTGACCCAGGCGTCCGGCTGCTCTTTACTCGCAGGGAGAAGACCTGTCACTGGGTCCTACACATCACCCGGAGGATTAGAGAAAATGACAGACATCTTCATTAATACAGCCTACATGCTGTTTTGTGATGCAAAATCCAAACAGACAATTAATCTGAATATAAACAGGAAAAAATAACAATGTATGAGATTAAACTATTGTTGTATTGAACATCAAGCAAAACAACCATCCAAATAACACATGGTCATGGTTTCAGTTAAACAGCTCCACTGCATACATGAACCACACAAGTCAAGATGACTCGAGTGTTTCTTTATACAGGACAAGAGAATAATGTAAATTTGAGAGCCTGGTCACTTCTTGAAATGTCTTGTGTCCACTGCTTATATTATTGTAGGTAGAGAGTTCATCTGAACACAGCTACACACTTAAAAAGACGGTTTTTCAAGGGTTCTTTAGTAAAGAGAACGATTTTATTTAGAACCACGAGTTATATATAGAACCATTTCATACTTAAATGGTTCTCTGCACGGTGAACTGGTTCTTTAGATTGATAGAGGAGTGTGTTGTATGTGTTAAATATGGAACCTCTTTTTAAAAAAAAAAAAAACAAATGGTTCTTTAAAAGCACAAAAAAGGGTTCTTCTATTGTTACAAGCTTGACATCATAACCATATAAGAACCCCTTTCAAAAAGGTTCTATATACAACCACATACATTTCTCCATCAACCTGAAGAACAAGTTTACCATACAAAGAACCATTTAGGCATAAAATGGTTCCACATAAGACTCACGGTTCTAAACAGAACCACTGCATTTATTAAAACCCTTTTTAAAAACCTTCTTAAGAGTGTAGGCATTGTGAACCCTTTCTAGGGATGTCATTTTAGCCATACAGTGTGACCATCCCAGACGTCTTAGAAAACTGACCTTGCTGGCCCGCACACAGAGAGACAACACCAGCCAGAAGGGCAGCTGAAACTGAACCAGTCAGCTGTTACCAATAACAGTTCCCATTATACAAGGACACAGCGCTAAACATAACTGTAAGCTAATTATGTCTGGATGAATATTCAAGTACAGGCCTCCACGGACAGAGAGGAAAACCAGCCATCAAAATGTCACTATCAGAGCTCTGCTGTGTCCCAAACACCCAGAACAGAAGTGTACAGGTACATATGTACCGTTGGCTACCAGTGAACGAACACCGCGTTGTTAACTAGTTACGAAACTGAAGTTTGAACTGAACTGAAGTGAATTTTCCGCTCCACCTTAAAGCGCCAGTGTGTCACTGCTGCACCGTTTAAGGTGGTACGGAAAATTCGAATAAGAAGTTGGCGAATGAGAAGCCAACTTCAGCCTCGTCATGTCACCGACTGAGTTAGAGAAAAAAACACCTAAATTATCACAACCGACATAACGCTAGTCCAGCTAGGTGGACGTCCAAATCGACCAAATCCCGCGTGTAAGTTACTCACTTGGTAACGAAGGATAGTTTGGTGAACTATCCGCGCATAGTTGTCGAGTTTAACTCCAGAATTACTGCGACTTCTCATTTTCTCGGCTGCTCTTTTCTTCGGCTGTCTTCACTCTTCTAGTTCCGCCGCTGACATCGTTTTGAAGCTTTTGAGCAGCCTTTGCGAGGAAGCTCGGAGTAGCTCTTTCTACAGGCTGCTGCCGGAACCCCTTCGAGCCGGAGCTCAGAGTCAAACGGGTGTCTGCTAACGTCGAGCTGTCAGAGCGGGCTAACTTTTATTAGCAACAAAGCTCGCTTCGCTTCTTCTCCTGAGACCTTCGGCCATACAGCTAACTCTGCTGACTGAATGTAAACAAAACACGTGCACAACTCCGGAAGAGTGAACAGAAACTGTGTGTCTGAGTGTTTTTTATAGCAATGTCAACGACAACAACGAGCGAGAGTTTCGGCCTCTAGTTTCGCACCTGACGTTTGAAACAAAAAACATCTGACACGAATTTATGAGCGCCGGAGGGTCAGTGGTCAGTCAGGAGCACGTGCTCACAGATTAGGAATCCACACCTTCAGTGGAGGGAGATGAAGTGCACAGGGCAGTAAAACACCGTACACTAAACCTGCATGTGTGTGGGTGAGATTGTGAAGTCTTGAGGTCGAAATGCCTGGACACCATGTCAAACTGATACAGCCCGCTCCTGCTGTAGACTGTAACCTAAACTACAGTACAAACTACTGAGAGAACGCTACGTGAAGAGAGGCTCAAACCTCACATTTCATTTAGTTTAATTTTATACTAACCCTGTTTTCGTACTGTTAATGGTAAGTATGTTGGGCTGAAAGTATCCAGTAGGGGGCAGCACAGGCATTCGAAACTGTACAGGCCACAGGATAGTCTGGAATAAGTTACTATAGGGTGAATCTCAAATGGCTCCCTGCTCCCTACATAGTGCACTGCATAAGTCGTGAAACTGTTCTGCTTCATCGCCCAAATAGTCTTTAAATGTTAGACAGGAAGTCGTGCAGCTAATAGCCGAGTATAAATGACCTTCTGTCCGGCATATGATGCTCTGTTTGTGTGCAGAAGCCATTGTTACCATTATGACCTACAAAGTGCACTACATAGAGAACAGGGAGCCATTTGAGATTCAGCCTATGAATTACAGGAACAGGGGCGGAAAAAGTACATAGAAGTGATATGTTTGTAAAATTATGAATAGTTGGTCAAATCTCACTCACTTAAAAGTGGAAGAATGGAGCCATGGAGTGGAAGTATAAAAAGTCTACATTTAAAAATATTCAGGTATTTAAAAGTAAAATGCAAATTTATAGTTGTCGCCAGTATGATTTTACACCCATATGAATCTGGTAGGATTTTTTATAATAATAATGATAACAGGAACTTTAAAAGGCTTAAATGTAATTAAACTCTCCACAAATCTCCCTATTTTGCTTTAAAGTTTTCTTAGGTTTTGAAGCATTTTCTCTCAGAATCATGCAAACCTGACCTCCTGAAGCAAAAGAATTCAAGGTGACTTGGAAAACCTTCCTTGAACAAAAGACTTAAAAAATGTACAATCATCACGTCCTTTATCACATAATTACCTTTTGCCTACTGTCCAGACAATTCCATGTTTGTGAAAAAGGCAAACATATTTTTTTACTTAGTCACATTGCAGTATATCCTTGAAAACAGAGAAAACAAGTAGTCAGCCTGATTTCAAAACAAAAAAAAAAAGAATCCTTAACTTTTGAAGGTTATAAAAATACCCATAAAAACAATGCAATAGCATTCAAAAGGAAGGTTAGTGGTTTGTGTGATCTTGAAACCATTTTTTGTCTTATCCTCCTCATGAGATCAACAAAGAAATATTTACAACTTACAACACAGTATGCGAAGAGTAACTGTCCGCTGTAGGTCCTGTGATTCTTACAAAGGCCTGATAGCTAGGAAGGCCATGACTAGATCACCGGTATCAAATTCTAAGCCAAATCAGTGAAGGATTAGCCTATCAAAGGTCTAAATGTCCTATGTGTCATGATTAAAAAGGTAGCATGAAACACCGTTGTTCTGTTTGTTGGAGACATTTTTGTGTATTTGTTGTTCTGGGGAGCGGGGTGGAGGGGTAAAACCGACCTATAATCCAGCCTTTAATCTAGTGTGTAATTCTTCTATAAGAGTGAAGATTTAACTGGAATTGACAAGACAAAAATTGCATTTATTTTCCTCTCCTCATTATAGCTCTAAAATGGTGACTGTGTAGTGTTGTTTAGGAGAAACATGAATGAAAATATTTTATACTGGACTGTGCACAAACCCCTTGACAACAGATTCAGTTAGATCCAGATGTTTTCAAAGTAAAAGAAGCAAATGTCATATTAGCTTCCATACAGCCCATTCATTACTGGAAAGTGACCACCAGAGGATCACTGCTACCAGATTTTTATTTGGGTGGTGGGCTGTTCTCAGCACAGCAGTAATATTAACATATCTGGTCAATGGTGGTCTTATGGTGGTCCCTTTTCCTTACAGGATGGGGTAGATGACAGGTATAAATGCTATATATCCATTTGTAACAAGAGGAGGTTTGAAAAGAATAACAGCTGACATATAATGCACTTTGTCAAAAACACATTTTTATTTCTGTAATAAAAGTGGTATCAATCATAATAGAATTGATATTACTTGTACGGTGCCATGAAAAACATCTTTGCTCCCCTTAAATTGTTTAAGATCCTAATACAAAACGTAATATAAGACAAGGAAACAAAAGGCACAGTTTTTAAATGTTCTCATTTCATTTATTGAAGGAAAAACGTTTGGCAACAACAAACACAAAAGGTAATTCCCCGCTAAATTTGATAACTGGTTGTGCTACCTTCATCAGCAACATTTGAAGAATTATTTCAATTCAGCCACACTGGAGGGATTTCCAACATGAACAGCCTGTTTAAGGTCCAGAGTTAGGCATCAGAATCTCAATGTGGTTTAAGTCTGAACTTTCAGTAAGTCACTCCAAAACCTTAATTCTTTTTCTTTCGAGCCATTCCGAGCCATTGCTCTTCTGCTTTGGGTTGTTGTCTTGCTGCATGACCCAATTGGCAAGTCACCCAGGCACTGAAGTACCAAAGCATCCCCACACATCATGCTTGACTGTTGCTGTGATGCTTTTATTTGGAATGCTAGCTTTACACTAGATGTAACAGGAACCTTGTCTTCCAAAAAGTTCCATTTTTTATTCCACAGAACATTATTCCAAAATCTTGGAAGGCCAGCAAGGTGTTTTTGGCAAAAGTGAGACGAGCCTTGATGCTTCTCTTGATTAGCAGTGGTTTTCACCTTGGATACCATTTTTGCCCTAGCGAGGCTAGCGATGCCTGCAGTTTCTTAGATCTGGGTTCTTTTGGGACTTTCTAGGTGAGTCATTGCTGTGCTCTTGGAGGAATTTTAGTAGGGCATCCACTTCTGTGAAGATTCACCACTGTTCTAAGTTTTTTTTTCCATTTGAGATAATGGCTCTCACTGTGTTTGAGTCCCAGAGTGTTAGAAAATGTGTGATCTTTCCAGACAAACCTACAAAAAGTAACTATATAGTGGCTGCACGTAATTAAATGACCAATGAGAAATAGGTTTACCTAAAAACCGGCAATCCAGTGTTCATATTTCAAAGATAGTTAGGCTTAGTTGCATGTTTGTAGTACTGTTCTTTTTGGCATATAGAAGAGAAAGAACTAAAGATGCAGCTTGTAAATGAGAAAAAAGAGACTGAGCAAGAAAACATCAAGTGAAAGCATGTGAACCGAAGTGCATTTCTGAATGTCCTGTGGGGTTTCATTTGTTAGCTGCTGGGTCAGAAACAATGATTTATAGGTCTCTGATCACTAATTCCTTCTGTGTCTTGCATGTGCTTGGCTGACCTTAACAAACTGTAACAGCATGTTGAGAAGGGCAGTACGCTAAGAGTGCTGTTTCTAGATCACTTCTGGAAATCACTAATTGGCATGAACAGTGGGGGGATCTGATCCATGATCAGAATTACTTCTGTTCAGAGCTCCTTTATGAACATGCATGTGCTGCCTGAATGTCAGGGGTGGGGAACTACAGTCCTAGAGAGCAGTTTTCCTGCACTTTGGAGATTTTTCTGCTTAAACACAACCAATTCAGCTCAGCAGTTAAAAAGGAATTCCACTGATTTTTAAACATTTCTGCATAATCAAATGGTTGCAATGGGAAAAAAAAATAATAAAAAATAAAAAAAAGTAATTCTGAGTGGTTTGATATGAAATGCTCCATTCTAGAGTTAGAGAGTCAGAACTGTTCACAATGGTGGTGATAGGAACCAAGTGTCCAAAATGTTTAATGCCTCTAAAAGCAACCTTACAGAAAACATGAGACAAAATGTTCACAAACATGTTGCCTGATGCCTGAAGCATTTAAAATACTGAACTAAGGTTTTGGCCCAAACATAAATACATTCATAGTAGTGAGGTACATGTAGTGATGCTGGGAAAAAATATTGCCCAAAGAGGACATTTGGATTTGCCAGTATTTTGCTTTTATGAATATTACATATAAAAACCTCTGCATCGTAGACGTTATTACCCCTGGTTCCCATCACCGCCATTCTAAAGAAACTTGTCAATGAGTAAATCAATGAAGCATTTCATATCAAACCACTCTGTTTATATCTCAAAAACGTTGTTTACATCTCAACAATTGAATTATGCAGACATTTTGAAAAATAGTTTGGAATTTCTCTTCTGATATGTTCAAATATGGGAAGATCTGTATCCAAAGGAGTGTTTAATTCTTGTTGAGAGTGCTGTAGGCAGATATTTTTACAAATTTAGTCTTTTCTTTGTCATTGTGACATTTCTCATCATGGACACAACTTTTAACTTCATATTTAAGACATATCACATGCACAAAGTCATATAAAAGTGTTTTTATTTACTTAATAATGTTTCATTCAAATATCACATGCAGCATGCATAACAGGAAAATGTACTATATTGAAAGCACACAAACAGTACACACAGATTCAAGGATGACTTATCTAAATACCTGACTAAGGTTACAGTATCAGAACATTTCTTACTTTCTGAGCCAGTGAAAAGCCTCAGCTGAAGACTACAAAATGAGTATATAAGGAATATAATAAATAAATTATCTGGAACATAGAAGGACATTTGAAAATTGACAGTTATGTCAGTCAAGATGTATGACAAAGGTCAGTTCTGGATCAGCAGTTACATAAATAGAAAAGCGTTCAGTTATGTTAAAAAAAAACCTGAAAAACATTAGAACTGAAACTGATATGAGCAACATGACATTATTAATAGCTTCCCTCAGCTGACAGAGGCTACCTTTGCACTTTTGTTCATGCTTTCTCTCCCTTTTCTACCCCAGAATATCTGTAGTTCATTGACACTCAGGTTGAAACTCTGCACAATCTGTACTTACAACATGCTGCCAGATCTACTTGCATAGCATCCACTCATGGCATGATCTAATACTAATGAATGCTTTCCTGGAAATAACCAGTTTCTAGGCTTAATGTTTGTCCAGTACTGTACCCATTACACCTCCATCACTAGCACCACCTGAAATCTGATATATGTGTAGTACATAAAATATGCTGACCTTGGTCAGAAAACATTAGAAAGATTTGTTATTAAATAGAAGACATAATGTAGTAGTATAAATATACTGTACTGTAGGTTATGAGGTCTATGTTGATACACTGGAGAGATACATACAGTATTATGAGCTAATATGATTATAATTTATTATGAGTAACATGCCCACCTAAAAACTTCAGACCATTTTGTTTTGCCTATCAGTAGACACAAACACTCTAACCTACTCTTTGTTTAGCCTGCCTTCGGACACACTGCGCTACATGTTACATTTTACCCTTACTGCTGACTGAATCGAGCCCTTTGTCTGATTCCACCAGGTAAAAATAGGTTTTCATGCAGGGGCTGGACAGTCATCCTCACTTGGGCTGGAGATGTAGAAACATTTCCCACTCTTAGGACTGAATTTGATGGATGAAGGAACAGTGGCCATCCCTGTAAGAAAAATAATCAATATTTGTTTTACACAAAGCGTACAGTAAAGAACAGATTTGAATTAATGTTCACTGTTAAACATAAAGGGGTTTTTTAGCAATGCTCTAAAAGTTGCTGTGAGTTGGGCTGAATTAAAAATGTGGACTGTCTGGGGGTCCCTGAGGATCAGTATAAGAACCACTGCACTAAAGAACTTTTTGTAAAAGATGAAGAACCTTTTAGCAATATATAAGGCACCTCATGGGACTGGCCAGGCTAAACATTTTCCACATGTGGGAGTCACAGGAGTCAAATGTAATGTAAAGGTTCTTCACCAATGAAAGTTCTCCTAGAACCATATGTTCAAGCCAAAAGCCATTTAGAAAGAATTTAATACATTTTTTTAGAGCATGAGTTTTGTGACTAAAAATAGAATTTGGTGCCATGAAAATGGCCATAATAATCAAATTGTAACCACTTAGTGAAATATTACAAAATGCATGAAACTTATTAAGAGCTCTAACACGAGTATACCTGCATGAGCCTGTGGTACACTCAAAGTTATTCTGGCAATAGGCTCCATAGGGTTTAGTGCCCATGATCCTCCAAAGAGGCGTCATGCGAGCTGACCTCCTGAGTGACCTCTGAGCTCCTTTCAGAGAACCCGAGCTGCTGCCCAGCTCTGGAACAGGACTAGAAGTCACCTTAAACACAAATACACATACACATATCTAAGTACAGTATGAAAGCTTAAAAACAGACAAGGTGACTGAATCCTGTTGAAAGTAGTCATTTCAGATGTCAAAATATAAACTGAGCACTGAGCAGGAGCAAATACAGAACTTTCATCATAGAAGTAGGATAATAAAAAACACTATGGGCCAGTTTCCATGGCCTGGATAATGCCTAGTTAACTAAATTGCACTTCCCTGTGGTTATTCACCATTGAAAGCATTTTAGTCTAGCCTAAGCATAATCTGGATCTAGGGAACTGGCTCTGTAAGAATTTATTGTCTGCATTTGTTTGTTTATCTTACCGAAAATGATGTGCAATCACACATGAACATTAGAATTAACTGTCAAGGCAGATTAAAGTTATTTGACATAAAAAAGGCAAAAAAGAGAAACAGATTTACCTGCTGGACAAGCACAATGAGCACCAGGCACCAAGTTGCCACAGCTTTTCTGCTGAAGTGTCTTTGCTCCTGCATGCTGAGTGAATATGTTTTCTATCTGTAAACTCTGGCAATAGTGACTTTACAGCCTTGAATATTTTCCAGTCAACCCTACTGAGACTTCCAGTCTGCTCGTCTCCCCCTCACCTCCCTCTCTCTTTGTTCAGCCTCTCCTTCTCTCTGCCTTTTTGTACCCAGTTGTGACCTCACATGTTTGCTTAATATTTGTGACGGGGATAAGTGCGATCCTCTGGAGCTTTGGGTGAGAATGCAGTCAGTAAAAATGAGCAAGGATGACTGGAGGGGTTGACAAGAACATCACAGGCTTATCACCAGGCCAAGGGTTAAAAAAATGGACAGGACACAGGACTAGAGAGTGGCACAGTTACATATAGGGGTAACATGCTAACCTCGTTCACCTCTTCATAAGTCTTTAAGGGGCCCATATTATGAAAAACCAAATTTTCCTTTTTGCTTTTCGCTTTGCCTCATTGCTTTAAAAGGAGCTTTAAGCATTTTAAAAATAGATTAATACACAGGCATCAACTTTTAGAGACAAGAAACCTTATCTTCACAGCCTCCAAACAAGATGAATTCACAGATTCTAGTATAGTACATTTCTAACAATTCAACAGCAATCTGTCCAGTTTTGTTTTTAACTGTGATATATTCCTCTGGTAATCATTATAATTACTCCAAACACGGTACCTTATTAAACTCTAATCTCTTGATGACAATCTGATTATTACAGCATAACACTTTTTTTTTCCCCTTTTTTTCTTCAATTCTGGTGAGTGACACTCTGGTGGCTTGGTCTGTTTTGCATGTAAGGCAAATCTGTTTTGTCTGTATACAGTATGTGTACAACAAAAGAATTTCACATTAATCATTGTGTCCATGATTACTTTTTTTTTAGTCAAAGGCAGAGACTCCTTTTGCTCTTCAAACAGCCTCCCTTCTTAGCGGCTTAGTGAATTCCACAAAATGTTGGAAACATTTTGAGATCCTCTGAGATTCTGTTCCATCTTAACATGATTGCATCATGCAATTCCTGCAGATTTGCACTTTCATGCTGCGAATCTCTCGTTCTGCTACACCCCAAAGTTGTCCTATTCAGATCTGGTGACTGGGAAGGCTACTGAAGAACACTGAACTCATTGTCCTGTTCATAAAACCTGTTTGAGGCAACTTTTGTTTGTGACATGGTGCATTATTATGCTGGATGTAAATATTAAAAGATGAGTAAATTGTGGCCATGAAAGGAAGAACATGGTCAACAATATTTAAATAGGCTGTGGCATTCAAGTGATGATTCATTGGTATTAATGGTCCCAAAGTATGCCTGGAAAAAATCCCACACCATGACACCACCTCCACCAGCCTGGACTGTTGACACAAGGTAAATTGGGTCCATGGATTAATGCTGTTGGAATCAAATTCTGACCCTACCATCATTGTGCCATCGATATTCATCAAATCACATCAGATTTTTCCCTATTCTGATGGTTGCTTTCATCATTACCACAAGCTGCTAGGCTGTATCTGCATGATTCTGTGTGTGCATATTATATATATATATATATATATATATATATATATATATATATATACACACACACAGTTTTTGTGATGTCATGAACACATTTACATATATTCACCTATTCAGATTACAGCAGTTTAGCCCCACCCCTTCATGCTGAAGTTATAAGAAGTGTTACCCTGCAGTGTTTTTTAATGAGGCACAATACAGTGCAACCAATCAGAACAGGGCTCATTTACATATATAGTCTTACAGGCACAGTAATAAAAAGCAGCCTGTTTAATTCCAAGAGATCAAGAGAGGTCAGAATGACTGCTTTTGGTACACAAACGTCTTAAGTGGACTTTACTGAAAAAATGAAATAAGAATATAGGCTTAGTCTTAATAATTTGTGGCATCATCTTTTAACCCAAAGTTTTGTTTTGTCTCCATCATGATGCACTGATTGTAGACTTAACAGTGAGGTCAATACACCCTCTCTATCTGAACTGTTTGTGGGCTCTGGACTAAGTTCGCTGAAACTCAGGGTATATTTGTTTAAATATACTGCATGCCTGCCTTTTTAAATGATAAATATTTTTATTTTTGTAGTCAGGTTTTGGCATTCAAGAATGAACCATTCCCCCTTGCATTCAGCCAGTCCTAATGAAATGAAAAAAAGTCTGACTGATCAGTGAATTCCTCCTAAAGTATAAAACTGCTATACCAGATATTCCAGGCTGGTAGCTTTTTGAACATGAAAGGCACAAGCAAATAAAATAACAAAAATGCCAAGCTTGTAACACCAGGCACAGTTTAAAGAAAAAAAAACAACAAAAACAATCTGTTGGTTTTATTTGTGGTATTGATGGAAGAGGCCACTGGGATGAAACAAGGTACATCACTTCAAAATGTTTGACAGACTGTTCTTAATCTTGGGATATTAAACCAATTTAAAACCAAGACCTGCCAAGTTCAGCTAAAAGAAAAGCTTTTTCTTATTCGTAAGCACTGTTGGAACATGAACTGCCTGTTATGCTGTAGAATAAGTTGGGGTTTTGGCTTTCGTCTCTACTCACTCTCAATCCCTAACAACCTCTTTCTCAGCTCATTTTCATCTTGAGCTTGGTTCAGACTAAGACTAAAGCTAGTCTCAACTATAGATACTCTAGAGGTCACTGCCTAAATCTGGGGTCACTCATTCCAATCCTGAAGGAGTTTGATGATTTTCCTAGCTCTTTCAGTGATAGAACTGATGACCAGTGGGCATGGTTCTGTTTGTAAAGATGCAAAAACATTGACATGCTGCAACATCAGACAAAATTTCAAAATCTGTCAGCTTAAACATATAGATCATAACCGCTGTGTCAGCAGGCTGGGCCACAGGCAGCATTCGGTCATGGAAAAAAAAAAGAGTGGCAGGGGAGCAGACAAACAGAGAAGAGGGGGGGAAGATGGGGCGTCTGTCTCTCCAAGGCATCACAAAGGTCCAGAATGACTCATAATGTTTTCTGGTTATGATGTTCCATGCTTTGAGCATCATACCAGAACCTCTTAAAATGAGTTATTATCATTTCATAAGACTGTGTCCTTTTTTAAACATGTTTGTCATGCTTGCAGCAGTATCTCTTGCTCCAGCGGCCAAGGTCATGCTTATCTCTCTTTTTGCATGTGGAAAATGTCATCAAGAGCAATTCATTAAACAGTCATATTCAATGCATTTATATGCATCTAAAACTTTTAATTTTTAACTTAAGTGTGGAAAAATCTTTCTTGGAGAAAAAAGGTTACATGCGAACTTGCTGTGTGCTGCAAGTGTTGAATAAATTCACCAAAATAAAAAAAGTTATGCTGGGGTATGCTGTTAAAAGGGAATTTTTCAAAATTTCTGCAGAACTATATAGTTAAAATGTAAACAAAGTTATTCTGAGTGGTTTGATGTGAAATGGTATGTTTATGAGAAATGGTGAGAATTGTTCACAGTGGTGATGATAGGAACCAGACGTCCACAGTGTTTAATGCTTCTAAAAGCTACCTCACAGAAAGTTATTACATGAAATCGTAACACACACACACACACACACACACACACACACACGCACACACACACTGACTAATGCTTGACACGTTAGTTTGAGCAAGTTTGTAGCTTAAACCTTGTTTTTTCAAATGCATTCCTGGTGGACAGGTACAACCCCATTTCCAAAAAAGTTGGGATGCTGTGAAGAATGTAAATAAAAATAGAATGCAATAAAATGCGAATCTTGTAAACCCATATTTTTAAAGGAAAATACTACAAAGACAACATATCAAATGTTGAAACTGAGAATTTTTTTATTTTTTTATATATACCCATCTTGAATTTGATGCCAACAACACATTCCAAAAAAGTTGGGATGGGGCATGTTTACCACTGTGTTTCATCACCCCTTTATTTTTAACAACAGTTGAACAGTTCGGGGTCTCCTTTGTCGTATTTTCCATTTCATAATGCACCGAATGTCTTCACTGGTGACAGGTCTGGACTGCAGGCAGGCCAGTTTAGCACCTGGACTCTTTTAATACGGAGCATTGCTATTGTAATACATGCAGAATGTGGTTTGACATTGTTTTGCTGAAATAAGCAAGGCCTTCCCTGAAAAAGACATTGTCTGGATGGCAGCATATGTTGCCAAAACATGTATATATCGTTCAGTATTAATGTTGCCTTCACAGATGTGCAAGTCGCCCATACCATTTGCACTAACGCACCCCTATACCATCATGAATACTGGCTTTGGAACTGTGCACTGATAACAAGCTGAGTGGTCTTTAGCCTGTAGGGCACAGTGTCCATGATTTCCAAAAAGAATTTCAAATGTTGATTTATTGGACCACAGAACACTTTTTCCCCACTCCCGTCAGTCCATTTTAAATTAGCTCAGGCCCAGAGAAGGTGGCAGCATTTCTGGATCTTGTTTATATAGGGTTTCTTTTTTGCTTTTTAGAGTTTTAACTTTTGCATTTGTGGATGCAGCGACAAACTTTTTTCACAGAGTGTGGTTTTCAGAAGTGTTTCTCAGCCCATGCAGTGATTTCCACTACAGAATCATGTCTGTTTTTAATGCAGTGCAGTCTGAAGGCTCGAAGATCACAGCCAACAAATACTGGTTTTCAGTCTTGTCCCTTGCATACAGAGATTTCTCCAGATTCTCTGAATCTTTTAATGTTATGTTCTTTGCTATTTTACATTGAGAAACATTACGTTGCACACTCATTGCATTCCATATCCACAAACTGCTGCATGCAGGGGAGGAGCTAAGAGAGGCCGGTGCAGTGTAAAATTTCAAATGAGACTGTCTTTGTATTTCATTAACTGCACTTTTGTTCAATGTTGTCTTCATTAGGCTTTTTGAATTATGCAGCTAAGTATACTAAGCTAAGGAAAAGGAAAGGTAATTGGCATGTTATGCTGCCTTCAAGTAGTGTCACCAATATTACATTTATGTGGTGGGTACACATGAACGCCACCACAAAGTTGTCTTTACTTAGTGGGAAATTGGTTGTGCTTCAGTTATTCAGCAGCTACACAAACACTCCAGGCCAAAATCATCCACATGCAAAAATACAAATATAAGCACATTATGTGATGCTTCTAACTGGACAAAAACACTATTCATCTAATGCT